CAGGTGTATGCCTTTGTCTCTTTGTTTTTAATTGACTGCAATAGAAGATGGCCGTTGGCCGCAGCTAGCCAACCAGGTGGAGGGGGAGATGAGCTTTGGTTAGGCCACCTTTTCTAGGCCTCTCTCCATATGGAGCAAGCAGTGCTGTCCTTGAAAAAGGCTGCTTGGTCATTCAGGATGCTGCCGAACAAGACTGTCATCTCCTGGGTCAGACTTGGGCGACCAATGTCCTGAACCGCCTGCATGCAGGGTTGGGTCTGCGACTTCCAGTGCACCTTATCACCTGCCGTTTCGTCCCTCGCCTGTCGCTGCAGGGCTTTGCAAGTGTGGGTAAACCCTTCGGGCCTGCGCAGTGGATTTATTTTAGGTGAGGCACAGCGTGCGCAGAACTGGCCTCACCCTTTACACCTGAGGTTTATCTGCCAGGGCCTAGCAAGCTTGGACGGTGACAGCAAAGTCCTCAGGTCGTAGGTTTAATTAGAGTATCCTTCTCTTAGATGGATGGCCTTACAGGGCTACACGAGCTCCATCTGCCCGGGTTTGAAGTTGGAGTTGTCCTTCTCCTAGGTTGGTTGCCTGAAGGCTAGTGAGCCCATCCTGCCCATGGACACACTTTGTCTGACCCTTCATTTGAGAGCTGACTGGCATGGGAGACCCTACCGGAAGCATAAGCCACCACCAGCATAACTCCCAACTTCACAAGGGCACGCAAGCTCTTTCCCCACGACAAGGGGGTGTCCGTGAAAGAGACAAGCCATTATCATAAAGTGCAAAGAAATGAGAAACTTAGCTCAGGCATCAAAGCTGATAAACTAAACCAGCGAATATTGGCTGCAAGTAAGGTGTGACATAAAGAAACTCTGAGACCAGGTGCAACAACTCTGAAAGCAAATCAGCATTGTGACGAGTGACTATTAATTCAAAACAGTGAATGCTTATCACAAATACGATTAGACACACTCTGGTCAGATCTGTTGTTATCTCAACCCTTTGTGCCCCACTATGGGCGCTGCAAAGGACTGTTGTGGTTGAATCATAGAATCATAGAATAGTTAGGGTTGGAAAGGACCTTAAGATCATCAAGTTCCAACCCCCTGCCATGGGCAGGGACACCTCACTCTAAACCATATTACCCAAGGCCTCATCCAACCTGGCCTTGAACACTGCCAGGGATGAAGCATTCACAACCTCCCTGGACAACCTATTCCAGTGCCTCACTACCCTAACAGGAAAGAATTTCCTCCTTATATCCAATCTAAACTTCCCCTGTTTAAGTTTGAACCCATTACCCCTTGTCCTATCGCTACAGTCCCTAATGAAGAGTCCCTCCCCAGCATCCCTATAGGCCCCCTTCAGCTACTGGAAGGCTGCTATGAGGTCTCCACGCAGCCTTCTCCAGGCTGAACAGCCCCAACTTTCTCAGCCGATCTTCATATGGGAGGTGCTCCACTCCCCTGATTATTCTCGTGGCCCTCCTCTGGACTTGATCCAACAGATCCATGTCCTTCTTATGTTGAGGACACCAGAACTGCACACAATACTCCAAGTGAGGTCTCACGAGAGCAGAATAAATGGGCAGGATCACCTCCTTCGACCTGCTGGTCACGCTCCTTTTGATGCAGCCCAGGATACCGTTGGCTTTCTGGGCTGCAAGCACACATTGAAGCCGGCTCATGTTCATTTACTCATTGACCAGCACCCCCAAGTCCTTTTCCCCAGGGCTGCTCTGAATCTCTTCTCCGTCCAGCCTGTAGCTGTTGTCTGGGACTGCTCCGACCCAGGTGTAGGACCTTGCACTTGTCATGGTTATTAAACTTCATGATGTTGGCATCAGCCCACCTCACAAGCGTGTCAAGGTCCCTCTGGATGGCATCCCTTCCCTCCAGCGTATCAACCGAACCACACAGCTTGGTGTCATTGGCAAACATGCTGAGGGTGCACTCAATCCCACTGTCCATGTCAACGACGAAGATGTTAAACAAGACTGGTCCCAACACCAATCCCTGAGGGACACCACTTGTTACTGGTCTACAGCTGGACATTGAGCCATTGACCACAACTCTTTGTGTGTGTCCATCCAGCCAGTTCTTTATTCACCGAGTGGTCCATCAATCAAATTGATGTCTCTGAAGCCCAGCTGGTAGCTCAGAATCATGCAGCTCACTCACTTTCCCCCTTCTTCCCCCCCTGCTTCTGGAGGGATGGGGAGGAGAATTGAAATAATGCAACTGCCATGGGTTGAGATAAGAACAGTCCAGTAACTACAGTACAATACAAAACTGCTACTACTGCCACCTATAATAATAATAAGGGAAATAAGAAGGGGAGAGAATATAAAACTAGAAGGGGAAAATGAAAACAGTAAACACAAGTGATGCATTGTACAATTGTTCACCACCTGCTAAACGATACCCAGCCCAACCCGAGCAGGGATCAGTTCCTCCTACATGACTCTCCCCAGTTTATACACTGGGCATGACTTGCTGTCTTATGGAATACCCCTTTGGCTAATTTGGGTCAAGTGTCCTGTCTCTGCTTCCTCCTGCTTCTTGTGCCTCCTCACTGGCAGAGCATGGGAGACTGAAAAGTCCTTGATCAGAGTAAGCTCTACTTAGCAACAACCAAAACACCAGTGTGTTATCAGCATTGTTCTCAGACTGAAGCCAAAACAGCCCTGCACCAGCTACGAGGGAGAAGAAAAAAAGCAACCTGTTACAGCTGAAACCAGGACAGTGTTGGAATCTAATGTGTGAGCTCATAGGCTTTAAGTCTTCTAAAGTGATTTTTAGTAGGGTATGGATAAATGCCATAGCACAGAAGACAGAGCCATTTAACTTGAGTTTATTCAGCCATCTTTCTCTACTTAACTTCAGTAAATCCCTTGGCTAAAATGCTAGGTCTTAACAGCCAGAAAACTCTCTAGATATAGAGTTGAAGGAGATATTTTTAAAAGATTATTTATGCTGCTAACAGATATTGCACACCTAAACTGATGAAGCACTATAGATTTTGATAATTTTTTTTTAATTATTTGAGTGGGATTTTTTTACTTTGATATTCAGAAATACCCCAATATCGTAAATTAATAAAAAGAAATCTTACATGTGGCAAAATTACCAGTAAAAAAAATAATTATTTTCAGTTATCACCTTTCTTAGAGACTTCATATTTTCTCACTATAACCTAAGCTTCAATCTGCAAGTTCTTTGTCTTTTACTATTGTTATCTGCTAGGTTTAGTTTATCCTGGGATAAACCTAGCAGGTTTAGATACATACTAGATACATTCATTTATCTAGTAGAAAACATTAGAATGCATTAGAATTAATGCTTGTAGAAAGCATTAATTTATCATGTTTCTTATAAAATTAAAAAACATTGCAAGGAAGATCTATGTACGACATCAGATTTCTTACCCTTTTTTGCATGTTGGAGAAGTGCCTGTATTTCATGGAGTATATAAAAAACTTCAAGTCATTGTATGTAATTAAATACATAAATTTATAGGAATTCTTCTGAGCTTCTATAGGAATACTTCTAATCTTTATGAAGTCTTCTGAATTGGAACAAACTATGAAAAAATCTAGGATGATACAGAAATACATCTTTTTATCTGTATTAGGAATATAATAATGTGGGTTTCCTGATTTTATTCTTTCCAGAGGACTTTGTCCTAGACCAAGGACATAAGTACAAAAAAAAATGTTTAATTTGGGTGTGTTTGTGTGTATATGCATATATACACAAATATAAGTATACAAAATCTGAATAAAAATATATTTGTGTAAAATAAATATTTTTTAATTGTGCATTCCATAGCAGAAACACTTTTATCAGTCTGTAGGTTTGTGTCTTATTTTAAGGGTGGACCTTTTTAGTCATATGCACTGTATGAATTTTAGCTTCCACATTCTAAGTTAGTTTTGTGCACTCTTTACATAATACGCCTTTTTTTTTTTTTAAGGTTAATTACATTGTGAAGCTATATATTGGATTCAGAATATGTAGAATCAGTGATGACGGGGTTATAAAAAAAGCAGATCACCAGTAGGTCTAAATGGCAGATTTCTTTAAAAAATCAAAATACAAAACACAGTTGACAGTGCCAAATTCTGCTTATGTATACTGATGCAAAATCTATTATGTTCCTCTGAAAGTAAGCCTGACAGAATTCAGTGCAAAACGGAGACTGATTCAGTGTGAGGCTGGCTAATATGTTAAATGAAATTTGAGAAAGCCCTATTATGTACACTTCATTTTTGTTAAAGTAGTTTTAACTCAAAATTACACTTTTAGAGTTCAAAAACATACTTATTTATTCCTTGATGGTGAGCCTTACATAGATAATTTGAATATTTTGTGTATTTTCCTACTAACCTTTTGATTCTCAATCCCAGTGCATTTTATGTTGTCCATAAGATACTCTATATTTAATTCAAGCATCTTCCATGGCATATTTATGCTTAGTTTGTTAAGGCTTTGTACCTTTAATTGCTCTAATTCATTAGATCACAAGATTTGAGTCTTTGTCCTTGTTCATCCTAATCACTTTTACTTTCCTTGTTTTCCGTGGAAGCTGCAGGAGAGTATGAGTATTTATTTTCAAATTCTAGTCAATATCAGAAGTTTTGCATGTGTGAAAACGACATCCTATATATAATCATGTTCTTAAGCCAGCAAAGTCCTTCATCAGGTAAAACTGATCTATCAGAAAAGTCCTTTTCTTGGTACTACTAATTTCTTAACAAAACCAAAAAAACCCCAAACCAAATAAATTATAAGTTACATTTCCAAAATACTCTTTTGTATCTGTAGGTTTTATTTTCAGTAGAAGACTCTCTCGGGTAATGTTTCTATGATCATAGTTGAACAGCAGAGTAACTTTTTCTTTTTTTAAAGCTGGCATTGGAAGTAAGGGAAGGTGGCCTTCACTAGATACTTTTATATATATATAAATATATGTATATACATTCATATGCACTAATCAAATTCATGTGTATCTTAATATTTTCAAGTATTGCCTGAATTCTCAGAAACAGATGAAAAATGTATAATATTTTTAGTGTGCAATCATTGTAAATATTTTAATATTTTATTTTAGCCAGAAAGTGAAATTTCCACCACAGTAGAAGATTACAGTTCTGAGGTAAGACTGATGTAATGCTTTTCCTAACTTCTTTTACATGTTTACTGCAATGCTGTGCGTTGTTTCCTACAAATAAAAAGGAAAGAAAGAGCAGATGCGCTATAGACAAAGCTGTTGCATGTCATTACTGGTCTGATTAATGTACCATTAAAGCAACCACTATGTCAACTACATCATGGGATGGCTACTATAATCAACGATGCAGTAGATAATGAACTGTTGTTGTAATGATGTCATCATTACGGTTGTATTAATGCTTTGTGTTGCTATAGGAGTTGTGGCTGTGCATAATTTCTACTATTTTTCTGTGGGAAACTATTTAAGAAGTTGATTGTCTTTTGATGAGTTCCAAAGCAGCTGCTGCTCAGTAACTGGCTGGGCATCAGTCTGCTGGTGCAAGGTGGTGAGGGATTGCCTTTGGATCCCTTGTTATTTGGGGGTTTTGTATTGTTTTCCTTCATTTGTTAAGCTCTCTTTATCTTGACCTGTGACCTTTTCTTGCTTTTGCCCTTCTGAGTTTCTCCTCCATCTTGCTGGTGAGGGAGTGACTGGGGGCAGCGTGGGGAACTGACTTGGCAGACAGGGTCACCACACCTCATATTAGCATCCACTACTCATCTCTGTCATGTCAAAAGGTCATAGCATATATGGGACTTCAGTCTTGCCAAATAAAACTGTTTATTATAATAAACAGTAAACTATCTCATGCAAAAATGTGGGTAAAGAACATGAAATAGCCATGGAATATCTGAACATAGTGAATATTGTTCTAGTTTAAAAATTAATTTTTATGGCTGAACCAGTCGCTTTATGTAGTCAGTCTGGGTTTGTTTTGCAGATCTCTGTGCTAAATTTTTCTGTAAAACACACACGAAAATCTTAAAACTTGACAAGAGGGGATGAAGTAACCAAATATGTCTCAGTTGCTGAAGTAAATTTGGTGTAGCATGCTTTGTTCCTGTCTTGATTTAGCTTTTTGTAAGAGAAGGTGACTACACGCTTCCATACTAGTATTATGGCTGCCTAATGTGAAAACTGAGGGCGTATACACACTAGGCAATGTGTCCCCAACCTAATGCACTACATGGTGCAAAAGTAAAATGATTATCACAGTGGGCAGTCTAGACATGCCCTGAAAACTGGAACATTTCTCTCCCAACTTAAATGCTCTGTCTCCACTTGCCCCTTCTTCCAGCCTATTCGCTTGACCAACTCTGTGTCTGTTTTCTACCCGCTAGGTTTTTGTAAATTTTTCCATTCTCTGCAGTAGCTCCTGTCAGTCTTTTCAGCTTCTCTTGCCCATTCCCTTTTTTCCCTGTGCTTTATTTCTTAGCTCAGTCTTACAGGCTTTTTCAGCCTGTTTCTAATCTTCCTTTTCCTCATTCTGAAGACTTTACCAGCCTTTCCAACTTCATCCAAGTGTTTTTCCTTCTTTCTTCTTTTTATTGTTTTCTTTCTCCCTTGAAAACTTCTTTATTCTCTCTTCTTATGTTGGGATCCTCCTAATGATCAGCTCAACTTGTCCTAGATGAAAGCATTAGTTTTTCTTTCCAACCTCTGTTATCAAATCCCAGTTACAGTTTCCTCCATAGGTTTTGTCTCAGCCTTTTTAGTTGAATTCTTTTTCCTGCCCCTCTCTTCCCCAGTTTGACTCTTTCCCATTTTTTCCCATCCTTGTTTTTAACCAGTGTCACTTTCTTCAGGTATGTTGAGGAGAAAAAAGCATTTGCGAATACAACAAAACATTCCCTCACATTCATTATTGGCTGCTTTCAAATACAGAATACTGACCCATATGATCTGGTCAGTTGTGATCCATCTTATGGCATATGGTTTTGTGGCAAATTAACCCAAAGGAAAAAAAAAAACAGACAACTGAGACCAGCACTTTTGGAGTCAGATTCCAGTCCAGCTGCTGGGGAATGCTGAAAATGAAAGAAAGAAAAAAGATTTTTATGGAGGGGTGGTTGCAGGGTGTTGAAGTAAACTACCGGGGTGGGGGTATGTTTAAAGACTTAATATTTTTCATAGGTAAAATATGGATTATTTTGTCCAAAGAGTTGAAGTAGCAAAGAACAAAAAGAATCTGAGTTAGCTTAATATATGGTAAGATGATAAGGCAATATGTGCACACAGTTTGCCATTGAGAGTGTAGCAAATACACTTTTGAACAAGTGTTATGACCTTACTGCACCTTTTCAGACTATGCATCACAATGCTATTACTATTAAATGGAATGTACAGTATGTAAAGAATGAACCTCTGAAAACAGTTGACAATGGCATTGATGTTCATGTATTTTTATAAGTGAGAGGTATTTTTTATATATATATATGTGTGTGAAATGAAATATGACTAAGAAATTTTGACCACTTCTGAGGTTGTAGGAAGCAGTGTTAGAGACTGATCACAGAAGTTCAAGAAACACAACTTTGCACAAGGAGACACAATACAGAAAAGATGGACAGTGCTTCATAGGAATTGTAGATATATTATGATTTTGAGTGTTTTGGTGTTAGTATCAGTCAGATTAAAAGTTCTCATTTTAAAATGAATTTTCACATCTAAACACTTAACTTTAGGTTGCTTTATTCTTCAAAGATTTCTGTAGGTGTCTACAGAGTATATTAGGGATCAATTTTTCAGATACTAAAACCAGTAGAATTACAGCCAGATTGCCTTCTGAATGTGCCTTTTAAAAAGTTGCAGATTTCCTCCAAAATGCAATGAGAGATGCATTTCTAGGTGCTTCTTTATTCTCATTCCTTCAGAAAGACTTTTTACCTCCCTGGGAGTTATTTTCTAAGACATGAGTAGGCAACACAAAACTTGTGAATAGTAACACATGATACTAGATCTATTGAAGAACAGATTCAGGTGGTGAGAGTTGCTGTCCTTAATGAGCTCTTCTCCATTCCAGTTCATTACAATTGATTGGCATCTGCAGTGAGGAAACAACCTGCTTAGGAATGCATATATTTTAGGAACTGAATTTTCAATACGTTTCATGGTAGTTGTAACGATACTTTTATTACTAAAAGCTATACTTACATTAATGACCATCCTGTAGATAAAGTGTTCTGAAGCCTTTTTTTAGTTGAAGAAGTCGAGAATAAATTTTTTTCTGTAATAACACAATTACAAAGTTGTATGAAATCTTGAGCTTACTTTTTTCAGATACATGCCCTCCTTTTTGAAATACTAAGAAACAACATATTCATAGAAACATAGGCCACATAGACTTAAATGTAGTTATGACTAGCTATTTAAGGTTGTGGTCTAAATTCAGAACTAAGCGAAGTTAGGCTTTTTCCAACAGTTAGAATTTTTATGTTTTTTTTTATAACTGTGTAAGGTAAAATTGCCCATTTTCCATATGCCTCAATTTTACAGTGTAACTGAAAAACTGTTCCACCTGATTCTTTTGTTTGTTTGTTTTTCTCTTACTGACTCTCTTATCAGCTTGCAAAATGTACTTCTGAAAAGATAGTCAATATGAAGTCTACAAAAAAGGGGATTTTTTTAAACGTTAATGAAATTCTATACCTGAACCTTAACCACTATGTAAAGAAATCTTCTCTTGTGTGCTATTAATATACAGAAAAAAATACTAAGCCAGAATATTTTAAAAAGACATCAGTTGTTATCCTTCAGAAGTTACTAATTTTAGTTACATGACTGTAATTACTTTCATCACATACTGAAAGTGGTTTTAATTTATGGATTGCACTGCCCTTTCTTCCCCCCCAAAACCCCCCCAAAAAACAACACCCCAAAACAAAGCAAATGCAAAAAAAAACCCCTAAATCACATACCCCAGCAAAACCAAAACAAACAAAACCCACCAAACAGAACTGAAACTCATTTTCCCAAGTTGTCCTAATTGTTAATTTTACCTAAGTTTCATATAGTCTGTTGTGACATAACTAGAAAATTGAGGAGATACTAAGAACATTGACAAGTGGTGTTGGCGGTCTAAGTATTAATTTTTGTGAAGGAATAAAAGGGGGGGATGACAATGACATGGCACAAAACAGAAGGTAAAATTATTAGTCTATTCCAGATACTGCTGTGTGTTTCTCCTACCAAATCAAAGCAATTTTTAAATCGGTGTTTGAACGGTAGATTTATGAGAGCATGAATTTTCTATTTAGAAAGGAAAATCTCTGTAGTATTGGCATTAATGTTATAAGTAGTTACACATCATATATTAGTACTGATATTTCTGAGGTACAGTTTCATGTCTTCCAACGTCAAGGAACATTAAAAGGAATAGTGGTTTCATAAATTTCATCCTGACCTCTGGTGGCAATTGTCATGAATTGCTGCCTTAATTCAGTGATGGAAGTTGGTTTTCATTATGCTTCTCTGGAAGATTCATTTATCTTAAACATATGTATTTACTGATGCAATATAAATTATACCTTTATTTTTAGCTAATAGACCACAAATTATTTTTTGCTTTGTATTAGTAATTGATATCTCTGTGAATTACTTTGAAAGTACAAGCAAGGAAGAAAAGTCAGACAGAATGTTCTTTGAAGGACTTCCATAACTTTCATGTATTTTATTCACTAAAGAAGTTGCTAATGTATATCTAATTTCTTGTTAAGTATAGCTTTTTATTACTCTTTGGTTTCTTTACACAATTGTATCCAGAGCTCATGTTATTCTTTGCTTCCATTACCTTAAAATGCTATGCAGTTTGATTGTTTTTTAAATGTTTAATTATTTGCTGGGGAGTGTAACTAAGCACATCAAAAGCCATTAAGGCGTAAGGAGATTTCAGCGTTAAAGGTAAATTGCAAAGTTTTAAAAGAAACTATAAGAATCTACATCAATAGTACTTACAGGCTTGCAGAAGATCTCTGTATGGTTAACCTCTGGAACCATGAGACAAAACGCAGATGTCCAGTGGGCCTTGTCTAGATATCTAGTAACACAATATTGCAGATAAGTGAACAATTAATTTTAAACTAAGATGTTTTGGAGCTAATAACTCAGCCCCAACTCTTTGTCTGCTCTGACACAGCAGAATTTTTGTCATGCCAGTAGTTGTGAGGGTCCTCGTGAGGCTCCCTTCAGCACAGCACCTTGCTGCAGTGGTCTGACTGCTTTATCTGTAGATTAGAGTGCAGTTTATTGTCTTGCCATGTTTCAACTTGTACTGTACCAGGAGGCATAAGGCATTTGAAAGGAGAAAGTATTAGATGAGAAATAGCATGGACTACCGTGTTACTGTGGTTCTCTTTCTGTGATGTCTAAGAGCTCCTGTGAAATAAGGTGGCATTTATGAAGTTCCAGACAGTTTTCTTGAATGCAAAATCCCTTTTATAAATGAAAGGTCTTTTGTGGAAATTTCAGCTGCTGAGAAGTCTGGAACATCTAATGAGATAAGGCTTTTATGTCTTTCCTAGTACCTCTTGTTGTAGGGCATCTAAGAGTCTGATTGTTGCACACAGAAATCATTCACAGGAAGAGAGGAGCATGTCCACTGGGGTAGATGACAAGAATTATACACTACATCTTAATCAGTTAAGCCTAAGTAAAATGGGAGTTAAAAGGAAAAGAACTATTTTATAATAGAGTTTCTTTTAATTTAATTGTGTTATTAGTCTGGGACATGCACCAAAATTTGAATAAAGACATTGATGCCAGGCACTGTGTAGAAACTTGTATGCCTGAATGTGGGGTGAACATCTGGCTATACACAAGTGAAGTGCTGTGCCTCTATCAGCAGCCTGCTTTTTGCTGCAATTTTTTTTTCAATTCTTTCTAAAATAAGGTATTAATCTGTCTGTGGTGTTTTCCTTTTTACTGAGGAAGTCAGGAATTGAAAGGGCATCGTGTCAGCTCTGCAAATTCTTGTCTAATGCAGGTTTATTCAGTCTCTTAATACAAACTCAATGACTATATTGATCCCATTTACGACAGTGTAGTTATTGATTTGGTCAGGCATGTTAGTCCTTTGTAAGTGAGCCCTGATCTGGACTATGGCAGATACCTGAGCAGTATAGCTTCTTATTTTGATGCAAACATAATGTTTGGGTCTGAAATGCTATGATGCCTTTCCATCTCTAGTACCATTTTTTTTCTTTCAGGCTCTGATGTAATAAAGAGCTCTGAGGGTAAATACAGCTGTTCTTGCTTTTTCATTTTTAAACATTGGTCTGCTGTTTTAAAATCATGCCTGCCTGTCTTGTGGTTACTCACAAGTACACAGCATATTATTTTCATTTGATTTGGATTTTTGTGATTTTTAAGCTGTAATTGCTACTTTGGCGTGTACTTTTGGAGATTGATACCTATTTGTTTGTGCAATCTATAGAAACAAAATTCTTACAGGAACTGAACGGGTTGCAATGCTAGGTGAGTGAAAGAGGATTCTTTTCAAATGTCTTATATTGAATATATAATTTCTGTTCTTTTTCAATTTTTAATAAATTCCTTCACATTGAATGTAAGAGTCTATGGTACTGTCGTTCATCCACTATTGAGAGATTGGTGACTTTCAGAGCAAATCTTGAGGTGTATAAATATCTTTCAGAAGCATAAATATGTTTAATAATATATAGAAATAGTAAACAATTTAAGATGCAATAATACTGCATTTTAATAATTTTAAGTATAAAGCTTTGCATTGAGCTTTAAATCTGAAAACCTGTGTTTAATCTAGATGTTTGAATTGGTAATATGGTTTTTGTTCTTAGTATTTTTGCAGTTTGGGGTGTTTTACCTGTTACCTATGCTTACTTTGATGCAATTTACAGTATATAAAGCTATTCTGTATTTCAAATTGAATAAATCTTTGTAGCATAAAATTACAGTGAGTCTGCATAAATCACCGTATAAGATTCAAAGGAATGGAAAATAGAAATCAAGCTTTATTTCAGATAATAATGTATTTAGAAATTGTCTTTACACAGGTAAATGGTTGCAGTTTTATGACAAGAACAGCTTTACCTGCAGACTTAATCAGGGTACAGTACTGCAAATTGAATCGTAATGCTGATGATGAATACTAAAAACCTTTGTTTTAAGCAAAAACTGTGTTGCTAATACTTTATTTTCCATGCTGTGCTATGCATCTGCAGTTTGCTATATATTAATAGCGTGTATTGTTAAACTTGAAATGCAAAACAATTTATTACTTCTGTTAAGGCTAAGATTATGAAACAGCTTGCAGAAACACTTTATGTCAGTGCTTTCAAGGTGTGAATTATACTAACAAAGGAGGTTACCATGGCAATAAGGTCTGTGATGCTGTATTGTATGTTAATGTTCTAAGGTGGCATTTGATACTGAATTTGACATTTGAGTTTACTTACTGTGATAAAGCATAAAAAATGGCGTGTTAAGGAACTTGGATTGATTTAGGAAGAAGACTTTGGAGTTGGAGAGATCTGTTCTGAGCATGGAATGCAGCACTCTCACACGCAGCTAGAGGTGATGGAGAATGAATTGGCTGGGAAACAACAAGAGATTGAAGAGCTAAGCAAAGAGCTAGAAGAAATGAGGGCAGCATATGGTACAGAAGGATTGCAACAGGTATAATTACCTTATGTTGCTTTCTACTTGCTACTCGGTTACATGTAAAAATGCAAAACATCACCTGAAAGAGTTCACACTTAATGGTAGCTGTTCAGAATGCAGTCAGTGTGTGATAGAGAATTACACATAATTTCAGTCAATCGCATACCATGCACTCTGTTGCTTTGCATGGCATTTCCACTGTGTGGTGTTTTTCTCTGTATTATGTGACTAAAATTCCAGTCTTCTTTCCAGTGACTTTCTTCAGATCGGGCATGGAAAGACTTTTCTTCAAGAAAAGCCCAAATTCTTCGCTAGTTGTGCAAATGCTGCATTTTTTTTAATACCTTCCTCCAAGGTCAGAAATTCCCCAGGTTTTACTTCCCAAAGAATGATGTAACTGAGTTGATCCTTGAACCAAAAAAGTGTTTGTATGTCAGACTTCACAGTCTGAAATACAAGGCAACTGTGCCAGAATTTTTTAATAAATATCCAGTAACTTTAGATTACAAGAAAGTATTTCTTACTTTAGAAATACCATTGGAATTTAAAATTAGGTTTTAAAGTAAAGACTATTCTTCCAGTTTAAACAAGTGTTGCAATGCACTGAAGTTAATGCTTTATCATGCTTCATATCTTACTTATGTCTATCTTTCAATTTGGATTTAGGTCATGTCATTGTGGTTTTTCTGGGTTTTTTTGCAAAGTACTATAGAAATCAAAAATTGTTCTACTGTTCAGTCATTTTTCACTGTTGTTATTGCATGGTTTCAGTTTTTTCTGCTTTCATTTGTATTTTATCTGTGAAATGGATGACATGTTTTCCACCATGCTAGAGTGATCTTTGATTGCTCTGGAGGAGGTGATTTATTGTTCCTTTGTCCATTGGTGAATTTCTGGTGTTGCATTTTAAGTCAAGCTTAACTTCTAATTACTGTGTCTTGTATCTGTTGTGCTAAACATAATAGTCATAGTCTAATAAATAACATAAACATAATTCTAGATTCCACAATCATGGCTAATGTTTTTAGTGAAAAAGCTAGAACTGAAAATGTTTGCATTTTTTTTAATGTCTGATTACTATTTTAAAAATAAATTTAAACAAAACAGGCTATGGTACAATAATACTATAATATTTGCAGCATATTTTTTGGATGGTGATGGTACAATGCATAATGTCTCAGTTGAGAAATGTTTATGGTTTATGTTTCAGAAGACACAAAAGGTTTTTAAATAGGGAGTGCAAAAGATGTGTTGTGTGCTTTAGTTCTGCCTGTTTGTTAAAAAAATTGAATTTAAAAAGTTGAAAATTACTGTCTAACAATGTGTGGATGGGAACACATAAAGTTACTTAGTCAGTTTCATTGAACAGATGTAAAAGGGGGAAGGTAGGACACACGTGTCTGATCCGTTCCTAATTTTCTCTGTTATCACAAGCATCTAGTATTTCCACTAAGTCCATGCTTTTAAAGTAGGAGCTCACTGCAGTGTTCTGGGAAGAAATTTAAAAAAATTCATCAGATTCTTTGCATAATTTGGCTTGTTTTAGCAACTTCTGTTTTGTATGTCCCATTAAATATTATCCCTGTCCTCTCAATCAGTAAACATTATCTGGAAGCATTATAATTTCAACTTCAAGACTCAGGATATAACCTGGAGAAAATTCTTTGTAGGGGCGTTGTTAACAAAACTGTTACAGAAGATGAGTGATGAACTGAGAAATTTGCAGTACATAGAGGTGAAGTTTCCACTAGCTTTAACAGAGTTCAGATTGGCAAAGTGAGTTTAAATTAACGTGTCTAAATAATTGCACATGAAAATAGGCCCAACTAATATTGTAGAATTTCTGACTGCCTGAGTGTAATGCTACAAAAAAAATAAAACACTTGCAAAGGATTTTTCCTGTACTTTTATCATTGCTTCATCAATTCCAAAAGTTTAAACTGTTAAGTTCACTGTATCGGTTTTGCAGCTTGAGCTGATTTTCTCATGTAGTTGTGAATAATTTCTCCGTGTTCACAATGTAGGATACTGCCTTGTATCTATTTAGTATGATGGATGCATTTATTGCATTCTTGGTGAGAGATGAATGTACATGAGTAGTTGTACAAAATTGCTGAAACACTATGAATAGATACTCTGGCTTCATTATGTTGGTTTGCGTATGTGGCCACACTTTTTAGTTATCATATTTAACCAATCCTCTTAAAGGTTCAGATTTTGTTCTTTCATAAATATAGTTTATGGAGAGGTCATATATTATTAAATGAGGGGGAAAGTTTGTTTCTGAAATATTTATAAATAGAATTTGTGAGTGTAGGGGCAATATGCTCTAGTAGGTCTGTACAACTTCTTTTAAATGGAGAGGTTAGGGCATATTCTTACTTAGCTAGAATAAGTTAGTTCTGTTTGGGTGGGGTTTTTGTGGCTTTGATGTGTACTAATAGTTTAAATATTGTCTTTTGTAGCTGCAGGAATTTGAAGCTGCTATCAAAAAAAGAGATGACATTATCACTCAGCTCACTACTAACCTACAGCAGGCACGGAAAGAAAAGGATGAAACTATGAGGGAGTTCTTGGAGCTTACTGAACAAAGTCAAAAACTGCAAATTCAGTTTCAGCATGTAAGTTACAGGACTACAGATAGTTTCTGGGGGGTTGTAAATCAGTGTCACTTGGGAGGGTCCGTAAATGGCTACTTCCTGCAGAAACAAATTTCTGTGCATTCCTTTAAGAATTGGTCTCATAGTACAGATCAGCAGTTACTTTACTGGCCCTACAGCTGTCATTATAATACCTGATTTATTGTACTAATTCACTATAAAATAATAAAGATTAGTCTGCTTTCTTTTCTTGTATGTAGTAATTGCTTCTGGTAAGTGCTGGATGATAGCAGTTATCTTAAGGAAGAGCACTTGTGTAATTAGTTCTCAGAGCTTTGAGCAGAAATCCACCCTGTTCCCTTTGAAATCAAAGCAGTCAGCCATCAACTTTGGTGGGCCATCATTTCGTGCTCCAGTCCTTCCTATATTTTTAGGTAAAACCTGCCTCTTGCAGTGTTATTAGAAGGTAGTTTAAATAACACAATTAAGTTTCAGAGAAGGATTTGTTCTAGAAAACACTGGTGTTTGACATGCTGTGGACACTTAATCTGTGACTAAAGTTTATAGTGTTGTAGTTGAATTTTGTAGTATTTTATGCTGATTAAGCACTTTATATTGCTTTTTTTGAACTTCAAGTGGGTTATATTCTGAAGTCTGAGTATTTACTATTAAAAATCTGATTTTGAGGACAGCACTTAGAACTAGTTCATTTTACTACTTAGAAATGTTTCTGAGACACTGCTGTCCTGTGCTAGCTCACCATAAAACAATTCAATTATTAAATATTTTCCATTGGTTGTCCATCCCAAAAGAAAAAGCATATTTCAGTTCCTCCTAAAAGAACTTGCAAAATTTTGTGATAGTTTGTATGTAGTGTAAGCTGTTTCTGAAAAACTTGATATACTTTATGTTTGGGTTTTTTTAACATTTAAGTTGCAGGCAAGTGAAGCCCTAAGGAACACCAGCCATAGTTGCACAGCTGCTGATTTATTGCAAGCCAAGCAACAGATAATATCACATCAGCAACAGCTAGAAGAACAAGAATATCTGCTGAAGAATTACCAAATAAAGAATGAAGAATTTGAACTGCAGATTACGCATCTTCGAGACAAAATCACCACATATGAAGTGGTATGTTCCGTACTAGAAAGATCTCTCTTCCTAGACTGTTTTTCTTTCCAGGATTTTCTGGTTCCATTGAAATGTAAGGGTCAAAGCAGAGATTGTAAGTGTGAGTGTGCAGCATATAATGCATACAAAGATCCCAATTTTTTAAGACCAGTTCTGTCAACTAGCATTTAATATGTATATTATTTAAAAATGAATTTTTTATGTCACTAGTATATATTGTGTTTTAAAAACTGCAGAAATATTTACAACAAATTATGAAACTGTATTGTGTATTAGAATGCCTTCATGAAACTACATTCTTTTCATTTTTTTCCCTGACAAAATAACCTGCTTGAACAATCTTTTCTCTTAAGAATAAATTATTTTCTTCATATTCCTTTTTTTAATTATCCTTTATGGAAAATATCTTAAATCATAGAATCAATTAGGTTGGCAAAGACCTTTAAGATCATCAAGTCCAACCATTGCCTCAGGATTGCCAAGACCCACCACTAAACCATATCACTGAGGACAGTGACTAAAAAAAATTGTCATTACCAGTGACAAGAGACAAAACTTCCAGTAGGTTGCAGCACCTACTACAAAAAAATTTTGTTTTAAGTAACAGAGCACAACTGGAAAAAATAGATGTGATTATTTTCTTTTTTGACCTTTTTTTTTTTTTTTTTTTAAGGGATGAAGTGAGGGCAGGGAGGCAGGGATTGTCCCTTATTCCAAAGGTACAGAAAACCTCCAAATTAGATCAACAAATGTGTATACTTCCTTTTGTAAATGATCACTAGCCTTCTAAAGAAAGTCATCATGTTCAAATGTCTTAAGTATAAATGTTCATATATGTTCAGTTATCAAACTAAAAATAAGAACATGGTTTTGCTCATTTTTTAAAGGAAAAACAAAAGAATGAGGGAGAAGATTTAAGTAAACTACAAGAAAAAGAAGCATTAGTTGAAGAGCTGGAAGCAAAACTCGGAGAAGAAGAAAAAAAGTCATTTGAGCTGAAGGAAAAATTATCAGATGTCAGTAAATTACTTGAAGAATCGAAAGAACAGATTTCTCTAAAGATGCAGGAGATAAATAATATGAGAGCTGAACTTACTACCTACAAACAGAAAGAAAGACAATGTTCTGATGAAATAAAACAGCTAATGGGAACTGTAGAAGAATTGCAGAAACGATGTTACAAAGATAGCCAGTCTGAAGCTGACATTGTGCAAAGAATGGAATTAGAAACACAAAGGAGACTGGCACAACTTCAGGCTGAATTAGATGAAATGCACGGCCAACAGATTGTACAAATGAAGCAAGAATTAATTAAGCAACATGCAATGGAAATGGAACAGCGTCTTTCACAACAAAAGGTAGAATTGGAAAAAACTTCAAGCCTGTCTTTGAATGAGAATGTTAATAAAGATCAAATGCATTTAATGACTATTAAAATTAATGAAATGAATGTAAAATTGCAAGATGCTGATAATGAAAGGAAAAGAATAAAGCAAGAATTGTTGCAACAGATGGAAGTCATTTCAGCAGAGAGGTCTCTTCAGCAAACTAAAATTGAAGATCTTCTCCAAGAACTGAATTTTTCAAGAGAACAGGTTCAAAGAGCCAAACAAAATATAGTGGATATGGAATGTAAATTAAATGAAGCTGAAAAACACCAGTTTATGATTGAAGATTTGAAAACTCAGCTGGCTTCTGCCTCTGAATTTAGAAAGGAATTGGAATTAAAACATGAGGCAGAAGTCACAAATTACAAAATAAAACTTGAAATGCTGGAAAGAGAGAAGGATGCAGTTTTGGACAGGATGGCAGAATCTCAAGAAGCAGAATTGGAAAGACTGAGAACAAATCTTCTGTTTAGTCATGAAGAGGAACTTTCCAGACTTAAAGAAGATTTACAAAAAGACCACATGGTCAACATGGAAAGCCTTAAGGATAACTTGAATATGCATCATAAGCAGCAGTTAGATGAGGTACAAAATGAAATGAGTCGAAAGATAAAAGCTGTGCAATATGAAAATGACAACTTACTCGCCAAGCAAAATCAGTTGATACTAGAGATTTCAAACCTTAAAGATCTACAGGAGTCTGTTGTAAATTCTAAATGTGAAGAAATGACACTTAAAATCCATGAGATGCAGAATGAGATTGAAGTGCTTAGGCAAGAGGAAAAAGAAAAAGGTACCCTTGAACAAGAAATTCAGGAGTTGCAGCTGAAAACTGAGTTGATGCAGGAACAAATGAGGGAGAGAGAAGATAGCCTTCAAAAAAAATGTTCTGAACTTGAAACACAAAATAACCTTCTTAAGGGGGAAAACAAAACTCTGGAAGACAAATTAAAAGGCATGCTGATAGGCTCTGAAGAGAATGTTATTTTTAACAGTGTTAGCTCTAATTCAGAAATTTTGGACTTACAAAAAAGAATAGAAAAGCTGATTACTGAAAATGAGCAACTTAAAAACCAAAACAGTCAACTCCAAGAAGATACTGAAAGGCAGAAGAGTGCCTTTGCATTTACTGAGAAAAAACTTGAAGCTAGTTACAAAGAGCTGCAGAAAGAATGTGCTACTCTTCTGAAGGCAAAAACGGATTTAGAAGAGGATAAGAAAAAGCAGGAAGCTGAATATAAAATCAAACTCAAAGAGTTGAATGAAAAACTTCACTATTTACAAAGCAATAGATCAGTTCTATCTAAAACTAAAACTTCTGGTTTTGAAGGGAGTAAAGAAATCAAGGCGTCTAGGGTAGACACATTTGAGGCTGGAGACTTTGTTGAGAAAGATGTGACAGAACTGATGGAAAAGCTTGAGGTTGCCCAGCATGAGAAACTGGAATTATCCCTGAGACTTTCCAGTGTCGCTGAACAGTTGAAGTCAAAACATAATGAAATTTGTCATTTAAATGAAAAAGTTAAATCCTTAAAAGATGAGAAAGAACAAGTTCTAGCAAAATGTAAAGAACTAGAAGTCATAATTAGCCATGTACAGAGGGGAAATAGTAGTAGTAATTTTCCTAAGACAAAATGTTCTAAAGGAAAATCTCTAAAAACTTCTGCTCCAGCATCTGAAAGTAGAAGTAAAACTGCTGGTCCAAGGAATAAAGTTGATGAAGGAATAAATGTAAGAGGAAATCTAGGTTCAGGTAAAGATATCAGTCATGAAGTGACGAAAAGAAAGGAAGTTCAGCAAATGTTGAAACCAGAACAGTCTCTTGTAGAACATTTGCATGGGATGACAGACAGGCTGTCTGATGAAACATCGTCAATAGCTGTTACCCAGAGTGAAAAGAATCTTCAGCAGCAGGTGGATGCCTTAAAATCAGAACAGGTATGTTACATAAAGCAGTATAGAAAACAGTTTACCTGTGAAACTTTGTACTTGGAAATTTGCATCGTATTTTTCCTGTTAGATATGCTTTAAGTACAGGTGTATGGTCAAATTGTGTGGTAACATGGCCAGTGGTTAACAGTGGTTTTTACATGAATCACCGGAATGATAACCACAGTCAATGTGTGTGAGGGTGCATTTTTTTAAGTGAAAGAGATACTCTTCCCTGACATTTAATTAAATCAGCAACAACAATAACAGGTAAGAAGGTGATGTCTGGAGTACTTTGCACTTTGATGTAGCATTTAAGTTACTTGAGGTGAAGACTTACTCAGAACATATTTTTTTTTTAATCTGTGATTAGGTTTTCTGTTCTCTAAGTGCTCATTCGAACAATATAAAGATAGAAACTCTTGACTGCACCAGTCATTTTTTATCAATCTTGTGAAATACTCATCCCCATTTTCAAAACTTTTATCTATATGCAGTTTTCGCTTCTTAAGACATGTATCCGTATGCGTGAGAAATGTGTGAAGATACAGAGTTACACATGTTGTGATTCTAACCAATCTGTGTTTTGCTGGGGAAATTTTGCTTGTAATTTTTGGTAGTGTAAATGAGTTGCAGGTAGTATTGAAAGAATTGCTGTTTGTCAGTAAAAATAGCTAAGTATTGCATTACCAGTATTTAATTAATGCTGGAATCCTAAATCTGGCTTTAAATTTATATACAGTGATGAAGTTGAATAGCATGGTGAAAGAGGTATGCAACTAAGTTTTGTGTAGAAATAGATGTTAACCAGTCTTCTTCTTTTAATTTTTTTTTTCTTTTTTTTTTTTTTTGGGGTGGGGGGAGTTATCCATGTTCTAAAAATCCACCCAACTGTGAACTGATACCACCACTGCCTAATTTCATGTTGTGTTGTAGTTCATTCATTTCCTAAGAAATAAAAAGCAAAGCCACACTGAAACAGTTGTGAGGTTATAGAAAAGAGTTAACAGCTGTATAATTTGGGGTGGGGGGGTTGGGGTGAGTTTTTTTGTTTGGTTGGTTTTTTTTTTTTTTTTTTTATGAGGCTGTGGTAACAGTCTTGCAATTTCCTGCCTTAGAAGTAAAAAATCATCATGGTCTGTAGGTGTCTAAAAACCTTTTCAAACTTGAACTCTAAATAGCTTATTATTGGCATATCCTAAACATGCATAGCTTAGGAATAACATCCCCCAAAGTTCATACTAGAATGTTGGGAATGAATGTTTTTAAGGTCTGCTAACAATCGTCTTTTTTTTTCCTGTGTTTGGAGAAAACTTTCTTAACCTACACTGTTGGTAGTGATATTGATCTCACTTCATCTGGGTAGAATTTGTTGGGGTTTTATTGCTGCAAAATAGGAATTGAAGCGTATCGAGTTTTCTTGATTTTAATTCCTTTTTTTATTTTAAGTTGAGGTTTCATACTGTTAGGTTACAATTTGATTTTTCAAAACTGCATATATGTCTTTTTTTCAAAGACTGATTTACAGCTACAGATGGAAGCACAGCGCATTTGCCTGTCTCTGGTTTATTCAGCTCATGTGGACCAGGTTCGTGAGCACTTGAAAGCAGAAAAAGAGAGTGCACTTTGCAGTCTTAAGGAGGAACTTGTGCATAGTCATCTACAAGAGATGAATGATCTGAAAAAAATGCATCAGCTGGAGCTCCAGACATTGAAAATTCAACAAGCAGGTAACTTGACCAAAATTATGCGAATAGGGCCTTTGATATGGAAAACAATGTCTTTAAAGAAGCACATGTGCATGTAGCTGTCCAGTAAATCGTTTTTAGGTACCAAATTGTTTACCCATTATAAGTGGTCTGTTGCTCAGGGAGTATTTCCTATATCAGGAGATAGGAAGCATTACTACTCATGTTTTGCCATTATGTATTAGGTGAATTAATTGTAAAGAACTATATAATAGATTCACCTTTAAGGTTGTATTCCTTCCTGAAATAATAAGCAAATGCATCAGCAAAATATTTTGGGGCTCTGTTCTCTCAGTTCTCTATTCTTTGAATTTCTGCATTGACTTCTATCTTACATTAAGTAAGATTCTACTACCTCTTGAGACTGTTTTGCATCTGTGAGCTTTTATGTTGTTGTGATGGTTTTCTATCCCTACTTTTTCTGTGATCTCATGATTTGCCCTTGTGTAATTTTTTTGGCATAAGTTCTTTGTCTGCTAGTATGTTTCTATAAAGTTCAACCTTTGTAGAATTCACGAATGCACAAAGCCATTTCTTTTCGCTTAACTCCTCTTGAACATTATTATATTGAATGGATGTGATGGAACAGAAAGGATGGGAACAAAACACTATGCCTTTCTAAGAGCTGAAGAGGCAACCTCACCAAGGCAGGAAATTAGGACTTCGAAAAGTTGTGCATCTAGTGTTTAAAAATAATATGAATAATTTGTATTCATAGATGATGAAGTCAAATCTACACAAAGACTTATAGAAAAGCTAAATGAAGCTGTGACTGAGGAATGTTCTAGGCTTGCTCAGGTAAGATTTAACAGCCTTTTTTAGAATGGAAATTTTGAAAATGGAAAATTGAGTGTACAGTGAGTCATCCTATTTTCCTACATATTTTTTAACAGGTTTTCATTGCAGCTTTTCTCTTTGCATTGGCCTCAAAATAGACACTGATAAACCTGATGTTCCAGAATAACATTGCAAGGGTTTTGGTGGTTTTTTTTTCCTAAGCTGTTTTATGTCCTTGTCCAGACAATTCTGCTGTTTTATACTTAGTTTTAATCTTCTATCTAACATTTGTCTTATATTTACAACTTCAGAAGTTGGGGTTTCTTTTTCTTTCTATATGTCTTTGGCTATATGTTTTTGATTTAACAGTGGTCTGATGTCACACACATGTTGACACACAGGGCATCACCCTCATGTTTGCAGTAAGGTAGTAATTTCTTTCTTTGCAGCAGAATATCTTTTACAGACTTAAAAGTGCCTGACAATCTCACAAATTGCTCTCTGTATTTTTTCAGTAAATCAGTATTATTTTCAAAAATTGAAGCTTATTTTTAGTCTGTATTCCAGTATCAGCCAGCAGTATTACTATTTTGCCTGTTTAGTGTAGAATACTAGTAATCAATGGCCCTTACAGGTACTTTTTGTCCAAGAATCAAGTTACTTATTAAACTTAATTCTGGATAAATTCATCTACTTCCATCATTCATTATAAGCCATGTTTTTCCAATCTTAAAATACTTAAAATGGTTGTTTTTGGTGGTGTAGGGTTTTTTTTCCTTCTTTGCTGGACCTTTTTCAACATCTTTCTGAAAACTGGGTAGCAGGACTTCTTTACTTGAGTGCCAGCATTGGAGAGATTAAGCAGGACTCCATGATAGCTTGCAGAAAGTAGCAGCTGAATGAGAGTCTTTGGCATTAGTTGTTTCACAGCTGGGAAAAACTGCCAATCATGATTCCATGTTGAGCTTTTGGAGAAATTATTATCTTACTTCTTAAGTTGAATTTGCTGTCTATTGAGATCCAAATGTTTACATAAAGAATCCCACTGTGTGCTTTGAGTAGGATGTTTCCTTTGAGGTATCATTTATCTTCTGAAATCATACGGATAAATCTTCTGTTTGTCTACTCATTGTAAGTATGGCAGCTATTCTGCTGGCCACATAGCACCAACAAAGTGAGGCAGTCTGTTTATGACATACTTGAGTTTTCTTTTGCCATCCCTTTTATCCTAATTGTTCAGTACTTAAGAGCAAGATGATTTGTAGTCTCTACAAAGATACAAATTTCTGCTGTAGGGAATCCTAAATAAAATTTGCACTGTATGAGGATGAGACATTTACAATGTAAATTTGCCTTTAGCATTAATCAAGGAGGCCTTTCACTGCCAGATTCTAATACTTGGCAGTTCCAAATTAAATAACAATTCCAAAATATGTGTATGTGTTTTTTACTGAAATGTCTTTCCATTCTTGTTTCTTTTGTCAGGAGTTTTAAACATCATCTAGGTTCTTAAAACTCAACAGAACATCTGTGCCATTATTTCCACAGAAAATAATATTCACAAAAAATACTTTCTTGCCACAATTTCTCCTGTTTTCTTTTTGAATTGTGATTGATAAATTAATTAAAAATTCTTCACTGTTTCATTGTTTCATTTCTTGTATAGGTTTTGTGTGACACTCAGAATGAACATTCTTCAGCTGCTATAGAAGTTGGCAGTAGGGAGCAGGATATTTTCCATAGACCTCCTGCTGTGAAAGAACAACTGAGTGTAGAATTACCAGTACACAGAGGTCAAGCTCAAGGTAGTGGCATTGTACTATCATGCTGGTTAAAAATACCTATTTAAAGTAATTCAGTCTAGCAGTTCTGCCATTAGTTGTTCAGGTGCTACCTAACAAGCCTAAATTGCTGCTTTAGAGACTTTGTCAGTATCAATATTCTGAACCACTTTTATTTCTTGTTATGAGTATTTGCTTGTACTGTTTTTATTACGGTGGAGATTGGTGAAAAACATTGGTAGGACTGTAGTTCCCCCCCCCCCCCCCTTCATTTGTAGAAGCTAACAGCTCTACCCAAAAAACCGTACATATCAGCACTACATACAAATGCATCCAGAATTTGGAAGGAGCCTCACTTTTTACAATACTATGTAATGTTTATGAAATAATTCTTTAGTGGAGAACTTATGAGCCATTCACTGTAATAAAATCTATGGCAAAATGACTGATTTCTCTTTTTTTTTTTCCTAAGTCCCTGGTTATCTGTGTAATTTAGTGGTACAAGAACGTATGGATGAACTTCTACACAAGATAACGGAAGAATACAGTAGGCTGAAAGCACTTCAAACACAGCTGATGAAGGACTGTAAACAGGTAAACTTTTTATGCTTTTTTGAGATTTCTGTTGCACAAATTCCCTCTGGGTGAGCATAAGAATGTGTTTGAAGTAGCATTTATGTATCCTGGTTGAGTGGCAAAGTAAGGCAATGTTTTGGTAAACTGGAGAAAGCTGCCTGTGTCACAGCATTGTGACAATGGCTGAGCTTAGAAGGCACCTCTGGAGTTCATCTAATCTAGCCACTGGCATAAAGCAGCTAGAGGAGGTTGCCCAGGACTACGTCCAGCTGAATTTTTTGGTGTCTCCAAGGATGAGGACTCCACAAACCCATTGGGCAGCTTTCTCTTCTTCAGGTTACACATTCCCAGCTCTCTTAGCCTATCGCTGTAAGACACATGCTCCAAGCCTCCCACCTTCTTTGTGACCCTCGACTGGACTCATGCCAGTGTATTTGTTTCTCTCTTCTACTGGGAGTACTGCACTTGACCCAGCACTCTGCATGCATCTCACCAGTAGAGAGGAAGGATCTCCTCCGTCAGCCTCATGGGAAATGGTCTTCCTAATGCAGCCCAGGAGGTTATTGGACTTTTGTCCTAATGGCACATTGCTGGTTCCTGTTCAGCTTGGCACTCACCAAGGCCCTCAGGGTCCTTTTCCTTTCAGCCAGTCCATTCTCTGCATGTACTGGTGCACAGGGCTGTTCCTCTCTAGGTTGCAGGAGTTGTCATTTGCCTTTGTTGAGCTTCATGAAGCTCCTCTCAGCCCATTTCTGTGGCCTGTTAAGCTCTCTTGAAACAGCAGCACAACCATCTGGTGTATCCCAGTTTTGTATAGTCTGCAAATCTGCTGAGGGTGCACTGTTGTCTCATTGTCCAGGACATTAACGAAAAGGTTAACCAGTATTGGCTTTGCTATTGACCCATTAGGTACACCACTAGTTATTGGCTTCCAGCTGGACTCTGTGCCACTGATGACAACCATTTGAGCTGAGCCATTCAGCTAGTTTTCAGTCACCCTCCCCATTCTTCATCAGTTTGCTATGACCATGTAGTGGGAGTTGGTGTCAAAAGGCTGGTCAGGAATGATTTTTCTTGTCATAAATCCATACTTACTGCTCCCAAATGGAGAATCTTCTCAGCTTTGTGTGTTGGGAAATTATTTCCAGGATTATTTAATCCATCACCTTCCCAGAGATCAAAGTGAGGTTGACTTGCCTGTAGTGCCTCAAGTCTTCCTTCTTTCTCTTCTTGAAGGTAGGACTGTTTTCATCTAGTCCTCAGAAATCCCTCAGTCACCATGACTTTTCAAGGATAATTGAGAATGGTCTCACAGGAATATAAACTATCTCCTTCGTCACTCCTTGGTGTATCCCATCACCCACCACCACGTGGTTCATGTCCACTCTGTTCCCTAACCTTATCCTCCTCCACCAAGGTTGTCTTGCTTGCTTTGAACTTCTACACTGATCTCGGGGCCTTGGGATTCCTAAAGACAAATTTTATTAGTAAATTTGAGGTTAGGTACTTCCATGTGTTAAATGGAGTACACTAACCATAGCTAGAGATGCTTGCAGGTCATGTGTATTGATGGATATACATGTACAGGGAAAAAAAAAAAGAGTATGTGAAAGCTGCATCTTGGGCCTGAAGAGGGTATTAGGTACTTCCACTGCAAGGAGGAGAGGAAGACTAGTGCTTTTGGGGTCAGAGGAATTGTGACTTAGCAATTTATATCCAGAGAGAGGATTTTGAGATTTACAGTGGATGTTCTGTACAGGCTGATCAACTGCCTGTAAAAGTATACTTGGTTATTCAGGCTGTAAAATGAAACACATAGTTACACTGCTTACAATCTCTTAAGCATTGGCCACCAATTCTTATACATTTATAATTACAGTTAATATTTTTGCATCATTGCTAGACAAAATGTTGTCATTTATACTCACTGTGTTATTTTTTAGGTCAAAAAACCATGGCTGTCTTCTCCAGAAAGGAGAAAAGAAGAGCAACGCAGTCATCGGGAAACAGGAAAGGAATGTCTGCAGACCACTTGGCAGGATCTAATGGGTAAAAAGATGCATATGCTTGTTTTAATCTATGTATATTCAGAGAGACAATTACTTTAAATTTTAACCAATCTATAGCTTACTACAGCTTGGAATACATGATTTTCTTAAATCTCTAAAATATTTCAGGATTAAATCTGTGAGATGGTTTTTGTTTAGTCTTTTCAGGTTTTCCACAGTTAAATTTCTGTTACCCATATCAAATGCAATTTTGACAAATGGAAGATTAAGTTATAATTTTTCTCGTGGAAAAGTAATTGATATGATAGTAGAAGAAAATATTAACCACAATAATAATTCAGTCCATCACTGCTGTTAATTTTGGAGAGAGTTGATGTCATTTATTTCCCCCCTTCAAATTACCTGCATACAGATCCTACAATTCAAGAATACTGTTTGAGGGAGATAGGAAACCTTAAAACACAACTTGAAGAACAGCATACTCAAGAACTGGAACACCTCCGGTCCTATTTCCAACAGCAGCTGAAAGAAAGTGAAGAGAGATACACTACAGAGATTGTCCGTCTGCAAGATAAGCTTCATAGTGCTGGGGTATCCTCTGACCATATGAGGTATTAGTCGCTACATTGTTTTGATCCTCCAAAAGTTAAGTGTTATGAAGAAATGACATAAACAATGCAAATTAAGTAGTATAGCATTTAGAATTTACTATATTTTTATAGTTAATAGAGCAAGATTTGGTAATCAGAAGAATGTATAAATACTATTTCATATACATGAGCTTTTTAGCAGTAGTTTCAAAACTTCCAGCTTAACAGAGCACTTTTAACCTTCAAAACTCCAGGCAATGTACTTTACATCTAGAGATACCTTGTGTAGACATAGTTGCATGAAATAAAATATTTTCTAGGATGATACGTAGCGATAAAGTCTGAGGCAGAGTTGAGGCCCTCTTTAAGCTTTCTGGCTTTCACACACTCATCAGCCTTCTCCTGACCCTGACCGTGGTGAGAGTTCAAACCTGAAAGAAGTCTGAGTGTCTTGGGGGGTTCTGACAACTGTGGAGCCTCCTTCTGATCCCTCATTATTTCTTAATTCTTAAAAAAAAACTCCAAACTATTAACATTTTCAAAATGCATTTTGTGAAACTGTGCTTCTGTATGTGTGTTGGCCAGGACAAATTATAAATACTCATATATGATTTCTAAATTATTTTAAAATGGGCCATTAGTGTTCTGATTTAATCTATGGCAGTTGTTCACATAAAATACTTAAAATTCATTTTCCATATGTTTCATAAGCATTTATAGCAATTATTGGTACTTGAAGAAAATTCCTATGAAGAGTTGCATTCTCTTAAGTTCAGGTTTTAAACATTAAAATTAAACTGGAGTTTTACACAAATGTTTCTAGACCAGTACATACCTTGGTTTCTAATAACGTAGTATGGACACCTGTCTCATTATGTCTTAAGCTTGAAGAGGAGTGTCTTTTAATGGTGTAGTCAGTAACCTGCGGAATGATCATGCATACTGCTTCTCCATACCTCATTTATTGCTGTATCTTTTAATCTTAAGTAGGAATATAGCTCCAGGCAAAGCCTGGGGATTTTTTTGGGGATGTTTTAGAATCATAGCATCATAGAATAGCTAGGGTTGGAAAGGACCTTGAGATCATCTAGTGCCAACCCCCCTTCATGGGCAGGGATGCCTCACACTAAACCATGTCACCCAAGGCCTCATCCAACCTGGGCCTCATCCAACCCTGCCAGGGATGAAGCATTCACAACTTCCTTGGGCAACCCATTCCAGTGCCTCACCACCCTTACAGGAATGAATTTCCTCCTTATATCCAATCTAAACTTCCCCTGTTTAAGTTTGAACCCATTACTCCTTGTCCTACCACTACAGTCCCTAATGAAGAGTCCATCCCCAGCATCCCTACAGGCCCCCTTCAGACACTGGAAGGCTGCTATGAGGCCTCCATGCAGCCTTCTCTTCTCCATGCTGTTTCTCAGCCTGACTTCATAAGGGAGGTGCTCCAGCCCCCTGATCATCCTCGTGGCCTTCCTCTGGACTTCTTCCAACAGTTCCATGTCTTTTTTATGTTGAGGACACCAGAACTGCACACACTGCTCCAAGTGAGGTCTCACGAGAGCAGAGTAGAGGGGCAGGATCACCTCCTTCGACCTGGTCACGCTCCTTTTGATGCAGCCCAGCATACCGTTGGCTTTCTGAGCTGCAAGCACACACTGAAGCCGGCTCATGTTCATTTTCTCATAGACCAGCATCCCCAAGTCGTTCTCCCCAGGGCTGCTCTGAATCTCTTCTCTGCCCAGCCTGTAGCTGTGTCTGGGATTGCTCTGACCCAGGTGCAGGACCTTGCACTTGGCATGGTTAAACTTCATGATGTTGGCATCAGCCCACCTCACAAGCGTGTCAAGGTCCCTCTGGATGGCATTCCTTCCCTCCAGCGTATCAACTGAACCTCACAGCTTGGTGTCATCGGCAAACTTGCTGAGGGTGCACTCAATCCCACTGTCCATGTCAGTGACAAAGATATTGAGAAAGACTGGTCCCAAAAGCAATCCCTGAGGGACACCACTCGTTACTGGTCTCCAGCTGGACACTGGACCATTGACCTCAACTCTTTGTGTGCGGCCATCCAGCCAGTTCTTTATCCACCGAGTGGTCCATTCATCAAATTGCTGTCTCTTAAATTTAGAGACAAGAATGCTGTGTGGGACAGTGTCAAGCACTTTGCACAAGTCTGGGTAGATGACATCAACTGCTCTACTGCTGTCCATCAGTTCTGTAGCTCCATCATTGAAGGCCACCAAATTGGTCAGGCAGGATTTCCCCTTAGTGAAGCCATGCTGGCTGTCACCAAGCACCTTGTTGTTTTTCATGTGCCTTAGCATGCCTTCCAGGAGAATCTGCTGCAAGATTTTGCCAGGCACAGAGGTGAGACTGACTTGTCTGTAGTTCCTCGGGTCATCCATTTTCCCCTTCTTGAAAATGGGGGTTATATTTCCCTTTTTCCAGTCATCAGGAACTTCACCTGACTGCCATGACTTTCAAATATGATAGACTTATGATAGCTTAGGAACTTCATTTGCCAGCTCCTTCAGGACCACGGATGGATTTCATCAGGTCCCATGGATTTGCGCACATTCAGGTTCTTAAGATGGTCTCAAACCAGATCCTCTCTTACAGTGGGCTTAAGGTCTTCATTCTCACAGTCCCTGCATCTGCCTTCTAAGACATGGGTGGTGTGGTCAGAGCATTTGCCAGTGAAGACTGAGGCAAAGAAGTCATTAAGAACTTCTCCAAAACTGGGGCAGCCAGTTCTCCCGATAGCTTCCGGAGAGGGCCCACGTTGCCCGTAGTCCATCTTTACATTTGCAGTGTAATTATAGAATCCCTCCCTGTTCCTTTTCACATCCCTATGTTCATCTGGTTGTATATCCTATTGCAACATCAGAAAAGAGAACAGTTACTGCTCTACATTCATCAAATTAAACGTGAATGCTAAAAATAATTGGCTGCTTTTCACAGTTTACAACATTTCAAGTGTTCTAAAATTACTGTTCTGGACTCCATTTCAAGATTATTTAAAACCAGCTCCCAGATTTGAGCAAAACAAAAGCTTCATGCTCTCTGTAAAACCCTAGTGTAGTTAGGTTGTCTCACAAACAATAAGCTTATCTTCTAACTTAATCTGGTTTGTACCCTGTCTTCTAGCAAGGGATTTGTTTCTTTGTAGTAGCAGGTCACAAATTCTGTAGGAGTTATATTTTTTTAGGTAGTTTGGTACCGTATCGTATGCTTTTGGTGGTGTATTTTGGTGATGTGTGGTATTATTTTGGTTTTTACTGATTTATAGCATTCTGAGTATATAGAGCAGTTTGCTGGAAAAGACAGTCTCTGAATATATTTCAGGATTTTGTTATCTAAGTATAAAACGAATCATATTAAATTTCTTTCTGTTTTCATATGTATGACTCAATAATATAGCACAGGAATGAAAGAAAGCAGTGAATCTGTTGATAAACGTCAGTTTAAAATAACCAAAATAAATATAACCACTTTCTAAGTGTTTTCGTGGCTTCGTACACATATCCATTCTGGTTTCTCACATATCCTTATGACTCAAAGAGGTGCTTTTGTCTTCATCTTACTATGTGTAGTTATTGAACACAAAATATTCTCAGATAGCTTTGAATTAAGTTGTTTGTTTCTTCTGCATTTTTAGTGTATTCACAAATCCAGAAATAAAACTAAAAGAAGTCTTCAGGAAAGTGAAGTGCACTGAAAATCTTCATCAGCAGAGAACAGATGAAGCACTGGAGGTATCATATAATTATCATCTTAGTGCTATTTAGACTGCTGTTAGTCCACGTTAGAGGAAAAAGATAAAAATTTTGCTGAGAAATATTTCTGTGAATTAAGTGCAATAAAACTTATTGGTCCTGGGTTTTACTTTTTTTAGAATCTTATTTGTAAGATTAAAAAAAGACATTTGGTTTGGGCTGCTTCTTACAGAAGTGGAAGAAAATTAGTGTTCAATTTCTGGGATTTCTTCAGGAGTCTTTAAAAGATCATGACTTTCCTTAAAACACTAGTTAAGAAAGAAGAGCGATTTAAGTGAAATCTTAGTACTTTTGAAGTGTTGACTGCGCGGTTCAGGAGAAATACTGAAAAAGTAATCCCAAAGATCTTGAAACCCAAATGTAAATGGAAGAGAACAAATACATTCCTACCCTAGTACTGCTTGAAAACTGGCTCAAAAATTCTGCGTTTTGAAAAATATCGATGCTGGTTTATGCTGTGATCCTGTGCTTTCTCACCTGTTTTCTCTGCATTTGACAGTAAAAATAGTGCTGGAAGAAGAGTTGCTACAGACTCAAAATTTGAAGTTCAGTGTAAAGCAGAAAGAAGTCTTTTACTCAATTCTTTTTTGTTACAAAATTTACATTTTTTGTTGTTTGTTTTGTTGTGTTGTTTTTTGTTTTTTTTTTACAGCTTCCTAGTGAAATTGAAATGCAGAATGATCTGGATGCTGTTCAGTTGCTAGAAAAACAGTACCAAGAAAGATTAGAAGAAGAAATAGCAAAGGTACTATTTTTATTTTGGTACTTTACATTTGTAAGGTACAGTAATTTTTATTTGCCATTTCTGACAATTCAGACAATTGCATTACCATATGCTAGCAGCCAGTCTATGATAATGCATAGTTTTTATTTGGATCGGATGAATGAATCATAAGGAAAATTAAGATTTTTATAGGTAGGCTATATTAAAATGTTTGTGGATTTACTTGCTTTTTTACTTCCAAAATAGTTTTAAATTCTTTGCAGAATGAAAAAAATATCGCTGCTTTCATTATTTCATCAAATTAGCATAAATTAAGCATTGGAAAAAAATAAAGGAGTACTTCTTAAAAAAGTTTGCAGTCAGAGTTAAGAAGGTTATAGCCAGCACTGGGTAATCACATTAATTTAAGCAATCCGCATTTCTCGATTGAAAGTTCCATTTCTCTCATCTGGTGCCAAGAAAACCCTTCTTTATGAGAAAATGAAGTACGTGATTGGCTGTTGTTTTCCTAAGAGCAATTTAACTTCAATAAACAAACTCACATTTTCTTGAAAAGAAGGATTGGGTGTTTTCAAGTGTAACACTTCTATATTTATTATTCTAATTTTTTACACTTTTTGTAGCTTACCTTATAAATGTCTGTATTCTGTATCTAGAAAAGAACGGCTCACATAATTGGAAAAGGGGTGTATTTCTATTAGAAAGAGATACTTATTGGTCACAACCAGCCTGTTGTGACTACAATTGAATCTATTTAATGCTAATAGAAGTTTCTTTCTGATCAAGGAAAATTCCTGTTTTGAGTATCAAGCATATGGCTCTGCTGTCTTGATACAGCCCAAAATTTTATGTCAGTGAAAAGTTTACAAAGGATGCTTGGTTAGGTAGAAAAGACTTGGCACAGCTGCACTTATATCAGTATGCCAGGGCTTTTACAAGCCACCTGATAGAATCTTTTTTAAAAAAGAACTATATAATTCTGTGTTAAATAATGTATTTTAACTGAAAATGGCATCATAGTTTATTAAACTACCATAAATGCAGCATTTCTGTATTTTGAGATATGACTGTTGATGAGATTGGCAGTGTGTCTCTCTTCTTTTAAATTTCTGTTTTCTTCTGGGGGGAAAAAGGTCATAGTTCAGAACTTTTAGTACTTATGTTATTGATAGTAATGAGTTTCTGTGAAGCATAAACTAATACAGTCTTTCCTTATTTATTCAGGTAATCGTGTCAATGAGTGTAGAACTTGCCAAACAAACTGAATTGTCGGGAGTTGCTAGGCAGAAGGAAGAAGCAGAAACACAAACTGTATATCAACAGGGAATGCATTTTGAAATCAAAAAGCAATACAGTGAAGAGGTTGACAGCCCTTTCAGAAAAGCAACAGGAAAAGAGAATAAGAATGAAGAACTGAAGTCACTTTGCAAGGAACTCAGTGAAGAGTCTGGTGAGATCAACTCGCTTGGAGAACAGCTTCATCCTAATAGCAAGCCTAGTTGTGTATTAGGACAGACTACACATGAATCAGTGATTTCTGAAGAACTTCTATCTCATGTTGAAGGTCTTAAAGCAGAAGTAACACCAGTAAGTGTTCTTAAGAAAATAATTGGCAGTGTGTAACACTATGTCTGAATTTTCTTTCCAATGCATTTACGCTTCATTTCAATGGGAAAAACGAATACTGCAGAGAAAGAAATGAAGATTAAAATTTCATTGAAGTATTTTCCTTTCAAAGGTGTGACAACTTTAAACCTGAATTATCTACCGTTATTTCCTTGTGTTCTGCCTGACTACCATAGTGTTATGTTATGCTGTGAGGAAAGGAATATGACACTGGCTACATGAAAATGGATTATTCCATTTCATGGATACAACTGTATTGCAAGCCATAAATTGTATTAAGGCTTTTCATAAGCTAGGCTATATTCTAGTGTTTATACAAAGAACATATTACTAATAGTGCTTAAAGAGTTTGAGCCCCTTGTGATAAAGGATATCAGATGAACACAGAAGTTATAAAAGTATTATCTAAAATATACAGATAACATATCGCAAACATGGGGTGGGGGTAAGGTTGAATAAATACGGTAAAAAGCAGTCATAAATTTTGACTCCACGTTTTCATCCTCAGCTTTTTTGAAGCAAAAATTACACTTTCAAATTTGTGTAGCAGTTAAACTTTCTGATTTTGTATTATCTTGACCGTGAGAAAATGTAATATTCTTGTTTTGAATTATACTGCTCTCTCAAACTTCTGTTGTTATACACACATATATGTCTGCCACTGTATTTTCTGATGAGATTCCCACCAACTAAAAAGCATGAGTTAAAGTAACACTGTTCACAGTTACTTCTGAAAACTTGTCTTGTAATTTGAGAATAATTCTAAGCCTGGACCTTCCAGGAAGCAGGCACCAAAATAATGCTTTCGTGATGGCTACTTCAATTTCTGAAAGGATTTTCTAAAATTTATTTAAATACTTGCTACAAACTGTCATTGGACATAAAATGCTAAAATAATTCCAATATTTCAGCACTACGGTGAGATGACAGCACCAGACACAGAAACAGCAAGTCAGCTGTTGTTATATGAGGAACGTTTGGAAGACATGAGACAGGAGCTGGTACGGCAATATCAGGAACATCAGCAGGCAACGGAATTACTGAGGCAAGGACACATGCAGCAAATGGAACGTCAAAAAGAAAATCAAGAGCAACTCTTAGCAGAGCTTGAGAGTCTTAAAGTGCAATTAGCTGAGGTAATACGGAGTTTTAACTCATATTAACTCATTGAGTAACAAAGGGACAGCAGGCAGATTTATATTTATTTATACTTGTATCCCTTGAAATAGAGGCACACACATACTTGCTATATGTATGTATACATACCCATGTGTGCACACACGCATTATCTATTTGTATGTTTATATATACAAACATATATGCATATATGTAAAGGGCATATTTCTCATTTTCAAAGTTCAGTTAGTGATGGATCAATTTTGAATTCTGTTAACCTGGAGAAAACCTGCAGTGTTGCATAGCAGCCAGAAGAGAGAGTGAGTGAGTGAGTGAGTGCAGGTGCATTGTAAACCATGCCACCTTGCAGATACATGGCCTTGCACAGGATACAGGCTAACATCTGTTTACATCAATGAAACCACCAGCCATGGCTAGAGATACTATAAATAGTGTATAATTCTTCATTTTTTCCTCATCCCCACTTTAAGTTTGAACTTGAACAATATTGATGGCTTTCTCCCTTTTTCTGGTGGGTTTGTGTGGTTTTTTTTTTTGCATGGGAGATGAAGTTCTTAGACTATTGGAATAAAAAAAGATCTGTGAGATTTGGTGGGTAACACCACTGTTTCTTTGCCTTTTAAACTTAACTTGCAATCACTCTGCACCAGTTCAAATCCTATGGCAGGTATTGTAATGAAACTCAATAATTTATCTTAATTATTAAGTCTTCAAAAATGTCCTTTATAGCCTTGCCTTCCTTCTTCCTTCAAAAAGCAAAGTAAACAGAATGAAGAAGAATTTGTCTTGCTGTGATTTACATTCAGCAATGTAACATTACAGAAGCGCATGTGAAAACAGTAATCAGTGAATTCTAAAACAAAGCTTTATGTTCCTTCAGACCTTATCCAAACCTGGTCCTGTTCTGTTTGTTTTGGTTCAGTGAGGTGGGTAATCTAGAGAGCTAGTTACTTGTATCCTAGGTGTCTTTTCCAGCAGCATCAGGTATATGATTCTCTTAAATGCTCAGTAGGCGTCTAGCCTGATAATCTTTCAGTATATGCAGCCTATCTCATTTTATCTCTTTGTCAATTTGCAATTACATCTTTCATCAGGGGTTGCAAATTCCTGAAAATAGTTAAAAGCATTAAGCAGAACTTATGCTGCTGGCTTTATTCAAGTTTTTAATGCCAAGGGTGTTTATCCATAAAAACTGCATGGGAACGTGTATGCTGTGTTTATGCCATGAACACTTCTAGGTCTTGTAAAAGAGGGTGTGTCTAGGCTTATTATAAAAATAATTTATTTTCATCTGATTTTTCTTGTGCAAAACATCTAATAACCAGAAATTCCTTCCAGTTTTTGTTGTGACCTCTGTGTTTTATAAAGTGCATAAAAATGCTGTTAAAATCTTGAAGATGTAAGATGCCAAAAATATTTATTAGCTGTATTTCATTATATAAAGCTTTCAATGTCTTTGTAAGCATATAAAGAGGTGGACTGAAATTTCATTGTGCAAAATATGTAAAAAATTAGAAGTGACAGGACTCACTAATACTCAGAAGCTTAAAAAATTGTGTGTGCCCCTCTAACACTTCTTTTGTAGCATGTCTCAATGGAGAATGACAGCCTGGTTGCAGAGAGAGAGAGAATGCTTTTAGAAGAACTGGAATCATTAAAACAACATTCTGCTTCCGGAAGAGAAAAGCTGGCTTGTGAGCTTCGAAACAACAGCACACAAACAGAGGTAAATATGGACTTTGACTTTCTTGGCAGCTGTGGCATGTCAAACCGGTAGGATTTCTTTTTGCTGTTAATCTTTTCGTGTAATATATTTTCCTAAAAGATGTTGAGTATTGCTTAAACAGAACAGGTTTAAGAATCAAAAGGTGGTGCTGGTAGGCATATTTTTTATTTTTTTCACTTCAGGTAAGCAGAAGGTATTTTAACAGCTTGAAGGTGGGGTTTGTTACTGTACCTATTTGCCTAGGTAAAGTCACATTTTCATATTGCTATAGCAACGCCAACAGAAAATCCAAGGTCTGTTTATTCAGCATAGCAAAGTTCTAATAGGCCCTGCCTTCGATTTCCTGTTTTGTTTTTATTTGGTTTAGTTAATTTTTCCACACTGGGAGAGTATTTCTTGATCTGCAATTTGGTGCAGAAGTTTTATTCACAAAACACAACTAATTTAGGTTTTCAGTGGTGTATTCTACTGCATACAAGAAGAATATGTTGACTTTGGCATGACAGGATTTCTGTTCCTTTTGTCTTCTCTCCCTCTGCAAAAACTTACTCAGAATGAAAATGAAAACCCAAACGACATGAGAGAGCAGATCTTTGAGCATGAAGATGGAGGAAGAAAGCATGATGAAACATCTTCAGCTCTTCTTTCTAAAGAAAGGTGCTTAGAACTGTTAAGAAAACATTATTTTTTTTAGTTTTGGTAATCATATTCTTCTTGTTAAATTGATAATATTTATAAGCTTTATCCTGGCTGCTGGTGTAATTTTTCATTCTAAATAACTGTATTTCTAAGCTTACATACTTCAGATTAAGCAATGTTGGGCTTTTTATAAAGCCCAACAATGTAATGGCATAGAAGATGAGACAAATGTTAGGGTGTTTTAGTGTGTCTTTCATATTGCACTAGTGTGCAATCATTTATATAATTTATACATATGTATGTGTATACACATTGTATGTATATACATGAAATAAGCTTATATGAATATGATTGTTGTATTTGATGATACTTTTTGACTGTTCTGTAACATTTTGATCTGTGTAGTGGAACAATCTTCTTAACTGTCACTTTGAGAAATATTTATAATGAATACCAGGCAAGTAGACCTCTGTTTTAAAAGAACAGCTATTTAAAAAACCAAGGTAAAGTAGAACTTTTGATAAACAGTTTGACTTTTTACATATTTTGTAAAAAGAATTGACTTCTAACACAAATGTGCTTTAATATTTACGTATATGATGTGGTTTTAGTCTTAAAGAAATCATTTAAACTGCAAATCTTTCCTTGTTGCAAGGGTGTGTAAGGGATTAAACATTTTGAAAGCAGAGGAAAATCAGGACTGATTAGTCTTTGTCCTGCAGGGATGCTTTTCAGAAGGCTAATGAAAAACTCATGAAGATTCTTTTAGAAGTTGTGAAGACAACTGTGGCAATGGAGGAGACAATTGGTCGCCATGTGCTTGGGTTACTGGATCAGTCTGGAAAAGGCCAGCCTTCCAAACCAGTTGGATGGGGCACAGAGACAGAGGAGTCAGTAAAACCCTGTATCACTGTGGGGTATGAAAAAGGTAATGGTTGTATGGTTTTGCATACTTTCATTATAGATTTAAACAACCTTTAGTTTTGAAATTTTTAATCAAAAATAGAGTTTTAACTTTTTTTATTTGAATGCATATGACATCTCTGCTTAAGAGACAACATTTATGGAGTTGTCTCTGTCATGCCGCAAGACAGTTACCACACATTATCTATGTTTCAAAGCCTGCAAAGGAATGGGAAAGTGATTAAGAAAATAAAAAATAAGTATGTTCCCATTGAAGGGTGCAAAGAGAAAGAGAATTAAAAGTAGCTCCATGGTATTTTCCACCAACTTTGCACCTTCCTCTGTGTATGGGGAGTGGGAGCTAGTGTCAAAGGCTGTATCCCTACTAGTGCACTAAGTGTACATAGGGATGTTGCTGCTCACTGAGGCCAGCTGGCATGGGGCAGCCTGTATATATATTATGTGGTTGAGGCCTTCCTTAGCCTTCTAAAGAGGGTGACTGCATGCAAATAGCCTTTGAGAAACAGTTCCAGGAGCTTTCTGACTGTCAGGATTTGCCAATCAGCTGTTTGGAGGAGTGCTAGTTAGGACAAGCCTAAAAGGAGCATTTTAATGTTGTAGTTAGTTGCTTATCAGTGTCTAAGAACTGTCTCACGTTTAATTTTTTGTGATTGTACTAGGATAGTGTCTGTCCAGTTTACACAAGGAAAGGACATTTTTACTTGAGCCAGTTGCATTCTGTTGATTATTTTGACTGGACTGAAAAAGAAAATTGGGGGACAGAAAATTCAGTTTTAGTTCTACCGGGATGGAAGAATGAAAAGCATTCTAAGGATTAGTAAAATCAGGCTTAGGAATACAGCTGCCAGGAGTGATTAATAAAACTTGACAACATTTCTATATTTTGCTTCTTGTCTGTCATAGGAGCCATCCCACCATGTTTCTGTGATGTCTATTATACCCCCATACATGTGCACAACTCTCTGATTCCTCTTGTTTGTTCCCCATACTATGGGCATTTGTATATAGGCATCTGAGCCGAGCTCCATATGAAACTGTCTCAGTTGGCCCCTCCCCCAGCACATCTAGTTTAATAATAATAATATATGCATAACTGCACGTACAAAGGGCTAATACATGAACGTTGCCCTTCACTACTCTCATGTGTGCTTGCTCTGCATGGGCATGTACAATGCACAATACATGCATTTTCTTTTTGCTTGTTCCTGTACCCAAGTACAATGTGTGTACTTGTATGTGTTACTAATTATTGTAACGAACTATTCTTAATACACATTATTTGTATTACATATATGCACAGTTTTAAAAGTGCCATTATTTGGTGTTTTGGGTGTGTACAATACAGACTTATGCTTGGCTTTCATAATACAACTGTCTAAATGCACAACAGGCCCTGTAATTGGAATGTATTGTTGATTTCTTATGAAGTCTTCTGGTGAAAAAGTACTCTCGTAAATAAACAAGACCTCTCTTTATTCCATTCTGCTAGTGATGAAGGTTGCCTGTTCTAACTCTTCTGCTTGCTATTAGTGTATTTTGAAGAGGCATGTAAGGTTTTACTATTCTGTAGCAAAGAAATATCTACTATTGGAATTCCCTTCTTTGGTATTTGAGTGGCATTCAAGCTGTCCCTTTCAAAATGATCCAGTAGCATCCTTGCTGTGTACATTGTTCTGCCACTGGGGTGAGATAGCTTTACTAAGAGTCATGTTGTTCCATCAGCAGTATTTGGTCTTTCTTCAAGAGGAATTAGATGACAAATTCTGCTAATGTTTTCAGCAACAGGACTGTTGCTATTAATTTCCTATGCTTCTACTGAATGGCCTGAGAGAACATGACCTTTTAAAAGTTTTTTGCCATTGTTTTCTGGAACTAAGAAATAGGTAGACACTACTATTGTATATTAACGTGTGCATGTTGCTGTGTTTTCTACCACCTAGCCAAACAGATGTTCACAGCATCATATAATGGTTTGGGTCAGAAGGGACCTTAAAAATCATCTAGTTCCAACCCCCTGCCATGAGCAGGACATCCTCCACTAGACTGCTTCCTTTTTAATTATTTACAGAATCTGTAGGAATAAATTTGTACCAATGCAAATGAAATAATAAAATAGAAAATAAAAAAATAAAGTGTTTATTAATAAAGTGAATTCTCACTGACCTTCTCAACATAATCTATATTTATTGACAAACAAAACTCAGCTTACTGTTTTTGCGAAGTTTCATCATTTTAAAAAGCTGAATCATTAAGGTCACATACTTACAACCACAGCCTGATTTATAGAGTGTATAGAGGTTTATCTGGGACCTTGTCTAAGTCATTGGCTATCACAGGATTTTATTTCTAGCAGAGTGAGTAAAGTTCAAATTTCAGTCATAAAACATATCATTGGAAGCGAACAGCATTTGTGTAAAGTAAGCTGGCGAGCTAATTCTGTCTGGAGATTTGGGTCAAGAATTATGATGACAGAGCCAGCAGGCATTGCTGTACTCCTCCCTCAGATGTTGTACCCTAGGAGGAATTGTAGCACTGAAGATTGCTCTGGAGAAGCAGAGCATTCATTGTAAAACACTTTACCTGCTTTCTGAGCTCCTTGTTTCTGAACAGTATATCAGGAACAAGGTAGTAAATAGCTTTTTATACTGACCCACCATAAAACTGATTTTTTTTTTGTTTGTTTTCAGCTTGTAACCCCTAACCTTAAATTTTTAGTGGAATCCCAGGAGTAAACTTAGATACTAGTTCTGCATGATGCGAAGTATGTATTGCTTCAGAAGTGTCAGTTGACAGTTCACAAACAACTTCGGTATCTGAAACTTGTAAGCACTGTATAATTAAGCACTTTTCTTAAGATTTAGTGTGCCATGACATCTGACGTGATGAATGCAATCTTCATGGCAAAGGAAACAATATGAGCCTTTGTTGGTTTGGGGTTTCTTTTTTGTTACAAGGGGAGAGTTTACACATGGAAAAGACATTTTTACTTGAGCCAGTTACATTCTGTTTATTATTTTTAGGGGACTGAAAAAGAAAATTGGGGAACAGAAAATTTGATTTTAGTTCTACTGGGATGGAAGAATGAAAAGCATTCTAAGGATTAGTGAAATCAGGGTTAGGAATACAGCTGCTGGGGTGGTCAATAAAACTTGACAACATTTCTGTTTCTTGCTTCCACCACTGAAAATCTTCCAGCAAGGTGCTGTGTACTAGGGCTATTTTCAAGGGAAAAAGATAGAGAGATTTTCACCTTGGAGTTAGGAAGACCTTTAACATGAACTCCTGTTCTTACATGCCATTTTGCATAAGTTATGGGCATCTACATTTATGATTTTCCATTGATTTTTCTATTTGAGTTGCCAACCCTACAGTATAAGCGGAATTCTTACAGGGTGCGTTTGGTACTTTCTGGTTTTCCGTGTTTATCTTTGAGAATAAAGTTTAAATGTCATCTAAAGTATAAATTGGAACAACTCTTTTTCTTTCCCCCATTTGTTTATAGTTATATTTCAGGTAAATTATGATATTATGAGATTTTTTCATGTAATAAAATTATATTGTAACATTGATTTATTTTGCATTTATCCAGAAGAAATGGAAGCAAATTATAAAAGAACTGACATAAGCAAAACAGAAGTTTAAAGTATTGTCATGCCTTCCTGGAGGCCAAACTGTACTGTTCTGGTCATTGGCAAGAAGTAGTAATAATATTTGTAATACTAGTAATGTAGGAGACATGTTCTGGACCTGGCTTTTGAAAGAATTATGTTCTGAGCAGGCATCAGTGTTTTAAGCCTATTATGTTTTAAGTTTCCAGACAGCCAGAAGTTCAGATGGTTTTGTAACAGACTACACAGTTCTGCAGTTATTCTGTATAAAGTTCATTTTTGCATTTGATATGCACTCATCATTGCACAATTCAACTGTACCACTTGAGCAAATGATTTGCTAAAATGTAAGGGTTATAGGACATGAATTATGAGTTAAGCCTGAGAAGGAAGACAGGGACATTACATAGATAATTTGTACTCCATCAGGAAAGAATTAGCTTGTGCAATAACTAATATGTGATTGTTTTATCTTGTTTATAGCTGTGCTACTGTACTGTGGGCTTTTATTTGGTGAGATCTCTGAAGCTAAGCAGGGTCTTACCTGGTCAGTACTTAAGATGGGTGGCCTCCAAAGAGCATCAGGTGCTGCAGTAAGTGTGTCGGTGGCTCAGTAGGGAATACGTTTTCCTTCAACTCAGCCTCTAACTACCTTGGCACAGCATTTGGAAATACATATGCTGCTGGATGTCCATCTTAAATGAAGGTCCTTTCTACTCTGAGGATATTAAAGCTTCTGCATCACTATTGATATTTTGAGACACCCAGAACCAACCCAAATTTGCGTGTTGAAAAATCAGACTGCTATTGAATAAAAAATGTGAAATTGTTAATTTTGCAGCCTTCCTTACACTGCAGGGGGGTGAAATATTAGGATGCTATGGGGAAACTTTTATGCTGTACAATTCCATTGGGAATCTTTAGTGTGCTGGCAGAGGATGACTGCCAGCCACTGCTAGGGTGACTCCACTATAGCAGTTTGTTCCAAAGTGCAGTATTAAAAGTGCTTTGAAATCCTGTGTAGATGAAAGGAGCCATGTGAATGTGTATTCTATTCATCTAGTTATTCATTCCATTCATGCATACTGTGCCTCTGTTTTTTTCCCTTTGGAGTGTGAAAATAGTTTGTAACGTTATATCCCACATACCTAAAAGGAGATATGAAACAGTAATGATGTAACTAGAAGAAAAAAATTACTAAGTACATCTGCATTTTAAAAATCTTAGCAATTGTAAAATAAAAGTAAATGAAATTAAACCTTTCTAAATTAAAATCTCTCTAGATTACTTTGTTGTATATGGGTCATATATACAAGCTGCATCTATAGTGAAATAAGTGTGTAGATATTATTATCAGAATGTTTGCAGGTACAGTAAGTAAGCCAGGTGGTTAATCATGTTGCAACAAACATGAAAAACAAACTGACTTCCTTGTTAGGTTCAACATCAGCAAGAGGATTTCCAATGTTACTTGTATGCGTGGTTAAGAGGCAAGAGCAAGTATAAGGATATTGTGTCTAACATGTACTGACTACAGTTTTTAAGGATAATTTTGTAAAATTGACCCATTATAATTTCATTTCAATCTCTGTAACTAAACAAACTGTTCCAGTTCAGCAGTCACAGTTCATAGAGTAACCAGGAACTTAAATTCAGAGATCACTGAGTATTGCAACTTTGCTGCTAAACAGGTATTGACCGGTCTTAACTCATTTAGTCATACTGCTGTTTCCCAAAAATAAGGTGGATTATTTTTTTTTTTATTTTTTAGATCTAATTGTTGAAAAAAAACAACACAAAAACGAAGCACAAAAACATTGAATTGATTTTAAATCTATTTCAGAAATGTACTTCATTAAAATAAACTGTCAGTTTAAAAACTTTCCACAGTAGCATTTATTTGTGACGTTTCAAGTCAGGCAGCCTAATGACATAATACTTATTAATTTTTAAAGCACAGTACCAACAATAGCTATCCACTGTTGTAATGTTACTGCTGTATTGCTATTTCATGCTGAAAGTATGATTTTGAAACACCTCAGGAGTTGCTTGCACTTGTCTTGCTTAAATATAGCACTGAGTTCTAAATATGGCAAAATTACTGTTTTCTAGAATAATGTCTATCAGTTTAATACCATAGGCAAATTTTATGTTTCCTGCTTTTCAGACAGAATGGTAAATGCCCCTAAACTGTATCAGACCTCAGGAAGGTTGAGCAGCAGACAGGTGCCAGGTGGCACACCAGTAGGGACAGTTACAGTCCTCTGCATTGTCCTTATTTTGTTCAGTTACTCAATCAATTTTCAGTTTATTAATAATAATGCTGAATTTTGATGTTCTGTATTGTAGTCTGTCCTGAGAAGTTGTCTAAATTATGTGCGTGTCTTTCCCTTTACTCACTTGAGACTGTGCTTTTGAATCACTACTTGAACAGTTAGCGTTAATGCACACTAACATAGCTGGGCATTGGTGAAGCAGGGACTGATTGTCTGCCAGTTTTGGGTTTTTTTACCTGGTTGTATTTTAAATACAGTTTGCAAGTTACTATTGCAAGTTATTCAAAGTAGTAAGGGTTACTGATAGTAACAAAGGGTTGAAGATGAGCTTCAAAGATGAAAAGTGTACTGAAAGGGCAGCTAAGCTATTTTCTGTTAGTATCTCCTTTTCTCTTTCCCTTCTGCTTGTTTTTAGTTAACACTTTGTGTATATTGTTTGTGTAAATTTTAGTATGCAATACTTCCCTGTCTTTGTGACGAATACAAATATTTTAACCATTTTATGACTTGTCTTTCTAATCATAATTTGGATGTGCAATTTTTCATGTTTTGAAGTGCTGAGAGTATGTGTGAAAAGGCAGTCATTGTTTTTCCAGACTCCTGTTCCTCGTATCATGGTAGTAGTATGGGAGATGATGATACTAACATGTGGTCAGGAGCAATGGATGAAGGACTGCTGAGCCAACATCTTGCAGAAAATGGAGTGGAAATAGATCCTGAAAATGAAGAACTCATTCTGAATATTAGTTCTCGTCTACAAGCAGCTGTTGAAAAGCTTCTGGAAGCTATCAATGAAACTTCGAATCAGGTAGGGTGGTCTGATATGCATGCATTTTGAAATCTTTGTGTTTTTTTTTGTCCTTCTTTATTTTTCTCATAAAACCTCATATAAGGCTCATTCTGAAAGCTGAAATGATACTAAAGGTGTCTACTCCAGCATCATCCAGTGATGAATTTAGATTCATGTCATCTGTCTGCTTTGGACTGCAGAGGAAGTCTAAATTTGGGCATGTTTGTCAATCTTGGGCACGTTTCATTGCTCATATGGGTGTGTCATTGCATTCTATTGCAACCCAGAGATGAGACAAGAGGTGTCAGGGCACATTGAACTGCCATTGTGAAAAGGGAGGCTTAAAGGGCAACTGCCCAGTTCTCTTGACAACCATTTTAACATGTCAATTGACTGGCCAAAAAAGTCACAATATTTGTGTGTTGGGCACATATCTACCTTTCTGTCAGAGAAGAAGTTTGTACTTCCAGCTTTCTAGTATTTATATGAGGTATGTGATTCATAAACACTCTTCAAAAAAGAGGTATTGTATGGCTTACTCCTTTCTGTTTGCTATCAGGGTACTTCGCATGGCAAGATGTTAGTTGCTGGCTGGGTTCGGGTTCTTCTCTGTTGAGATTGGAGCTGTACGCCTAGCTCAGTTCAAGTCACACTGCTTATATTATGTGCTTTACTTTTACATTATGTACATCTCAGTTTGAAAGTATCAGAGTAAATACTGTCTCACTGTACTTCTTAAGCTCTGTTGAAGAACTTTGTCTTTAGAGTCAGCTCTTTAATCTGAGACTAGAGTTCGAATGATACAGTGTGTTCTATACTACAGACCCATATATTTGTTAAGTAATAATATGACTTAAAAAGTCATTACTTCCTTGTCTCTAGGTGTAAATTACATAAATCCTAACTACTGGAAATTAAGGAGAAAAAAAAATCTGTGATAATGAAAGTAATTTGAAAATTCGTATTAAGTCTAGTACCTTAGAAGTTTTAAACATTTAAGTTTTATTGGTTTTGCAAAATACTTCAAACATGAAATTGATACTCTTGTTTTCTTAAAAAAATAAGACTAATCTGTGACTTACTAAAATTTAAAGTAATTTAAATACAAATTCAGAGAACTCCCTCTGAGTTAGTAAAACAAGTACTCTGGTGGTTCTTTTAAGCCAGTTTCTGCATTGCATTTCTTTTCAAACTCATTCTGCAACAGGTCTCTTCTGTTTGAGCATGAGTTCAATTTAAAAGAGATATTTGGCTTTTTGAGGTCTTTTTTCACCTTAAGACAGGATTACATAATAGCAAAAAAGTATACACAGATACTCCAATATACAGAGTTCTGAAAAAAGTATGGTTAGGCATTTGTAGGAAGTCTCCCATTTAAAGAGCACATGATACAGAGAAAACCAACTTCAGAGTTTTACAGTAATGAAGAATTCATGCAGCAATTATAAAAGCATTGTCAATACATTATTTTTTTTTCTGAAGATTTCGTTGCTGCTACCTAAATGCATTAGTTTTATACATAGCCCCAAATTATTTTACTTTTGTGACCGATGTTTTTCAGCAAGTATTTACTTCTCAAAGTACTGATGAAAGTAATCGGTGTATTCTAAGTAGCTTATTTTTATTTATTGTCAGTTGACCAAGAAAGCTTATTTTCCCTTCATAGCTTTGTAGCTGCGAGCTTGCCAGCAGCAGAGTTATGTTTTGGCTCAAACACATACACACATTTGTTTCATTGATGTAGATTATACAAAGATGGATTTATCCCTGATGATCATATCTGTTTGGGTTTTTTAAAATTAATAAAATCTTAATCTGTTTACACATTATCCCACAGTATTAAGTATAAATATTAACATCTTTTCTGTAGAGGTACTTTGCAAGCATTCAGGCTTGTCTGCTTTTCAATGTCTGTTGTGTACTTACTGGATTATACATTTCTATACATACGAAGGGTTTGTAGGTGACTTGACAATTATTCTTAAATATTCAGAAATTGAACCCTTTATTTTTTCTACTCTGAAATATTTTATAATTTAAAACTAATTACAGCTAGAAACTGTTTTAACCTTTTCTCTTACTCAGTTGTGTTGTGCATACAGACATGTACACATCTCTTCTAAAAGAGTGAGAGAAACCTGGCAAAAATCTTCAAAGTAACTTTGAGACCTGTCTGAACACACACTTTCAGACCTGAAGTGCAGTTTGAAAGTTTTCAGGCAAGGCATATAGTGGGTGTATTAATTCAAATTCCACCTGATGGTGTTATGTATAGGTAAATAAATCAGGCCACTCCCCTCAGCTCTTTTGGTTGGGACACACTAACAGGAAGCCTTTAGACTAGCAGAGCTTGAGAAAGTTCTTCCTTTTGAATCAACTCCAAGATCAAGAATGAAGAAAATCAGTGTCATAGCTGTATTTCTCTTTCATTTGCCGTAGTGGAGATTGAAAATCATTTTTAGTTTCTGTTCTGCTAGCTTGCATGTCTGCTGCCGCGTATCTGTGCAGGTAAAATTACACTTCCTTGCCTTAGAAATTACCTGTCAGCTGCTGCTGGAAGATTTCTGTTGCTTTTTCATGTGAAACTTCTCTAAGAAGGATTTTTAGGAGTGACTACACAAAGTTTTCTTGCATCTCTCTCTATTCTGGATTAATTAACAACTGAATAACTCTGCTTGAGAATGTGATTTGAGGCTTCCTGCTGATTGTGAGTGGGTTTGTAACCGATAGTACTGATAAGTGTCTTTGGACTGCTAAGTAGACATGTTCTGTTTACAAATACCTGTTGGAATTTTCTAAAACGAGCCTATTTGGTACGAAATACCCATGTGACAATTAAGAAGACAGCAACAACGATATTTTTTGGAATGGATTCTTACCGCACCTACTGGGCATCTGATCTGTTTAGTAGTTTGTGGACTGAAGGACAAGAAGAAGATACATACGAGGTTCAATCTCGTGTGCCTTTACCGTATCCTTTTCCTTTTACTGAACACTTGGATGAGAATAATTCTGTAGTTGTAAATACTTCAATTTTTCACTTCAGCCACAAAAAAAATGGGCACATTGTAAAAGTTGTCTCTAAAATCTCCTTGCCTACACCTCCCTATTCAGTAAGTATAAAAGTTCTTAACAGAAAATATACTTTAATCAGCTTATGTAGAAGAGAATACAGCGAAAAATGATATGAACTTGTATCTGTTGTTAAAGTTATTATGTACTGCTGACAGGATTTTTTCCTAGTGAATTTTTAGTGGGCACTAAAAAAAGCTTTAATTCTCTTTTATTTATAACAAGAGAGAACTGGCAGACACAGAAATATATTGAATTACGGAGATTTGAGATCTCTTTGAAGCACTTAGATGTTACCTTACATTTTCATAACTGTCAATAATTTACTTTTATAGTTTTTATGCACTAACTAGTAATACTAACTAGCACAAGCTTGTTAATGGCTTCTTGTGATCCTATGAAGGAATTTTTTGTTCTTGGAAAATCATGTTCATGTTTGTGTGTCTTTTTTGGTTTGTCCTGTTATTTGTAATAATGCCTTGAGTTGTTATTGAAAAGAGATGGAGAATAATTTTTATACTGAGTTTTAGTAGGAGTATTTGATTGTGTTTAAGTAAGCCGTATTTTTATTGTCTATGTACAGTAATCCTATTATATATTTCCCTTCTACCTGAGATGGGTCTTTCATTAAACACCTCAAAATGTAAGAATAAAGTAATTTTTAAAGTATCTCAAACCAGTGCAGATACTCAACTGCAGTATTTATACCTTTCTTTAACTTCTGTCATAATAAATACACATTAATGATGTCCATCTAAAAAATAATGCTGGAGAAAAGAAATCAAGTATTGTAATTCAGTGAATTATAAATGAGAATTTATTGGCTATTCAGACATTCTTTTCAAAGTGTAATTTTATTTATAAATGGGTAGGTTTGTGTGCAGTCTTCTAAGAGTATTCCTAACCCATTTTTCTGAGTTTTCAAAGCAAGCTAATCATACTCATTAACTTTTCAGGAGATGGTGAGAAAGCTTTTTTTTTTTGCCTTTTTTTGTTCCCCCCCAAGAAATTGAGAGAAAGCATGTTTCTATAAAGCAGAGCCACAGATGTTACTATCTTATAAATGTCTGCCAATATCCATAATATTAAAAAGGAAAAGTAAAAAGAAAGGGGTGAGAGGATAAGGAAATAAGTGTAATTTCATGTTCTGACATTGGAACATGTTGTCTTATTCTGAAAAAGCCATGCTTTTCAGTCCTGGTTTTGTAGTAGTTGAGTGTCATAGTAAGATTGTGATACATCTGTGCTGTACACGTTAAGTATTAACCCATCAGACAAGCAGAGAAGAATATTAAAAAAGAAATCCTTAATAAATCTGTTAGGTGGACATAGCTGGAAGAAACATTGCTTTACTTCCTTGTTGGTCAAAAAGCATGCATTCAAAGTTCCCATTTTCCTGGTGGTCTCATTTATCTTCATCTTAAGGAGAAAACGAGATGAAGCACCACTTGTGTCAGTTTATATGTTGAAACTTCTGCAGCTTTATGCAATGTTTTTTAGCCATTCTAAGTATATGGTGGGTGGTAGCTAGTATGTAGTGTAAAACTCCTGTGCAAACAAAGGTGAATCTAGTGTAACTCCTAAACCAGGAATTACCGGAACAAAGACAAGGATTTAGCCAGGTGGTTCATTGAGTTCATTATACTGACAAAACCTATTTGCTTAGACTTTAGTCAATCGTCCTATTGTAGTCTTCAAATGTTTGTCCAGTAAAGTTCTTATCCAGTGTCCACTGCAGTTACGTGAGACATTGTAAAGAAATAGGAATGATAGAAGAGTTGTCCAAAAACCTTTGGTTTATTTAACTTATGTAATTTTTACCTTCTGTAGCTTGAACATGCTAAAATTACTCAGACAGAACTCATGCGAGAGTCCTTCAAAAGGCAACAAGAGGCCACAGAGTTTATCAAGTATCAGGAAGAACTGCAAGAACATCTTAATGAAGAAACCAAAGCCAGAGAGCAGTTGGCTTTGGAGCTTAGTAAAGCTGAAGGTGAGTAGCTTTTTAATGAGCTGTTGAACTTTACATTCACCTATTAATTAGAAGATTAATTATATCAGTTTCTTTGGAGGTTTTTACAATGTTATCAGCCCTCTAGATAGTTATGGATAAGATGACCTTCCGAGGTCCTATGACCATCAACCACTCTGTGATTCTTTTTCCCAGTTTTGTCTCAGTATTATATGACTTACTAAAATTGATAGCTTGGATATGTGTTTTTTGCAGACAAGCTTAAATATGAACAACTTAGTATCATAAAATGATAAACAGTTGAAGCAGGAAGGCAGGTTCGGAGATCATCTATTCCAACCCCATGCACAAAGCAGGGTCATGTAAGAGCAGGTTGCCCAGGGCTGTGTCACTCAAGTTTTTAATCGATGTTGTCCATGTTTCTCCACAGTGTGTCTGGACAGCCTGTTCTAGAGTTTGACCACAGCCAAAAAGGTGAAAAAATTAAAAAAAACACCTTTTTTGTGTGTTGAAATGCAGTTTCCCATATTTCAGTTTGTGCCTGCTGCCTTTTGACGTTCACTTAGTTTCCCACAAACATGGATAAAAACACAGAACCTTCACTCTGACTTTAATGCTGTGGTGGTGATATGCTTCAGTTAGCACTCTGTTTGAAGCTGTCTTTATAAGTGCATTTGCAGCTGCATGAAGGAAGCAGTTAAAAATTGCAGGGTATTGCAACAGGGGAAGTCTAATAATCTTTTCTGACATCACAAAAGTATGTTCAAACCTGACAGACACTTAATTTGTTCTTTAGAAATAGCTTTGTTTTCTCTATAGCCTAATGTTTTTATTTCCACCCAGCATTTCTACCATTATCTCTTTGTAATTAGCAGCTGGAAAAGATGCACAAAAAGCCAACCCTGTAGGTCAGTTGTCCATAGTAGTACGCAGAAAGATACTTTAGTTAGTTCTAAAGGTCAGCAGACTTCTCTGAAGTCTGTTTTCAAGTGGTAGCATAAAGTTTCGTAGCCAAATGTTATTCCTTGAGAATGCTACCCTCCCAGAGTTCATCTTGTTTTTACAGATAATCCAACATGACTTTACATGCTATTAATAGGTGGGACACATAACCAGACAAGGAAATGCAGGTTTCTAGGCCAAGTGTCTAAAATGTGGTGTGAGGGACAGTTGGTAGCTTGTCAGTTCACACAGCATAAATGTTGTGTCATCTGCACTAGTATTGGCTGCAGCATTTCAATAGCTTCAGTAAAACTGAAAGGAGGAAAACTGATTTCAGAGGGAATAGATTCAAATCTGAAAGTGGCATTATTACGTGTTTTTTTTTTTAATTAAGAGTGAAAAACCCCTCATGTAGAACCTATCTAAACATGAAAAAAAAAATTAAATCTTACACCAAAATGTTGACCCAAGAATTTATGTTCTTGCACAGATGTAGTTACAGAACTGTTTAGCATTGGTGAATTTCAGAACATTGGCAGCTATTATGTTTATTGCTGCTTTTCTTCAAGGATAATATTTTTGTCTCATTAGATTATTTTTTTTTATTCACGTATCTTCTATAATAAGTTAATACAGACTAACACATTAGGACAAAGCAGAAAGGTTACAGTTCGTTTTTGTTTAAAGGTAGGATCTGCCATAATGTCAGCGCCCTCTGCATTGGTTCATTCCTACAAGGAGTAACTAAAAAAAATGCTGGAGAGTAATTTTATTTTTAAAAGTGCTTATTATGAACTTATCTCAGTTACTTTTCCTTTTGGGTCTGTAATTTTCACATTAGTCAGGTTGCCCACCAAGAACTACGAGCTTGCCTCTTCTTTATCGCAGAGGGTGCATGCATAATTATATTTGAAGATGACATCCCACAGAGCGAGACCTGCTTATTGACTATTTTTTATTTTCACATTTTTATTTTTATCCTATTACTACCAGACAAGCAAATAATTTAAAGTAAGTAGGTTTTTCACTGGACCAATGCAATTCTGTCATAAAATTTCCTTGTGTAAACAAACTAATAGCAGCAGAGAACCTGCAGACTCTTACTAGGTGCCAGTTTGTATATAATGGGATTGCCCGCATTAAGTGAACAGTTCTAGAGTGTAAGACAGAATCTCATGCTAGTTTTAACCCTTGCTAGATATGTTGCACAGCTGAGCAAATTCAGTTAAGTCTTTTGCAGGAATTCAGCTAGTTTGTCCCCCATTGCTTGAATGCTTTACAACTCCTGAATTAATTAAATAATTTTTCATCCTTTTTTTTCTGTGAACTTCTGAAATTAATGCACTTCTAAAAGACAGGCACCTTTTTTTTTTGTTTTGATATAATGAAACGAAAATGCCATAGAGCTCTCTTTATTTAATTTCTTCTGCTCATTGAACTGAGTTGTGAGCATACTCTGACAAAGCCAAACTACATTCTCTCATCAAATTCCTTTGATAGGTATGCAGAACAATGTCTTAATTCATTATACATCTGATGGTATTCTGTCTTCTCTTGAGATAAAATGTGTCATTTTTGATCATTTCTTTCTCATCACAAAAACTGCTGTGGCTGAGACATTTTCAAACCTCTAGTGTTTTAGTGGTGTCAGATGTGAGTTACCTAATGTGATAGAAATGCTAATGCCTATTTGTTCACTGAACTCTGACAACCTTCATTACATCTCTTAAAGGAAGAAAGAAAAAAAGGCAGGAGTATATACTACAACATGTGATCTTAGCAGACTACCACCTTGTATCTTTTTGGTGAGGGTGTGCACCCTATTTAACCTGGGAATGCCTTCTCAACTTCCAGTCTGTTAAGTACTCATTCTGAACAGCATCTGGTATGATGGGAATAATTACTAGCATTTGTATTGTCTCAAATTTTTGAATTGCTGTTAATGGTGTTTCTAGATGAGTATTTTTATTTCAACAGCTGGTCCCTCTATGCAGCTGTGTTCTCTGTGAATCCAAGTCTGGGAAAAAAGAATAGTCAGCGGTACTTGGCTGATATGCATGAGGACCAGACCTGGATTTCTCAGGCTGTACATAGAAAGATGACTATTACTTAATTTTCTCTTTTAGGGAACTCAGTGCTCACAGAGGTTTTACTTTGGATTGAAAATGGAAGCATCTTCAGTTTTTTGTATATTCTCAAGCATGTGGGAATACTGTAGTAATTTTACCATGCAAAAAACTCAAATTGTTCTGTAGAAATATTAAATTTCTGTAGAAATATTAAAATCTGCCCCAAAATTTCTGTTCTACAGGCCTCATTGATGGTTATGCAGATGAAAAAGCATTTCTGGAAAAACAACTCCAGGAAAAAATAGATGTAATTGACCATCTTGAGCAAGAACTACTGTGTACAGGTAACAAATTACAGGAGTTAGAGGCTGAACAGCAGCAGATCCAGGAAGAAAAGGAACTGCTTTCCAGACAGAAGGATGCCATGAGAGCAGATGCAGGACCAGTCGAACAGCGTATGTATTCTTCACAGTCTTTCCATGAGGTTTTCTTATACTTTCAAATAAAATAGTAAGTAATCTTGGTGGTTCCTCCCCTTGTTTGTAATCATTAATAAAAATGTGATAAGGCAAAATGGGGTATTTTCATACTTAATGCCTAATGTTAGTACAATAACTTTTCTAAATATGTAAACAAAAATCATTGAGGTTTCAGAAGTGTTGAGCAATCACAACTACTCTTCAAAGCAGAAAAAGCTTGATAGCTCTGAAAATCTGATTTTATTTTTATTATCACTGGAGGTGGAGTATCTTGAAATTATGGATAAAAATACTGGCCTAAATACTAATACTTTCCAAACAGTATTTTAAAGGGATTAGCAAGCGTACCTACCAGAACATGATTGCCATACTTACTTTAGACACAGAAGATACACTTTTCTAACGAATTCCTCTTTTGGGGAAGAATGGCACAAAAGTTGAATGGTAAGGAAAGCCTGTGACCTACCTGTAATGAAAACTTTCAGCACTGTGGTGAAAATTACAGATAAATACCATGTCAATGTAATCTAACTAACTGCTTACTCAAAAAAAAAAGCATTTACCCTATGTCTTTTAATTCTTCCTTAAGCTAGTAACTTCTGTGTATGATAGGGGAAGAAAATTACCATAGCAGTGCTTTTAAGAATTACTGATTCTTCAAGGACTCCAGTTTAGTTATTTGGTTTAGGTTTCTAAGTATTTTAAAGTGATTTTCATGTATAACAACCATAAGGATAATTCTATAAATATGTGTAGGTACTTACATCATGCATACCAGAATAACTTACCACATTCCCTAAGTTATCTCAACAACGTTATCATTAAATGCCACTTCTATCTTTGGCTTCATTTTCTCTTACATTGTTGCACCACAAGAAAACTATAGCTGGCATGTGAATTACTTTGCTTCTTTTTTTTTTTTTTTGTTTTCTCTCTTTCTCTATTCTCCTAGGCCTAGTAGATGCTGCAGTCGATGCAGCTTCCCAAGCAGGTGTGTTTGTATGTTGCATGGCCAATCTGTAATTGGGTGGAAGACTTACACGTACTGACATTGTTAATCAGGATTATTGGGCTTTCGGCTTACTGACATTACTTGTAATTCTTACTGGCCTGCAGCTTTGATGTTGTACTTCATACTCAGTTTTACATTTCATTAACAACTTTTCTTATAATTTCTAAACATGATAAACAAATTCATGAATAACCATCATCTTATTCACCTATGAATTACAGATACTTAGATAGTATTGGAGGGAGATTTTGTAGCTTTTTTTTTTTATTTATTATTATTTCCAGATACAATTGAGTCATTTATTATAATAACGAAACACTGTATTATATTGATAAATAACAGTTTCATAGAAATGAGAGTTGGTTAAATATGATGTAAGATGATGGTACTTAAAGAATATTGCTTCTATAGTGAAAGTAAATTGTATTGTTTCTGTCTAAATATCAGTCATGTTTTAAAGATTATCCAAATGTAATTGCACTTTACAGTTTGGATTTTACCTCCAAGGATTCATATGGTTATCTAATATGTACTTCAGTGGGCTGTGGCTTCAGAGGCTTAATAGGGTGTTTGGGGCTTTACTGTGTACGCTTGCCTTTTCATGAGAACTCAATATTGGGCATCCATGCAGTCATTGATTTTACAAAGCTCCAGTAACGGGTTGGTAATTGCCCTCTCTGTCTGCCTGGCAACCTCGCTAAGTCTTTCCATGTTTCCTTCAAATCACTTACATGTATCACATTAAATGATGAAGACTGGGAGTGGATTGATTTTACTGACGCTGGGGATGAGAAGACGGTTGGGTTTTCTGTACTTCACTCTAGCTGTAGCTTGAAGCCATGAATTTTATTTTCTTTTCAATTATACAAAGACCTTTTAATTTGTATGAAACTTAAACAGGCAAGTGTTCCAAACAACTTCACTAGCAGTTCTCTGAAGACTAATTGAAGGATAGTGGTTTTCATATGGATTTGATTTAGTAGTTATCTTGATAATTTCTCAGAAGAAAATACATTTTCTAAAAAAGAAAAAAAGTAAAAACCCAAACCAGTTCGCATCCTTCTGCAGAGTACAGCATGGATACCTTGGGGAGTGGTTCTGCTTCATAACATTACTAACTATTAGTATCTAAAAGTAGCGTGTGATGCTTTTATTATAACCAGAATTACTGGAAGAAACAGAAAAGCTGATGAAAGAAAAAATTGAAGTACAGCGTCAAGCTGAAAAAGAATATGGTGACCTTCAGAAGCAAGTGAAAGTCTTGGAAATAGACTTGGAAGAACAGGTCAATCGTTTCATAGAGCTAGAACAAGAAAAAAATGCAGAACTAATGGACTTAAGGCAGCAAAACCAGGCTTTGGAGAAGCAGCTTGAGAAAACAAGAAAATTTCTAGATGTAAGTATGGTAAAAGGCTAGTTCTGTGAGGGTGGGTGGGTGCCTGTACTGAGGTTTCTTTCAGCAGGAAATGCTACTTTTTTAGGATTCTGAGCAAACATAAAAAGGCACACAATAGTCACAGTGTTACAGCCCAAGAATTTCATTAGAGTTTTAAAGTCAAAAATTCATTCAAGACACTTATTTAGGACTGCTCTGTGTTTCTTAGTCTAACTCAGTAGACTTCTTGAATGTTTAAAATAATGGGAACCTTCTAAAATTAATAAAGAAACATAGTTTTTTATGATCTTTTTTAACAGTTGGTAGAATTTCCATCTTTTTCAATTAAGTCTGTTAGAATTAGTCTAAAGTCTGTGCAAAGTCCTGCACCTGAGTTGTGGCAGCTGAGGTGTAGTGGCAGTTGAGGCAACTCTATAGGCTGAGGGATGGACAGGATTGAGAGCAGCCCAGCAGAGAAGGATTTGGGGTACTTTTTAACTGGGAATAAAAAAGCTGGGCATGAGCTGGATTCACAGCCCAGAAGGCCAATTATATAGAAAAAAGCATGTTCAGCAGGTCGAGAGAGGTGATTCTCCCCCTCTACTCTGCTCACCTGGAGCACTGCTTTCAGCTGTGTGGCCCCAAACACAAGAGGTTGTGGACCCGTTGGACCTGATCCATAGTTTCTTTTACAGTCTTCCTTTGTAGTAGCCAAGAATCCTACCTCCCAGATCCTAAGCTGAACCTTCCAGACAGCTATATGTATTTGTCCCCATTTACAGTGGCAGCTGCCTCTGTTGTACCCAACATCTTCCTGCCTGAGGCTGCCTCTGCAATTTTCTTTTAGACTCTAACCCATTTTCAGCAAACACCATCTTCCCCACCTCCTTCTTTTCCCATTTTATTCCTATGAAGTATCCTGTGCTGCTGTTGAGAGAAAACTCTTTATCTCTATGCTTTCTCTATTAACTCTCTAGCTGAAAGCAGTAGGGTGGAATGGTATTTTTACATAATAAATATAATGCCCTGTGGCACCCTCTCTGCATAATCTAAGCAGTACTAAAGGAGAGATTTTTCCAGATACTTGTTACCACAAATTGATTTGCTATATTTCATTTTCTACAATTAGAAGATTATTTTTCTTACTGAAACTAGTGTGTCATAATAGGACAAGGTTCAGAAGTAAAAATTCCTATTACAAGGAATTGTGTCAGTTACAAACGCATTATGGTTTGGGATTATCAGTAGCATGAACAGGAGAGTTACGGGCTACTGAGGTGAGTAGCTGTAATAACAGCATTAGAATTCACTGTTTTCTCAAAACAGCAGGTGAGTTTTTAAAATCTGCAAATTGGTTTCCTGAATTTTTGCAAAGTATTTTGTTACTAGACAGAAGCATTCCTTTTTGTATCGGATACTTCAGCTAGTTTATTTTCATGCATCTGATAAGGTTTGTCTGATTTACAAAGTGTCATTTAAAAGTGATGCTTCACTGGATATAACAGTTGAAATGGCTCAAAAGTTAAAACTGAAATACAAAATTCAAACCATTTATATTATTTCAGGGGTTTTCACTGGCGGCTCCTCATCAGTATTAACACAGAGTTAATTTCTATTCTTATGCTACTTATGTCAAAGGCAAACATTGAAAAAGAAAATGATAAAATCCTGGCTTGTTACCGTTTGTGTGGTATACCTGGAACAGAAGAAACAAACCCGTTATTTTTGTGAAATAAAACTGGATGTATCTATGCTGTCCTAGTTTTTTAATTAAAAGTGAAATTGGTTGGCCCAAATGTTGAAAGGAGTTTTTGTTAATGGTAGTTGCTGCCTTAAAAATACTGACATATTGTTACCAGCCTCACATTAACAGAAATACACAGTAGTAATATACTTAATTTAGATTGAAATCAGATGGTGTATCCACATAATTTCTTAACTTTCAGGAGCAAGCAATTGACCGAGAACACGAAAGAGACGTATTCCAACAAGAGATCCAGAAGCTGGAACAACAGCTTAAGATTCCACAAAGGAGTCAGCCTGTCAATGAACATCAAACCAGAGAGGTAACACATTTTATTACTTGTACTCAATGAATATAAATGACAAGTTGACAGCTGTTAAGAGACCGTAATGAAACTACATTATGGTGTACCTAATCTGCACCTATTTACAAACCAGGAAGGTAAATCCCCTTAGAGTGATGGATAAGGTGTTGGGGGAAAGTAGTGAAACTCTGTTTTCAGGGTTTCTTGGTTGGTTGGTTGATTGTTTTTAGAAGTAGACATACAGTGACTTCATAACTTTGAAAAATGCTCTTTTGTATGACTTAATTTAGAAAATCCACTTTTTTTTCAGAAGCCTGTGGAAACATTCAGGACTACTTTAGCAATTTTACATGTTCTTATGCTGTTTTGTGACATCCTGTTTATATCACCTAGCTGTCTGTGTACACTTGAAGCTCCCCAGTGGAGATCTGTCTCCACTGAAACATTATTTATTGACTATAGAACAGCAGCTCAGCGGAGTCTCAGAAAGCTCGTAGACCCAGCAAAATCAAGAAAAGTTGAAGCAATGCAAATGCTATATATTATGAACTCTTGCATGTTTTATTTGGTGGCCTGTTAGTCAATTTAATTGCATTTTAGTTTTTGTAGGTTTTCTTTTGTCCTGCTTTTTAGCAGGGCAGATACATTTGCATTATTTTCTTGGCTGATTTTCAGTATTAAAATTTCTCTTATTAGGTTGCACTGAGATTTGCAAATTAAAGTTCTTCCTGAGGTAGTTCAGTTGTTGTGATTCAACTCTTAAATATTATCAATGTTTAGCATTCTGTATTACATAGTTTAGGATCATAGGCAGTAATAGAACAGAAGTTGAAGTGTGTGAGATGTAAGTTGTCGAAATAGTTAATTACTTACAATTTTCAGCTTTAGAAGTGTAATTCATAGGGGAGGGTTTATACATTTCATTACAAAAGTTTGTAAGAAATCTCAGTCAGAGTGTTCAGTCAGCGCTACGTGATACGGCTGTCAGCAGACTGTAACAGTGCATCTTCTGGAATTAGCTGAGTGCATCTTAGCACATAGGGAACAATTCCCTGTTTCCTTCTATTGCAGTTTGCATGCATGCTCCTCTTCTGTTGACACATTCTGCAGATGGCAGAGACTTTTTAGCACATGTAGTTTTCCTGAATCCAAATGTTCATTTTGAGTTCATTTTCTTATCTGTCTGGTTAAAATTTGGGGCATGGGTAGCATGTGAATTCCTAATTTGATAGCACACTAAAAATTGCCCTTTTTTTTTTTTTTTGTACAGAATCTGTATGTAAAAATCATCCTGATCTGTCACACACATATATATGTGTATGTACCTTAAATTGGCAGATATGCTGCAATGAAAATTTAAAGCATGCTTTAAAATGAAAGGTAGCTATAACTGTGATTAAAAATCTGAGATTTATATTAGATGCTTCTAAATTAGATTAGGTAGGTAAGTAAACAATAAGATAATGTCTGCAAACAGCTGCAACAGGTGTATCAACTAATTTAGAGATACATTACAAATTATAGAGAGAATTTTCAATAGTGTGTTATTTACAAATAAGTGAGGCACATAGTCTTACTATATTTTGATGTCACAAAGTTACTTGGAATATTTAATAAATAATACATTTTGTCATTATTTCTCATACTTTTCTGAGGTAGCAGCTCTATTTTTTCATAGTTGTAAGGTTTCTGAAATGCTCTCTGCTTTGCGTGAATGCCGTGAGCATTTTCTGTTGATAACCATTTCTTTTTTACTGTTGTTTTAGCTTACTCTGTCAACCTATTCCAAGGAGGGTTGTCTTAAAGGGTCTGCTCTAGACTTGGTTTTTCTTTTTCCATTTTTCTCTCAGGACTTTTCTGTGGTCACTTCAGACTTTAATTTTACTCATGGATGGATAACATCAGTAATGCCGTCCTGTCAGCTTTATGTTCTGGGCCTCTTCTCTCCTATCTATTGAAATGCTTTGAGTCTTCTACCTTTTGGCTACTTTGTAACTTCCTAATTGTAAATACTGAAATCGGTTTTTTGAGTGGGACAAACATTACTTTCCATGTCTAGTGCTCAGTTGCTTAGTTTAACTCAGGCATTAACTCTGCATCAGGCCTAGTACCATGGATTTGTTACAGATGTTAATCATCTCTAATTTTGATTGTTTCTGAAATACTGCTGGAACTGGGATCATTCCTATCTCTATCTCCTAACTACTTCAGCTATTCTTTTAATATGCCCCTATAGAAAGTGAAGTTATATCATCCATCACATCTGTTTGGTCCTATGTAACAAACACACCAAGAAACCAAAACTTCCTGATTCTCAAGACAATTCTCTTCAATGTTAAATGCATATCCTAAAGCTCAGTGGGTCTTTGTGTCACTAATCAACTCCTTATTTTGAATAATTTTGTCACAGATTTTTATAGCTATGATATTCTTCAAAGGTGCAAATAGCATCTTGACCTTAGACGCAAGACATTCCATTTGTAGATGTTAAAGGTCTTTTTAGTGGGCTTCATAGGGATGCTATGCTACTTGCTTTTAACTGACTAGAGAATCTGAAGTCTTCAGAAGACAAGGTCAGTTGTAGAGAGTAGGTGATACACACAGAACATATCACTTCTTAAAAAATGCTGTTTGTATTTGTTGGATGTAGCACTACGGTATCCTAACTTCATATTCTGTTTCGCCTGAAGAATAAGAGTTTTGTTCTGAGGAAAAAAGGGGTATTTTTTGCCTGTCAAAAACGAGTGCCGTTGCTATTGCTAGCAAACCCTTCCGATCTGGTACAACATGTTCATCTTCCTGCTGTATTATCACCAGGTTGAACAGTTAACAAATCATCTAAAAGAAAAAACAGACAAATGCAGTGAGCTTTTACTCTCTAAGGAGCAACTTCAGAGAGATATACAAGAACAAAATGAAGAAATTGAGAAACTAGAATGCAGAATAAGAGAACTGGAGCAAGCCTTAATCATCAGTGCAGACAACTTGCAAAAGGTATTGTTTGGTCTAAAACTACCATGTAGTTGCTACTTTCTTATATTCTTGAGAACGAAACAGTGTATCTTTTTTATCTGTTCATTATAACTATTATTTATATTTAAAGGTGGAGGAAAGGAAACAGTTTGGCACCATCATAGTAAAGGGAGAATTACCTCTTGAAGTGCAACTGCAAGCTGAACGAGAAGCTGTGGACAGAAAGGAAAAGGAGGTAAAACTGTGAAATATTCCATGTTTCTGCTGGCATTTTGATTTATTAGCTTTTGCTTTCCAGTTGAGTTTAGTGAGTTATAAAGGTGAATTTTTTTAACAGATTGGAGAGACAGCAGTCCAAATGCCTTTGAAATTCCCTTGTGAGCTAAGATAACTGTTATTATTCTCTATGTTAATGCTAATGACTTACAAGAGCGTTCCTAGAACAAAATTGAGTCCAGTTAATTAAAAACAGAGTGATTTCAGATGATTTTTAGTGAGTTTTGAAATTCCATTCAGTTTAAAATCACACTCTGTTTGTGCATACCAAACCAGTTTACTGTAGAGATTGCACTTGAAAATCAGGACATTTAATTTTTGGTATGACTGTGTACTCCTTTTCCACCCTTTATTTTGGAAACATAGGTGACAAACCTTGAAGAACAACTGGAACAGTTCAGAGAGGAGCTAGAAAACAAAAATGAAGAAGTGCAGCAATTGAACATGCAACTAGAAATTCAGCGAAAGGAGGCTACTACACGCTTGCAAGAACTTGAACAGGAGAACAAATTATATAAGGTAAGTGTGTTGCAGAGAAGCCCGGAGCTTTGTTCTAGAAATGCATTATTGGAAAAAAAGCCAAGATACAAAATTCTCTCTCAAGCATTTCACAGCTCAACTTGTAAAATATTAATAAACTCACGTAATTTTTATTCCATGCAATTCGTTGATATTAATTGCTATGCCTTAAATATACAAGAATATGCAGAAAATGTTATGTACTACTGTAACATGGGTTTGTGGGGGCTTTTTTGGTAGGACGAAATGGAAATCCTGGGGCTAGCTATCCAGAAATCTGAAAAATCCACCATAAAGGACCATCACTTAGTGGCTGGGAGGCTCGCTCACATCATGCGAGAAAAGGAGCAGGAAGTAGATCATCTTCATGAGCAAATAGCTAAACTCCAACAGCAACTTGAAGCCACAACTGATAACAAAGTACATACTTTTGAAATCTTTTTCGGTGTCCTACTTTGTGTTGCTAGATCTTTAAGAAAAAAACCCTCATTACCCCCACCATTTAAAATATCTTCCATGGCTGCCTTAATTTAAAAATGCAGATGCTTCAGTCTCAATTAATGCTTTAACCCTAATCTGTTTTTCCTGTTTTGAAGGGTACTATTTGCTTGCTATTCATTATTCTGCCTAGTTTCTGCTTGAGTTTTTGTCTTAAATTCTTGTTCATTCCTTATTCTTCTCATCATTCATTCTACTGTCCACCCTACAAAGACTTACTTTCAATGTTATGTGTCAGTGACACCTGTGGGGTCACATTTGATTTTATAGGGTTTTTTAGCAGTTAAACTTTTGTGCGCCACGAGTTGTCTAAATGCTTTACCATCATACCGAAGCTGCCAACATCTTTAATCCAGTTTGGAGCATGGTGGATGTGAAAAAAAAAAAACAAACCAAAAAGCTGTGTTTTGTTAGAAATGGAGAGCAAGAAGGACATAATCAGATTCATCTTTCTTTTATTTACTGAGATTTAACACCTGTAGATTGCTGTTCATATATTCACCATTCAATTATGTGTATTTATGATAATAAGGTGCTGCTTCTGGATTAATTCTATTTTATACAGCTATAATGCTGTTCAACAGAATTTGATTTCAACATAAATTCTACTTACTGTGCATTGATGTGAGAGTAGAAACAGGCTTTCAGTCTCACTTTTCATTTTTTCATAGAAAGAAAATGGTATTTTTTCAGTGGATGAAATTTTCATTCTGGCCATTTTAAATGTGAACATGCATTAGTCATAAGCTTTTACCCTGAAGCAAGTATTACTTGGTAAGATGAGAACAGTAGTTCTGTTAACCTTCAATATAGGGTAACATTCTACTGTTGAGTCCACTAAAATAGAGCTGTATCCAAGCTGGATAATTTCACTAAGATCTTCTGTGCAAAATGAACCTCAGTGAATAATGAAAAAACTTTGAATTGGGTTTAGGAAATTGGATTTAGGAAAAATCATGCTTTAGGAATCCAGACCCGTTCTGCATTATGCAGTAGCCACAGTAATGTGCTTACACTTCCTTCTCTTGAGAAAAATACACAGGATTCACGTATAATTCATTTTAAGGACTGCTTCTTTTCCTGTTATATAAAATTTCATTTCTTAGTTTCATCCTCTTACTCAGTTATACTTTCCAGGACATTAAATACTCTGCTTAATTATGAGATCAGTATTAAATTTAATTAATTGTTCCTAGTTTAATCCCTTTCCTAGTCCCTTGAATATCTTCATCCCACGAAGTGCTTTTCTTTTAATTACTGTATTTGCCTTCAGTGGTCCTTTGATCCATAATGTTATGAAGAAGAGAAACTGTTATGCTGTTGATAGCAATCACCAGGATCACTGATCCGTTCTTCTGAAAATTAACGACTTCTTCACATTTTATCAAGTGGTTTTGAGCTTCCTGTAGTTTCTGTGGATTTTTAAAGATAAGTTCTAGGTTATAAATCCTCTAATTTATACAGTCACATTTGTAATTTTTTTTCATACATATTATACTTATTACACAGTTGTCTTATTATTCTTTTTAGCTAACTAAACCTATCAAATATTGAGAAATACAGGAAAAAGCATGGCTATTTTAGTAATTAATTTAGTCATCTTTCTTCTATTCTGCTTTTTTTTAATTCTTCATATTTCTGAAAAGCCCTTTTACAGTTCTTACCTCCTGTAGGTACTTTAACATTTATTTCATCACATCTCTTCCTAAATACTTTTGACAGATTTCCTTCTGCCTTTTTTGGTGTAGAAGCACTGTTCGTTTCAGATATCCAGGCATTCCCTTAAGAAAATATATCCACTTTGTTTCTTCAGTGTTTCAGATGTCTGTGAATATTACAAATGCTTTCACTTCATTTGATGCTTTCACACCTGTTTTGCAGTTCATTATGATCACTGGCTACTTTGTCAGTCTTAGTGAAAATGTCCTGGTGCTCATAAAGCTTTACAAGAGACATCTGATCAAGAAATTCAGAGAGAACACACTTTCTTTTACAAGATGTTAGAATGGTTTATTAAACTGTCGCTGAAGTCCAGGAGAAAAATTATGTGAGGTTTAATAGGTGCCCATTATGAAGTTCTTTTCTTTTCTTTGTTTTCTTTTTCCCCAGGTTGTTGAAGAGCAGAATGAACATATTCGGGAGCTTGAAGCCCAGGTAGAATGTCTGAAAAGTGATCAAGAGTGTGTGAAGAAGAAAAATTACGAGGAAGTAGAGCAGTTGAATGATGTTATCGACAAGCTTCAGCAGGAACTGGCAAATATTGAGCCAACAGTACCTGCGGATTTTGCTGCTTTACAGGAAGATGCTGACAGTCTAAAACACACCCTTGAAACAGTTCTGGCAGAAAAGGAAGCTTTGGAGAAGCAAGTAGAAAGTGCAAATGTAGAGGCATCTCAAGCAAAGAATGAGCTTGAGGAAACTAAGTTAAAAATGAACCAGCTAAAGCAAGAAATAAGTATGTTAAAAAAAGAGCATGAAAGAATAACAGAGAAATATAAGTGTGCACTGATGAAAGGTGATAGGGAAAAAACAGAAGATGGGGGCACTGAAAAGGTGGAAGAAGGCTTACGTGAGAAGATAGGGTTGCTAGATCAATCCCAGCTTGCGTCTTCAGGTGAGAGCACAGGAGTCGCTATTAGCAAGATGGAGGTACAGCTGCAGCAACTTCAGGCATGCATTAAGGAAAAAGATTCAGAACTGTGCCAGTCCTACAATGAAATAAAAGCCCTGAAAGAGCAAGGCAAAGCTGAAAGACAAACACTTAAAAAGAGAATATTAGAACTAGAAAAGATACTGGTGGAAAATGTTGCTGCTGCTCTTGTGAGTCAGGTTCAGCTGAATGCAGTTCAAGAGCAAAGGAAATACATGCAGGAAATGCAGGAATCTTCAAAATACGTAGAAGAAGCAAGCAAGAATGCCCAAACAGAAGGTTTGAGTGATAGAACTGAAAATGAGATGGGATCAAAATTCTCAGTCTTAAAACAGAGGCTTAGTGAGATGGAGGATCAACTAGCAACCGTAAATCAGACCTTGGAGATAGAAAAAGAAAACGTAAGAGTTGCACAAAAGGAAGCTAAAGTGAAAGAAGAAAGACTCTTAGAACTTCAACAATTACTAGAAGAGGTTCAAGAAAAGCACAAAGGAGAGATTCAGAAATACATTAAGCAAGAAGAAATGCAGACATGTCAGGTAGATGCCATTTTCTTTTGGCTTGTTTTCACTAAAATCAGTTATGTCATGTAAACTATACAGACTGAGAAACTTCTTAATGAGGCTAGTAATAGGAATATTCTGCTGTGTTGGGTAGACTTTTATTTCTGTATTACTTCTGGTGTTACAGAGAAGAGAAGGATGTTATTTTTAGGTGAACAGTTTCCATTTTCCATTAAAAGCAGTTTGCCTTTCACAAATATAGTGTGATTTTAAATTTTGGTCATATACTTTGTTATTCTTTCTTTGAATTGACATAGAATGGAGTGAACTACACTTCTACACAGCATGGTAGAGCAATAAAAAATAAAAATGATAATATGTGAGGGGTTTCAGAATAGTGAGTGATAGTACTTTGTGTCTGTACAGATTGTTGGGGTTTTTTTTTGTGGGGACAGAAGGGACAATGTTTATGTATGTTTTGATTTTAGTTTACGTTTTCTTGCTTTCCTGTCTTGATTCCAAAGATACTTCCCATCAGTGTTTTTTACCAGTATACTTTTGTCCTGTTTTCCATCCACCGCTGGTTGTGTTGCCTTTGAATTTAAAACCTTCAGTCAAAGTTTACTATACTTGATAGCCCAAACATAGGCTTAATTGCTGAAACTCTTGAGTTCAGAGACATCATGGAAGCCAGTGCTGGACTGGAAAAGGTTCCAAGACCTTCATCCAAATATAGATTGAATGAATGTCGTAAATGTCTTACAGACTTAAAAGTATTATCAGATTTAATTTCCTTCTCTCTGTTTACCTTCCTCCATGTTCTTTCTATGTGGTGTAGCCAGTTTCTCCTTGCAGTTCAGCAGACTGTAAGAAGACAGTCTTTCCTCCCATACTTGTCCAGTCTGTGGGAGTTAATCTAGGAAAATAGTCTTTAAGTCTTAATTTTTTTTGAGGCTATGTTAATCCAAGTAGCATACATTTGTTTTCCCCTATGGTCTTCTCATTCGTGGCTTTTGTAGGTTGGTGTGAAAGTGATCCATGCTGTTAATACTTGATTATTTGTCAGATTCTTTACCATTTTCCATGTCTTGTGTTTCCATCTAGGTAGGGGCACAACTCCTGGGAAGTCAAAAAGAAAATGTGCTTATTAATGAACTTGAACTAGAGCAACTTAAAGAAGAGGCAGCTGCTGCGAAGGAAGAACTGAACAGTTACAGAGAAAAGTCAGAAAAACTTCAGCAAGAGCTAGCAGTAAGAACTGGATTGTTCCATATTGTGTTTAAAGCAAATGGTTGCACAGGGCTTCCTGTGCAAATATGCATGCTATAGGGTTTTTTGATCTTGTACTGAAAATGCCACTAAGAAAAACAGTCACTCAGTACCTACTGTCAGTGGAACAGAACTGGTGCTGTAGACTAAACCTTCACTTGTAGCTGAAGTACATAGTTTTACAGGCCACTACAGTGCACCACTAGATCTGGAGCTGTATTTCTTGGGAGTTGGTATTTGCTACCATGTGTCATAGCTGCTTTAAAATAGGACTAAACTGAGGTCTCATGGTATAGAGGGCTGTTTGGGTTTTAGATACTTATTTTAAGTATTTGGAAGGACTGCAATTCAGATTCTCCGTATTTACAGGTGAAAGAAGCAAGTCTGATACACCTTCAGGAAGACCTGTGCAAAGTCAAAGAGAATCTAGTTCAAGCAGAAGAGAGACTTGCAAGTTATGTGAGAAAAGACAAGGAAATGGCAAAACCTGAAAGCAAAAAGGATGCAGAAATAGCATGTGATTTGTTAGACAGTGAGCCTACTCCATTTAGAAAAAGCTCATCCTCACAGACAGACAAGGCTATGGAAATAAACAGCTGTATCCAGACTTTACCAGTCCTTGTTAAAAATGCAGAAATCCAAAATGATCTGCAAAGTGGGTATTCTTCAGAAGAGATTGCAGAGATCATAAGAGAATTTACTGATAAAATTGACCAAATGCAAGAACTCCATGCTGCTGAAATCATGGACATGGAGACAAGACATATCTCTGAATCTGAAGCATTAAAAAGAGAGAAGTTTGTGGCAGTGCAAGTACTGACTGAAGAATGTAATACTTTAAAGGAAGTAATAGAAAGTCTACAAGGTAAAGAGGTATGTATCCAATTTTATATTCATTGAACTGCTTTGGTTCGTGCTTTCACTCCTGCTACAGAAATCCCCATTTAAAATCTGTTAAGTGTGAACCATCACATGTTCATTATAAAGCTTCTAAGTATTCTAATGTTTCTATAGTCTAGGGAGAGATTATGAACCCCTTCTTCAGCAATTTAAGTTGCTTCTGTATGCTACTACCTTGGACCCGTCCCGCTCTGTGAAGCAGGGACAAGTGTAGGTCACCCTATTGAATACCGTATTTCTCATCTCCATTTTGATTACTTTGGTTGCAGTGGAAACTAGACAAAGAGGCTTATGTTGTTTCCTGCTCCTTAAAATCAGCTCCCTTCTTGTGAGTGCATGTACAGTGATAAAAGATTTGATTATTCTGTTTTCTACATATAGGGAATCCCAGTTTCTGGATTAACATGTTCTCCACCATGTCAAGGTAGAGATGGAGGTTCCAGTGGTAAGAAAGTTACATTCTTTCAAACAGCATTATTAATTATGCTTTTTTAATACTAAGTTTAACATTAGAGAGCTTGTGTTCTAAGAAATAAAAACAGCTACTCCCCATATTGAAGCAGAAGCCTGCTGAGCTAGCAAAAGATGCTGAGATGATGATGTCTCTTAATTTGCTATGGAAGGAAGATTACTAGAGTGGAGATGGGTTGCGTCAAGGCATCAGATGCTAACTTTTTTATTCACACTGAAGTTCCCACATTCTTCTCACATGTTACGTTACCTCTTCAGCATAGGTTCATCATCTCTTGATAGAATTTAAAGGCTACAGCTCCCTAGCAGTGGGAGATAATAAGTACTGACTTCTCTAAGAGCAATAAAAATAACTTACATGGTCCTTTTCATAGGTAGAGCCTAAGCATATTAGGAGGGAGTCATTTGACAGAAGTGTTTGTGCAAGAAGTTGTTCCTCTTTTACAAATAAACTAGGATTTTTAAGTTTGGGGTTTCTTTTGTTTGGTTGGTTGGGTTTTTTTTTTGTTTTGTTTTGGTTTAGTTTGGTTTTGCTGTAACTGCTTTGAACCTGAAAAAGAAACAGTACAAAACAGGCAGTCTCCAGGCTTAAAACCAGCTCTGGTGACATGCAACCACCTGTTACAACAACAGACAAAAATAATTGTTTGATGCCTTTTCTTCAAAGTTTCACAGTAATCCAGCTTTCATCTTTCTCTTTTCTTTTATTTTAGACTCCAGTTCAGACTGGAGTCAGGGAATGTATCTTGCTCAGACCCAGGGATCTGACACGATATCTGAAGGAATAGATGAAGGTGAAACTTCAACAGATTTACTTCCAAAAAAAATTAAGGTAAAATAGAACTGATCATTTTTATTGCGGAGCAAGAGTGGTACTGCCAAAAGCTTAGATTAGCTGCTGCTTGATTAGTAAAAAGAGAGACCTTCAGATAAGTTTTGAAGTGTCAGCTATTTTAATAGATTTTAGAAAACTTCTGATAAATTTTGTGCATTTTTTGCATGTTAAATTAGGTTAAATATGAGGGGTTTTAACTTGTTTTCAATTATTATTTTGTGAAATAATTGTGATTTATTGTAGTTACTGTGTGTTAATGTCGTGAGCATGTGCTACATATTTTTACAGATTGTTATTAACTGGTGTTGAGTTATTATCTATATTACAAAAGTAAACAAATAAGATTGTTATTACTATCATGAGGACTGGCATTACTGATTTCTTTATGCATTTATTGTAGGGTTTGCTGCGAGCAGTCCATCATGAAGGCATCCAGGTGCTGTCTCTCACTGAATTTCCATATGGTGAAAGGGAGATGACACCTCTTAAGCAAGAGCCCGAATCTTGGCTTGAGGAAAGGAAAGCTTTTCTAAGCACCATTTCATCTTTGAAAGACCTAATTGCAAAAATGCAACTTCATAGAGAAGCTGAGGTATAAATAATATCATAAGATTCTATCTAAAGAAAAAATGGCAGGGGGTTTGGAACTTGATGATCTTAAGGTCCTTTCCAACTCTAACTATTCTGTGATTCTATTCTATTACCTTGTAAGGCACATTCACAGTTCAGGCTTAAATGGTATAAATATACTGCTGTAAGGCAGAAGATTTTAAAAATACATGGTAAATCAGCTTACCATATTTTCTGGTGATAAAATATATCTTAAATTGTAGCTTGCATTTGTTCTTTGTAGCTTTTGACTGTATAATCCACCTTTTAAAAATAGTTCTATTTAGAAAGCATGTTTCCAATAGCCATTATATGTTGTTGCATATTGGTATAGTAAAACTTGGATGCTGTTAACAAGATTAACTTTATATCAGTTCAAAATTAAATCTTCTTCATACACAGTATCTGCACACTACCAAGTAGCTCTGTGGGGAGCCTAGCAGCGTACTGGTAACATCATAAAAATTAAAAGGATAGTGTCATACAGTAGCAAATATTAACTATATGGGGTTAAGTTTTCAGTTACAAAAAGCTAAATTGCCTCCATCTAAAACACAGATGAAAGACTAGGATTTGTGTATGCAGAAGAAACCATAATGTGTACAAAAAATACATCCATTTGTATGAATGAATGTTATTCAGCTATTGAGTAAGGAAGGCTCAATATTCCACTGAAAACACACTTCACGTAAAATGATAATGACCATTCTTGATGGAAACTTCGAATTCTGCTGTTTAAATTGTTTTTATATCACTGTAGATTTATGCAAGTGCTGAATCTCCTGAAGGTGTCTCAGACTGGCGAGGAGAACTTCTGCATGCTATTCAGCAGCTTTTTGTGAGAGAACAAAATGTTCTTCTTGCTGCGTTTCAAACTGAACTTGCAGAACTGGGCACAAGAGATGCAGTGATATTGATGAATCAGTTAGAGCACAGACTGCAGGAGCAGGTAATATGAACCATACTTCAGTCAAAGTGTGTTTGTCTAAATTAGATTTTACTTTTCAATGTATACATCCACTTTAAAATGTCTGTATTACTAGTAGTTTGGACAGTATAAGGGTGAAAACAAAGACTTGTAGGAAGAAGAGGTGCCTTTAAAAAGAAACACTGATGGGGTATGGGGAAAAAAGCAAATTTGGATACACAAGCTAAAAAAAAATACAGCCTTCAGAGATCAGTTTTAATTAAACACAGTTGTCCTGAGCTTGATTTCCTTAAGTTAATTAAAATTATGTTACAGTGTCTAAATGAAAAGGTAGCTGGTATATACAGAGAAAGTTGTAAGGAGAGGAAGTGATGAAGCTGCTGTGGGAGGGAGAGGTGTCAGTTACCTCCTCTGGAAGCTGGATTAGTGAGGAAAATTAAAATTTGCCATAAAAGCTCTTTTGATTCTGTAATTTTGATGCCTACTACTGAAATAATAAAAAAAAATTTCTTCCCAATAATATTGGCTTAATTGTGACTTAATTGAAATTGTTTTGAATATATATGCGCTATGAATGTCTAAGTAAATGTAATATCTACACCATAGATATTCTAATAAAATCTGGAGCTTTACTTTCAAACATTTCTGATGCTAATAGGCTACTAACCAGAGAGCAGCAATGGACTGTCTTCAAAGTGCAGACAGAAGAAGCTTGCTAATGGAGATTCAAGTCTTACATGCTCAGATGAACAGTAAGAAAAATAATCCAAAGAGAGAACAAGAAATGGATTCAAAAAGCCAAGGTGACTTCTGTGGTAATATATGTCTGTTTTCAAGTGCTTTCGTGGCAGTGCTCATGACACAGTAGGTGAAAACTTACTGACTTTCTTTGCTCTCTGATACTCTTTCTCAGTATGCATACTTTTAATCTTTTTCATTCTTATTGGACTGATTTTGCAAAACTAGTCTGTGTTCTTACTACTTGTATCAGATTGAAAGTGATAGAAAGTTATTTCAATTGCTGTAAAAATTGAGCTTGTATTTTAAGGTTATTTTCCATGTATGCGCTTCAGTGTTTAGGTTCGACAGCATTGAAATTCTCTAAGTTGGATTGTCAGTCATAATGAGTAAACTGAGAAGCAATTAGAACAAAAAACCAAAAAGTTCAGAGGACAGGTATACTTCAAAGTCAAGTAAATGCTCATTTTGTCACAAAAATTTGGTCACAAGTATACATACATACCTAACTTCAGCTATTAATCTATCGTAATCCATCTGATACATATTTGTATGGTTGTGCACATAGTCTTTTAAAAAAGTGTAAGAATTGAAGTAACTTCTTGGAAAATACAAAAGTTATTAAATGGTTTTGCTTTCACTCCATTATTGAAAGAATATACTGTTTAAAAATACCACTCTTGTGGTCATTTTCTGTGCTAGGGGAAACTACCCAAAGAGTGTTGTTTGCTTGTTAAGTAATTTCTGTATTAATGGTACTCTCATTAGAAATGCTGGAGTATAATATGCAGCAGAAACAGTCACAGATACTGGAGATGCAAGTGGAGCTCCGGAGTATGAAGGACAGAGCAGCTGAGCTTCAGGAACAGCTGAATTCAGAGAGAATGATGGGTGCTGAGCTGAAGAATGAACTCGCACAAGCCAAGCTAGAACTTGAAGCAACCCTTAAAGCACAGCACAAGCACTTCAAGGACCTAGAAACCATCAGGTTCAGCTTTCATTGCCAAACTGTATTAACAGTGAAGATGGTCTTTTCCGTGTTGTCTCAAATCATAATACTGGCTTTATTAAGGAAGTTGGTATCATGTAATGTAAATTACATGTGCATAAAATAAATGTAAAAAACTTCTCAGTTTTTCTGTAAAACGTATCTGACAAAGAACAGGCTTCTGTTCCATTTGTCAAAAAATGTCATTCTGTTCATTAGGAAGATCTGATTCACAGTTTGATCTAGTGATTTATTAGTATCAATTTTTGACACATTAGACTACCGTATACAAGGTAGTAAGTATACCATACTTACTAAAAGTTTTTCTGCTTCTAAAACTGAATATAGAGAAAGGAATTGCAGAGTGAAGATGACTTTGCAAGTATTTCCATATAAAATTTCATAACTTCTAAGTGTCGTTTTGGCATTGTCAGAAGCAGAGGTGACAGGCGAAATATTTAGCATTCAATAAAGCCAATATTATTTATGCCTTTGTTTAGCTCTGAGATAGCAAATCAAGACAGCGTTTACATTGGCATTATTTTACAGATTACCTTACAACCTGTACAGTCCATAAGGAGACAGTTTCCTTTGCAAATCGATGCAAAATTTATTTGGAAAAAAAAAAAAAAAAAGGACAATTCAGGGCATAGTTTTCTTTGTGAGACATGGCAGCAAGACGTATTTCCCCTGCATTTGTACGTATTTTGGCCAGTGACTGGATTAAGTTAACACTAGCTGCCTCCAAGCCACCAATTAATATTAAATGACAGCTCAGAATTATCCGTATGGAGTACTGATAGTATGGACACACATGCTGTCATTTTTTGAGTTATTCAACTCCATTTTTATTTTTTGAGTTAGGCTTGTTTTTCTAAATCAGCTTTTTGCACTTACTCCATTACACAAGCAGTGTTTTCAGTGCACAGAATGGAATAAATATCAAGTAACTAATGTCACCGTGATGGGGATTAGAGCTACTGTCTAATCCGGAAGTTGTCCATTTCTCTTTTAGGACTGAAGTTAAAGAAAAGGCATGTGAACTAGATGTTCTCAAGGATACAATGGCCAGCGAACAGAAGAAATCAAGAGAGCTACAGTGGGCTTTGGAAAAGGAAAAAGCTAGAATGGAACGCAGTAAGGAAAGAGGAAGAGAAGAGCTTGAGGTATTCCGTAATCCTAAATGGTCTGGGTCAGGGAGCACACAGTTATTCTTTCGGTTAACGTTTCATCTCAGCTTACGTTTTTGTCCAACGTGTGTCATGTCTTCAACAGCAGTATTGTATCTTCTAGAGTGGGAGAAAGATGTATAGAACCTATGTGGCAAAGAAAGAAAAAGGCCTGATGTAAATTCCATTTAAATCAATAGGAGTTTTACAACTGCCAGTTTAGGGCCAAGATGAAAAGATTCTACTTTGTATAATAGAATCAGATATTCAAGCGGACAGGGCACCGCTAACATGGCTACACCTAGCCCCCACCACAACTTAACTCAAACACACAGTATTTATTATTTAAGGAGATACATTGTTTGTTTCCACTTTAAAAGTTAGATGTTTCTCCTCATGAAAATCAGTCTAAGGGGTTTAAGAGAAAATGCATCAGTAGCTTCCTTGAGTGAGGGAGAAGAGAACATATATCCTCATGCAAGTATTAAGACAATAAAGCAATCACTAACAGCACAGATTCATTTGCATCTTGAAATCTTAACTTCCAAATTCACTCCCACAGTTTTGGAAAGTAAAAGCAGTTGCCTTCAACTTCAGAACTGCAGCTTTTTGTATCTCATTAAAAAGTATATGTTGCAAATACCCTTTTGTGAGATGATCCAGTCCTAGAATAGACACCTGTAACATATTTAATATTAGATGTAACTGCAGCATTGAGTATTGTTACATTGTGACTAGCAAAACCCTTAAAAGCAACATGTGTAGAGGAATACTTGGAATTTGCAGGAATTTGCAGGCAGTAACACAAAGTGCACACAAATAGCTCTAATCAATCCTTTTCTTCTGTTTTCTCATGGAAGGATTTGAAATTTTCACTTGAAGATCAAAAGCAGAAGAACTTAGAGCTAACTAAACTCTTGGAGCAAGAGAAGCAGCTGTCAACTGATCTGCAGCAGAAAATTGAATCCCAAGAAGTGCTGAGTGCTGCCCAGCTGTCACGTGAGCGGGGCCGTAATTCTGAGTTGCAGGTGCTTCTTGAGTCAGAGAAGGTTCGAGCTCTCGAAATAAGCAGTGCCCTAGAAAGGGAAAAGGAACTGTGTGCTCAGCTTCAAAGTGCTGAAGATAAGGGGCAAGCTGGAGCACCTAATCCGTCTGAGGAATTACTTAAAGAGCTGCAGAAGCAAATGGATGAAAAGCATGACCGTGTAGTGGAGTTAGTAAGTGAGATGGAGAAATATAAACTGGAATCTGTGCAAGTGAGGCAGCAAATGGAAAAGGAAAGGCAGATCCAGAGGAAAGCATTACAGGCAGAACAAGATGCTAACATAATAGCACAGAAGAAACTCCATGAACTGGAGTCTAAAGTAGAAGACCTTCAGTGGCAGCTTGGAGAAAAGAAGCAAGAAGTTCTTAAATTAGGGAATGAAACAAAGAAGTTGCAGGAAATAATCCAAGAACTGCAGAAACAAGAGCAGGAGAATGGAGGAAGGAAGGAAGCTGAAAGGACACCAAGCCACAATACAAATGAGGTACAGTAGGACTGAGAGCAATGTGTAATACTGAACTGTGCAATTTAGCTTTTAACTCTTTTGATCAATTAGCATTGTGTGCCACTGTGCCTTTGCTCAATCCGTAAAATAGCCTGCAGATTACAAAATACAGGCACCAGGGAGAAGGAAAGCATTCCAGTTTTCCTACCTAAAACTGTTCACACACATCCTCTGAGAATGAAGCTGCAGAGATATGTAAGGAGGAGAGTGAGCAGGAGAAATGCACCTCAGTGTACACACACACTTTGTGCCTCAGTACGGGAGAAAAATATTCCCTGCATGCAGTTGCAGGAATGAGCTGTTTCTGCTCAAGAGTGCTCCAGATCAGTTCTCTTAATCTTTAGTTCATAAACCACAAGTGGTTTTTGAAACACTTAAAAATGGTCTCCCAACAGCTTCAATAATTAGAAAAGTAAGTAATCAAAGAACAAGTGTATGCATGAATAGCAAACAAAATAGAAGAAATCGAGGTAAAAAAGTAGGAATTTAGCCTAATTTTTATATAAATGAAAGTTGAAACCGCTGTTGCCTGTAAGTTTTTTCCTCTCATAACAGGTTTGGAAAGTTTTCAATACATTTTGAATTCATTTTAAAACTCTTCAGAAACTTCGCTACAAGATGTAGGTGTTTCTGGGTATGTGGTATGTTACTAGTCCTGGAGAAGGTTGAGACAGGAGACTTGCCTTTTTGCTGACCATGTGTTTGCCATCATTCCATGCTTTTTGGTCTGTGGAGCTGGGAAGGAAATTCTTCTGCTCATCTGATTTGGCTACTGGCTTAAATCTTCTGAAGCATTGGAAAGTACTCCCAGCTAGAGGCAGGCTGTTGGGTGTACTGATAACTGTGATAACATCAGCCTTCCTGTCACGCTCAGTGTGTGCTCCTTGCTCTTCTGAATGGAGGTAGCTGCCAACACTGCGATCAATGAGCAGTCTTCTCTTGGATCAGGTTGGCAGTGGCTGTTGGGTTTTTCTCCCTCTCGGCAGCAGGCAGTATGATGTGCTTTCCAGGATCTGCCCAGAGTTTCAACTAATGAATCTCCTGCCGCTTCCTGTGACATTTGCAGCACCCTGCTTTTTTCCATTGGTACCACACCATGGTCTGATACCCAAAGGCACAGCAATAGGCTCAGATTTCCTTGGAAGGGCTAGCAGTTCTTCCATGGCCAGTGTTAGTGAGGATGAGGAGCACATGTTCAGTTCTTCACTTGTGGAAGCATCAGTGGTATGGTTGCCTGCGACTGTGGAATGACCTCCATGACCATAGTGGGCTTTTCCAGGCCTGTTCCTCTGGCTATGAATTGGTCACCAAAATACATGGGCACAGTGGCATATATGCCATGCACAACTGGTAACCAAACTGCTGGTGGAAGAAACAAAAAAGCTTGGTGGGTTCCTGCTGGCCAAATCTGTTGAATGGATTTACACTGTAGCCATATGATGGCTAGATCTTAGCCAAGAGAAGCACCAGGCTATACCATTCACAAATAGTAGTTTAGTGGTATGCTACAACTGTAGCGTAGTGTATCACACTAAACTCCTTCCTGTGTCAGAACTGTTTGTTCTTCAGTTCCTGGGTGTGTTTCAGAATCAAATGTTTCCATTTTAAAGCACTGGACCACATGCATTCTATGTGTATATAAATACGTATTTATCTCCAGACGACCTGGGATACACCTAATGACAGAACAAGAAAATGGGTTCTCCAGCAGAAAATGGAAGGAGCTGAGACCAATGAATCGACCTACCCCACAGTGACGGGAGCAGGAGAGCTCTCTGCTGCTAGTGAAGTTCTGCAGAACATCAGGCAAAAGCTGCAGAATGCATTTCCAAAGCTGAAGCAGTTGGCTCGGAAAGCGGCTAGCAGGTCAGATCAGCCTTCAGCTACTTGGTTTTGTTAATAGCAACCAGCAAGCTAATAAATTAAGTTTTAACTGATTTTGAGGTTTTTCTAGTTACTGCACTGTAAGATGTAAGATAGGATCACAGAAGTGTCAAATGCTGCTCTAAATATTAGATGTTTAATATGGTCCTTTTTAAGTTACAGCAAAATTGTCTTTTTTTTTTTTCTCTGAAAATGGTAAAGTTTGAGTGTTATGCAGGTAGATCATTTTAAAACAATTTAGTAAAAAAAAAGAAGTAATTCAGTGTATCGGGACAAATGTAAGGATTACTGCTCTGGATCATCACCCTTGCTTCCGCCAGAGAAAGAATTTCATGGTCAAGTGAAGTTGATCTTAATTCTTATTGTCTGAGGTTACTATCGCATTAAGGCCAAAAAAAAAAGTAGCATGGTACCAGGTCCATGGGCGGTTTAAATCTGTTTTTATTTTGCTGCGATGGTGATTTACTATTCTATATTCATTCTGGAACAGTTGGGCAAAGTGGAATGCGTTATATCTTGAAAATACCTAAGGTTTTGCTCACACGGATTCAGCAAACAGGTGGGAAGCAGGGCCATATTTTGAAATGTGCTTCCTGTAGAAAACATACTTTTCTCCATATTAGTGGGAAAGTCTTTATAAAAACGTGCAAAGTCTTTATAAAAATTGAGCCAATTGCACTTAGGGTCACCAAGAAGTCTTGGAAATGTTGCCTTGTCCCCAGCCACAATGCTGAAGTGACTTGATAAAGTCACAGTGTGTGAAGTCCCATCAGGCTGGCTCAGGATCTCAGACTGTACCTGCTGCTGAAACTGTTGCTTTTTGTTCAGGTTGCAGTTTGAAACAGCAGATGATCAAGACTTCATCGCAATACAGAACGCTATTGAAGAAGTTATTTCAGAGCTGCAAAAACTGCCTGGGTTGTCCTATCTGGAAGAGGTGACAGTGCAATGGTGTAACTGGTGGCAGAGTGGGTGATGTGAGGGGAAACCAGCAAGGAGTTGTGAAGTCTGTTCTTTATAGAGGAAAATCTGCTCCAGTGGGTGTTGTGATTTGGAGTTGAAGTGTAAAAACCTCTTTCCATTTGTTTTTTGGGTTTTTTTTTCAATTTTAATTACCTCAAAAAGGAATTTTCAACTTTCAAATTCAAACTTTTCCAGTTGAATTATAACTTTCAGATATCATGGCTTTTCTTTAACAAAACCATAGTATTTCAGTAACTGAGGAGACTTTGCTCAATGCTTCTCAATATTAGAACCAACATTTAATATTTACTGTGTTGTGTTGATACAACACATTTACTTGACTGCCTTTTATTTACTGAGGGAAAGGCAGTTGCAGATTAAGTAGTGTGCACCTATGTAAAAAATGAGGCGATCTGTGACAAAGAATTCAGCAGTATGTGATTTTTGACTGCTTGGCTAGTTCCTTACCTTCACTTTTAAGCAAGTGTTTTCAACATGACTTGAAAAAAGCTTTGAGGCTTTTCTTTTCTTCTAAGTTAGATAAATCTTAAACACAGTAGAAAAGCTTTGCAAGTTGTTACAGTTGGTACAGTTGAGCTTGTGTGAAAACACTGTGCTGTGATATACAGGGTAAGAATGGAAGTCACATTAATCTGTAGGTTACATGTGCACCTGTTTTCTATATATAAGTTATTAAGAAGTTATGGTCATTATCTACAGAAGTATTTCACTGTAAGCCGGTTATTTTCAAGTTGCAACTTCAATCTAATACAAGTTGTTTGATTTTCTGTCTTCCTGCTAGTTGAAGCTAGTGCTGCCCCCAGGGACACCATCCAGCTCGCTGACTGAGAGGCTGCTGAGACAGAACGCTGAGCTGACCGGCTTTGTCAGCAGGCTGAGCGAGGAAAAGAACAATCTGAGAAATGCTGTTATGAAACTGGAGGAAGAACTGAGAAGATACCAGCACAGGCAACTTCCTGGAGACTATGTATGTCTGTAGTGGTGCTCATATGATAACGTATATACAGGCATAAGGGCATTATTCATTGTCCTAGTCACCCAAGTGGGAGCGATCAAGCTGTCTGTCTGGCTTGGCTTCCTTCTGCAGAGTAAATGGGCATGAGTTGTTCTTGTCCTGTGCTCAGTACATTTCGACTCACACTGTTTACTATAAACTTTGTGATTTTACCCAGCTTCTTCTTGTTAATTACTCTTTTCTGTTAAATTGCACGTGCATCTCTTTTTCATCTGTCTCGTCACCGTGGTGAGCGGCAGATAGATCCAGATAGCTTCAAGGTCATGAAAAATGTTCCAGTGAGGGCAACTTTTTTTGGAGAAGCTCTGTTTTCCTAGGACATTGATCAGACTTCTCAAGTCACTGCTTCTGAGGTGTTAGGATGCAGGGGTGGCCTCAAATCCAATCAGTGGGTAGTTTTTCTCTCATTAATTTTATAAGCTCTCCGTCAAAGCAGTGACTAAAATGACACTGCTTGAGCTTTTCCAAACTGTGAGGTTCAAATTCAGTTTCTTTTGTCTTCAGTCTTCCAGACACTCATCAGCTGTTGGGGTTAATATCGATACTCTTGCCTCTGAGAAGGAAACCTGGAACAGAGAGAAGCTGTCACTGCAGAAGTCTTTGAAACAAGCTGATGCGGAGCTCTCCAGGCTGAGAGCAGAGCTCAGGAGCGAAGCTTTCCTCAGAGAACTGGGATCAGATTCTGAAAACGCTGTTTTAAGGGTAAGAAGACTTTGCTGCCCACATACTAACTACAGCTACGTTTTTTCATTTTGATTCGGGCCTGTTCTTCATTGTGTTCACTCTGCTTGTTCTAAGTAAACAGATACTAATTCAGGGTTGAAATTTTCATCCTCAGATACCTGCCTCTTAGTTTCTCTCCCCAAGAATGATCTGCAAGCACCGATGTTGTCTTTTAGTGTGTGTTCTGTTTCTTGCTGCTCAGATGATCCTCAAATTATGAAGCTGCACTCTTTTGAAAAGAGTCTTCTCCGTGACAAGAGAGCAATGAATAATCATGGAAATGCCTTAGGAGTAGCAGTGTCAAAACTCTTAGAACTGTAATTGTTCTTTGAGTTTATGAGGCCTTTTTTTTTTCTTGTTGTAGAGAATTTATGGCAAATACCTGCGAGCAGAGAGCTTTCGGAAAGCTCTCATCTATCAGAAAAAGTACCTGCTGCTGTTACTAGGTGGATTCCAGGAGTGTGAGGAAGCCACCCTGGCCCTCATCGCGCGGATGGGCGGGCAGCCTTCCTACACAGACCTCGAAATCATCACACACCATTCGAAGGGGTTTACAAGATTCCGCTCTGCAGTCAGAGTGTCCATCGCAATTTCAAGGTGAGTTGGAGGAAGTTAGATTTCAGACAGGTATCACTGTGCAGTTTAACACATCCTGTTCTGGCTCTCCAGTTAAATCTAGAACTTGCCGTGTTCCATCTGTGTAAATTATACATTTCCGGTAGTCATGAATATAGTAGATGCTGTGTAGGGTGAGAAGTTGTGCAGAGCATAGCTAAAATCTGTAACAGGAATAAGCAACCTGACTGTAGTTGAAAAGGGCTCTGTATTTGATACTCAAAAATGGATTAAAATTGGATAAAGCCTTATTAGAAAAAAAATGTAATTCTAGGATATGCATTTACTCACAAAGGTATTTTCTGCAACATAATTTCCTTTAAAGGTTAAATTCTTACACAGAAGTATGATACAGATTTATGAACTGATTTTATCCATCTGGGTGGTTCTTCAAATTCACAAGACTCTACATCTCAGGCTGAGGATGAGTAGAAGTAGATGAAGATCAAGTGAACGTTACTCCTGCGTAGTACTGCCATGTTGCTAGCAATCCCTCTGCACAAGTTTGAATCCCCAAGTGCTTGTGCCTGCTACTGATCAGAGCTTTATGTGTAGTATAAATTCGAGGTACTATTCATGTGCCTGTTTAAGTGAGGTTTTTACTCATAGCTTTCAGCAGTTACAATTTTGGGGATGCAACAGGGCAAAAAGTGTATTTAGTAAGATTTTGAAATACTGATGCCCTGTTGCTTAAGTGCTCCAGCCATTTGCTATCCACTGGGACTTATGCAGCACCTCTGGAATTGCTGGAAATGCAGAGGTGAAGCTGAAAGCAGATCTGGACAAAAGGTGTTTTTCTTAGGAATGCATATAAGAATGTTTTCTACTTCATCTTCAGGTTTTAGATGTGCATCCATTAATTTTGCTTGGTGTTCAAGAAATTCTTTTGCCTTCTAGAATACAAGCAGTAGAGTATTTCATTTAGCCTGAAATATTTTATTTTCTTTATTTGAAATGCAGAATGAAGTTCCTGGTTCATCGATGGCAGAGAGTTACAGGTTCTGGTATACTGAGTGTCAATAGGGATGTCTTTAGCCAGAGCACAGGTAAATCATAGTCCAGTAATGGCTGATAAATGGTTCCACAAGTCACACCACTGCTTAATGGGGATGGGTTTTAGCCTGTGTTTTCCTCATGTGGAAATGACTGGGGCGCTGTTCCCCCTTCCTTTTGTTAGAATTGCTTGGATTAACCTATTTCTCAGGTTTCTGAGAGGTTCCATGCTCAGCACAGACACAGATCTATTTCCTTTCTCTTCAGTCTTGTTTTGCTCCATTGGGCGTGGGATTTAAAAACTATGGCACTTTTGCCTATGGAGCGTGTTTATAAGAGCAGTTTTAGCTACATCATTTGGTTTCTCAGAAGAGATCTGCATCTCCAGATCTAAAAGGAGATGCCAAGGACAGGGACGGACAAATGGCAATCGAGCCTATGGACCAGCCCTCCCTGGCCTTTCCCTCAAGAGGAGAAGTCTGTCGTTCTTTTGTTGTAGCTTAAAGTTTGGGAAACCTGGTTTTCTGTTGGCTTTTAGTAGGATCCTAACAAGAATCAAAAGCTTTTTTATTAATTCCTGGCTATCTGGGTCTGCACTAAAACCCTGTCCTGCTCCGCCTGTGGGAATTTTCTCAGTAACATCAGTGAGGCCGGGATTTCACCTCTGGTTTTCTCTGACACAGTCTGAAAGTGGTCTTCCTTTGTTAAACACCATTTTTGTGATGTGCAAACAGAAAACTCATGTCTGAGATTCTCTATGAAGTGCAAAAGGTGTCACTTTGTTTATTTTTCAAGGCATTGTTTTTTTCTACTAGGTAATGAACTGCGGCCTGACTCATTCTCTGGTGGCATGGATCTTTATGGAGAGCAAAGGCATTCCTATAGATCCAGGTCAGACATGGAGTTTCCTAGATCTCCTGTAAACTTTCTACATAAGTATGTTTTATTTCAGATGATGATTAGCTATCAGAACATTGTGAACACTAAATCATTGTGTCAGTGCTTACTGAGAAGGTTTGTAATCTTTGATGCTGTAAGATATTTTGTACTTGTTTTGCAAGAATATGTAACAAATTACATCTCAGTCCTTTCCTCTGCATTTACTCATCATGCTGATCAAGGCCAGAGCTTCCAACTACTTCTGTTTCTGATTCACAGCATCTTCTTGGAGCTGGTGGTAGATTTTAGCCATTGTGGGGTTTCATTTCTAGATAAACCAGACCTCAGCATTCTTCAGCTCGTGACAACTGTAACAGTGCAAAAAGGTTTAATCTATTATGGCCACTTTTGACTTACAGAAAGTAACAAAGAGGCAGAATCCTATAAAGGTGACTGTGTCCTTGTTCATGCAAGCTTTTTAATAGGAAAGCTAACTTGAATCTGCCACGGCTTCTGCTGCAGTCTTCGTAGGATTTTGCTGGTCAGTCTTTGTCCCAGAGAAATGCAGCAACAAATCAGGTGCAATAGAAAGGAGAGGCCACTGGGAAGAGTGGTTTCTCTGGGAGAGGCAGTATGGTGGCTTGGGCAGTAAGCAGCAGGGAGATTACATGGGTCTGACATGCTGGCCACCATGTGGGTGAGTGAAGGGTTGGTATGGTGTCCCTACATACCACAGTTTGCTGCATCTGCTGATACTTAATGTCTTACTTGAAGCTGTGCTGTTTGGACACATGGGTGTTGTTCTGCCCCCAGGTTTCCCAGTATGCAGGCGGACTTCAACCCAGCCTCTTTCGCCTGTTCTCAGCTGCAGAACTATGATCCTGAGAGAGCTTTAACAGATTACATCCACCGGCTGGAGGCCCTGCAAAGACGACTGGGCAGCGTGCAGTCAGGTGAGGGCTCAGGCTCCTGAGTAGTGCAGGTGTGCTTCCAGTTGGGAAGGATGCAGTGGTTCTCCGAAATACAGAAGGAATTCCACTGTGTTTAGGCATTTTCAGCCTTAAACAAAGAGAGTATTTTGAGCACATTAAAAAAGCTCCAAGGTAGAAAACTCTAAAAGAAAATGGTAAGATTCTTTGAAGGGAGACAGACGTAGAAGTTGTTTTATCAGTAACACTTCCTCTTTCACTGATCTCTAATAAATGTGCAGCAAGCATTCAGTTGGTATCTTGCTAAGACTTTAAGCTAGATGGAGAAAAATCACAGAATGGCTCGGATTGGAAGGGACCTTAAAGCTCACAGGCAGGGACACCTTCTGCTAGACTGGGTTGCTCAAAGCACCATCCAGCCTGGTCTTGAACACTGCCAGGGATGGGGCAGCCACTTCTCTGGGCAACCTGTGCCTAACTGCACCCAAAAGACTGGGATGTGGGAGTACATGGGAAATTTCTCCTATCGCTTTCATTACAGAAGCTGCAGCTTTTTTTGTCCCACAGATGATGGTAATTCTTGTGCTGCAAAAGGAACGTAGCAGGAAAATTGCCAGGTCAATAGGGCATTATTTATCAAACTTGATTTTTGTGGTTACTGTCGTAAGGTCTTTCTTGATCATAAAATCCATCATTTGAGGGAGTTCTGTTCTTAAAAGATTTTACATGTAAGATCTTTTATGCTTGTTCAGCTGAGCAACGTATCATTGGCGAGTCCTCGTGCACTTATTCCAGGCAACCTTGATGAAAATCTGTCTCCATCTTACAGGTTCGACTTCCTACACTCAGCTGCATGTGGGTATGAGAAGATAATACCTCAGTTCCACTAGCTCCGGCACTGGCAGTGATGATGTTCATGGATTGCGTTCCATAAATCCATGCTCTTTCCCTGCTTTTTATCATGTGTATATTTTGGGACCAAGATGAACACAGCTGTACAATTGTATTACAGGTCCATCCTGGCACACCCCACAGACTGGGATTTATGTATATAGGCACTTTGTGTTCATGCAAAAAACACCCCAAAACCAAACAAAAAACCACCCCAGAACAACCCAGCCCCCTCTCCCCCCTTCAATTACGTGTATATTTGTGGAATGCTAATTTAAGTGATTAACTTATGAAGTGTGTATTTATCAAAAGGGTGCAAAGATGAAACATGTATTAATGAAATGGAGCTACATTCAGCAAAGTTTACTTGCACTTTTTCTGGCAAGGCTACTGAAGTTACCTGATTCTCGTACTATTTGCTACCGGCAGTGCAGACAGAATATCACTTGTAGAGACCTATTTTTGTAATGGTAGAAGTTTTGAATTTTATGGGTATTTTGTCAAAGTACTGAAATAAAGACAACCTCATGCTTCTAACCGTGTTCAAGAACCACTCCCTTGCTCCCCCGCAGAGCTTGCTCCTACCTGTGCTCCTCCTGCAGTTTTACTTTTCACAGCTTCCGAACTACTGCTGCTCATGAGAGGAGGGGACAGCTACACGCCCTTGTTTCTGAAGACCTGGTCACATCTGACAGAACACAAAGGGAATATCCTGCACTCCCTCAGTTGCTGTGATGGGTACAAACACAAGGTTTTAGAACAGTTACCCTTGAGCTTAGAAGAGGAAAGACAAGCAAAGCTCTTGCTGCAATGAGAACTGATGATGGGGGGAAGCTCTCTGCATGACTGACCTCATGAGACAGAAAGTTAGTTTATTACAAATTTAGTTACAGAAGCTTTTCAGAATTGACAGAACTGAGCACACAAAATTTCCACAAGAGGTTTGGGTTTAGATTTCATTCAAAGTTACTGTGAACCAGGGCTCACGACCATTCATCTTGGCCACTCTTGACCCAAACGTCATAAAACAATCCCGTGTGAGCCGGTGCAAAGGGGGACAAGATTCAGCTATTTCACTTCATTTGTGTCCATTTTATACACAGCCGTGTTATTTACAAAATGAATGTTGTTTGTATCATCACACTGTTACTTTCACACTCACATCAAGCTTCCACGAATCACTACTGTCAGAAGTACTTCTTAGAACATCTTTTGTTGCATTTTACAACTGCTTCCAGTTAAGCCATTTAAATTGTTTATTCTCAGAAAAGACTTTTCTCTTTGAACATTCTGCAGTCTCCCTACTGCTCAGCTGGACAATAACATCCTTTTAAATGATCAGCATCCATCCCACTGCGGTGCTTGTTTCCTGACAGATTTCCTGTAGGTGGATGCAGAGGTAGGGTATGCAGGCTCACCCCCTGTAATCTGGGGAAAGTAATCATTATCTTCAACTGTCTCCAGAACAAAGAGTTCGATTTATGGAAATTTATGTATTTCTTCACCTCAGAGAGCTGGCATGCACCTTAAAAGTGCTATAACAATAGAAAAGACACTTTTCCTTTAAAAACACAACAAGAAATTTGTAGAACACGCAGTTATACACAGGAGCATTCAATGGTGTGGGCAAACAAGAAATGCAAAGACTTTGCACGTGGTAGATTATGGTTGCTCCCCTAAGAGCATTTTCCATTTGCCTCTCATTCTGTCACAATTTTAGTCAAGTCTGTTAGTTTACACAATTTAAATAAGTAGGGCTTTAGCTCCAGAATTTATGGTGACCTCCTTTTATACCTTATAATGGGGTTATTAGGAGTATGTATCATTGTTGTGTAATTTATAGTGGGAAAATAGCCATTGACGAGATCAAATTCATACAAGCGAAGCAAAGTAGACCAAATAGTCTTAATCTGAACGTAAGCAAAGTTTTCTCCGATGCAGCGATGACGGCCTGCAAGGGAAGCCATGGAAAGCAGTTAGAATACTTGGTTATTACCTCACCTCTGACAAGAAGCTGGCTTTAAAGGTTTTATACAGACAGTAATTGCTTCTTTCCAAACATCATGATGCATGTACACCATTATGGAGCTCCATTAAAGTGTTGTTGGTTTTATAAGCTGTCATTGCATAAACGAAACTTGAGTTAATTAGCAGTATGGATGGGACTGTGCTGTTCTGTCCTCACCTGAAGCATTAAATTTCTGTATCACCAAAGAAGCTTTTGCAACACTGAGAAAAGATACCAGCTCTAACCCTACTGTGGTGATGTCTGCAAACTGTTTTGGCAGCTGTAATTAAATGCAGGCTTTTCCCTGCCTTAAACTGACCTTATAGTACCAGGCTTTTACCTTGACTTGAAAAGACTTGAGTTAAATTTCACACATGCTAACCTAAAGATTTGTTTTGACTGCTACTCTGAGTGACATACACAGCTATTACTAACGCAAAACTGTCATCGGCTTCATGCCTTTAACATCACTTCCACAACAAGAAAACTTTCAGGCAGGCAGTGAAAGAACAAGTATCTCTTCTCAGAGGCTGCAGCATGGGGTGCTGCTGTACGAGATGACCACTGTGAGCCACTTCCAAGGCCAGCCCTCGGGAAGGTACCCCCTGTTCTTACTCACCAGCGCCAAATGGAACATATGCAAACTTCTCTCCAGCGGCTGGGTTATCTTGGAGATACCGGTCAGGCTTGAAGTCTAGGGCATCTCTCCAGGAGTCCCTGAGTCTGTGGTTAACAGTGGGAGATACACAGACCTGATGGCCAGGGGGAATATTATAGCCAGCAACAGTCTACAAGAGAAGAAACAAGATCCAACACGTCACAAAATACCTCCATTTTTCTTTTTAAAGTGTTGCCTGAAGTGCTGCATCATGAAGCTTCAATTTCAGGAAAGGTTTTAGCTAAGCTCATTTAAAATTAATGGGGCCTAAAACTTTAGTTTTACCTGTGTAGGGCACAGTGCTCAAGTAGTTACAGGAAGCTTTCAGCTGCTTTAACAAGGTCACAATGCTACAGAAAGGGTTTTCTAAAACAATGAATGAACTTACAATGTATTGAAAACATTTGCCAGGAGAGGGGCATTGATTTAAAAAATTATTTGACATTCTAGCTATCTTACTTGTACAAACAGCAAGATTTCTTTTGGATTTACCCAGCTTGTGTTAAGTGCAAGCCAAATTTTTCTAAAATAAGTATTAAAAATACATAGCAAACAAAAAATGTCTTTAAGCGGTAGAACCAATCTAAGCCTGAGTGAGACCAGCAGCTACACTTAAGTTGCTTTCTTCAGTCAGCTCTGGCTACAGGCCCACTGATGCAGCCCAGGCTGCCACTAACTTTTGTCCTTGCCTGTAAACACTGCTCCTTCCTGTTCTCCTCCTGTCAGAGGGGACACCCCTCACCTGGGCTTTTCCCACCCTATTGCAGGGAAGTGAAGCTCACCCCAATGCCTGTACCTACCTGGGGAGTCCTGGCCATCCTCATCATGGTCATTATAGGCGGTCTGAGCCTTAATGTTTCTTTTAGACAGCGATCCAGCAAACTAAGATCCTTGAGCTGAAAATACAGAGAAAATGATGTATCAGGACAGACAAATGTATTCAATGTAAACAAAATGGTATTTTATACCATTTAAAAACAAATTCAAATTAAAAATCAAAAGAATAAGCAGCTCATATTTTCATTAGCTACCCTGACCATTTCTTTTTTCCCCATTTTAGTCAATTATGAAGGGAAAAATCTCTGACCAGTGCCAACGAATATGACTAGTTTCTTACTAATTTGTCTCAGGAGTGTTTTCTGATGCCTAATTAAAGAACAAGGCCACAGTGCATCCCTTTCCTCAGTGGGAATATGAAGATCCTCCTCTATAGAACAATCATTTCTTAAACAGACATCATAGGAACTGTAATTTCCTTAACACTGGTTAAAAAAAAATAATGGCAAGCTAAAATTTGCTTTGAGAGGAGATGGAGGAGATACGTTGGCACATAGATAGTGTTATCACAGAATGACTGTGCCAGATCATGATTCTAACACAAAGCATGTGAGTATATTTGGGTTTGGTTTAGGTTTTTTTAAATTAATCATCTAAAGGCATAAAAATACCCCATAGGAATAACGTAACACACAAACCTGGTCATAAGTTAATGGTGGCAGATCATCCCCACAGACTGCTTTTTGTTCTGCATAGCACTGCTCTTGTATGGATTTGTCTCTGGCTATGAAGAAGCCAAGCCAGGCGCTGGTGGTGGACGACGTGTGCTGCCCTGCCAGGAGCAGCCCGATGAGCATCCCAGCAATTTCATCATCTGTCAGCGGACGCCCATCCCTGGGTTGGGGGGTGTTATGTTAGAGCTTCATTTATGAGGTTTCCAGTTACAGAACCACTTACAATCTATTCTGCTGCTTTTCCCCTCCTTCTCTTTTGTTGCCTACCCTAAATGGAGCAGTGAAAGATCCAGGGAGAGGAAGAAAGGTGAACAGAGGGAGAGAGACTCTCTAGGAGCCGGGAAGAAGATTATGACCCAACAGCCAGCAAAGAGAAAGGAAGCCACCTTGTGAACACTGATGAAAATCTCAGAACTCTGAATACCCATTTACAAGTACTGTGTTTAAGTTGTTTTTGAGAATACAGCTAGGACCAATTACTAGCAACTAAACCAGCTCAGAACATGAGGGAATATTTCTTACTCTTTGGAAGATCATTTTAACTGAAAAGATCAAAGCTAAACATCTACAAATGACAAGCCTTCAAACCCTTGGCTTACTTGTATGAAGCATCTAGTAGAGTTTGGAGCATGTCATCCTCCTTTTCCTCAGACTTTCGACGTTTCTGGATAACCTTGTAGAAAATATTTTTGATTTCTCTGTGTGCTCGGTCTCGACGCCTGCAATTCAGACCACTTCTATTAGCAACTTTATACAAAGTGACACACAGAATCATGGAATGGTTTGGGTTGGAAGGGACCTTAAAGACCATCTAGTTCCAACCCCCCTGCCAGGGGCAGAGATGCATTCCACTAGACCAGGTTGCTCAAAATGCTCATAAGGAGTTATTGGGATGTCCTAGAATAGCTTATAAACAAGAAACGGGGGGGGAAGGGGAACAGGAAGGGGAACAGAGGAATCCAAACAACAAAGAGGTTTAGATAAAATGCTTAAGTTGCTTCATCTGTCCCTTTTGATACCTGAAGCTCGGCAGAGGAAGCCAACCTGGCAGAAGCCAGGCAGCATGAGTAAAACCCCCATCCAGGTCGGCATACAGCTGAGCCACCTTCTCATTTAGCAAGCCTCTTATTTCTTTCCCGTGTAAGCAGTGACTTGCTGTCAAAATGATAAGTTCTGAAAGGGCTTCAAACAGGTCTGAGGGGAGATTAGAAAAAACGTTACTGAAGATGCATTTCTGGCAAGATGTTACGATCTATGTATTTATTTTGTACAAAATAAGTACCTGGACACAGATAAAACAATTTTAAATAGAGTTGTAGATTGTTTTACTAAAATGAAGAAACATCTGATTTTAAACCTCTGTGTGTCTAACCAGGTCTCTCGTGAAGCAACTTTTTAGTTAGAAAAAGTTGTTGAAATGTATGATCTAAGTTGTTCCTTTCTAGAAATTTTTCTAGGAAAGCTAGTAATCCTTCCAAAGCAAGCCATGCAGTGCAAGCTCAATCCTTAAACAGAAATCATCAACAAACCTTAAAATTCAAGTCCATGGGAAACCAGTTAGTTTTGCTGCCTCCTGAATTATTTTTATACAGTAATATTGATACTTTAAAATATAAAATTATAGATTCTATTAACTATTACATATAAATTATATACTTACAAAATAAATATTAACCATAGTACAGTATGTAAGTATTCCATCTTATAGAAAGATTGCAAATGTAACTATAAATATATAGTTACAAACATTTATTATATATATAAATATATATTATATTTATGTTTAAATAACTTACATTTCTGACACTGCTATGCCACTGCAGGCTTGCAACTATGGCAATGGGCTATGTCTAGCAGGCGTGTTGGGAAAGACAGGTGGGAAATGAAAGAGAAATTCCACTGAGATCACTAACAACTCTATCAGCTTCAAGAATGCGGCTTTTCAGTGCAGAAGATCCCTGAGCTGAGACCTCTGACAAGCTCTTAGAATCAAGAGCAGTATTTTTTCCAAGGGACTAAGGGGTTATGCTGAGCACACTTGTATCATGCAAAATGAGCCTGATTCAGCCAGGCAACAGGTACACTCTGTGACGTGACTAAGAAAACTAAACATAGTCCTTCACTCCTGTCAATGATTTTCTGAGCAGCTTCATTCTCCAATAGCCTTAACTTTGATTAAACAAAATCTGCATTTTGCATTTCTTCTCATGTTCGTACAATTACCTATGTCATTCTTCATTTCTATAATATTACAAAAAATCCTTTACAAAAACATACTCTATTTGCCTTAACATCTTCCCAGAAAATCACAGGAAAAATGCATCTGATTTTACTTACTTTTTTCTCCACTCTCTCCCCATGCTCTGAAATACTCTCTTGTTTCTTCTTCAATCACCGATACATGCTGTTTAAACTGAGCAATGTTTAGGCCAGTTTTGAGCATCTTCTTCTGTTCCAAAAATACCTAGAGGAACCAAGATAGAAAAATTAATCAGTACAAGGATCATCAGAATGTAATTAACAACTTATTATCATTTGTACTGTAAGAACATACAGAAGTAAAAAGAGATTATGATTATGACTGCAGGCTACAACAGATACTCAGATTTAATTAATAGATAATATTCTGGTTTCCACCACTTTTGCTTTTCAAACAAGTTAGCAACATCCAAGTGAAACATTAGCTCAAGGGAGCTGCAATTCTCTTTTGCAATACCAAAGCAAAAACCAGGTTTAGTATCATTGTTAAACCTAACCCCTGACGATAAAAGAAGCATTAAAGATTGAAACATGGAATGCACTCTAGATCTTTAGATACATAATCACGAACATAATCAGGTTTGTCCTTGCAAAGTCTGCATTCAGCCTGTGATCCTCGTGATGTGGCCTCCTTGCTTTCTCCCCCCTGGAGCGTCTGCATTCTCTCATGCAGTAATTAGTACCTTACCTGTGGTCTAGAGGTGCACCTTTTCTTTACGAGGCCCTCTGATTTCACTGCCCAGGAAGTCAGACAAAGAAACAGGAAGCAAACTGCTTCCTAGGAGAATGGTGAGCTTCATGTCCTTCTTACCTCTTCCTTTTTTAATTTATATAGACTTATAGCTAACAAACCTACTGGTAAAAAGCCCTTTACTGTATGAGAACCGTTCACCGGATTGACAAATTGTTGACTCAGAAAATTACTCAACCCATTTTTAAACCCAAATTATGAATGAGACCATCTGTTCCATAATTCTGCACTATACCATGAGTAATAGACAAAAAAATTGTATCCCCACCAAGGGCTCTGGATGTCGTGTGAAGTTGGTCACAAACCAAAAGGCACGAAAAGAAAGCTTACTTCCTGGAAACTTATGTTTTCAGAATGTAGTGTGGACTCCAACAGTCTATCAGATCATACACAAGTCACAGAGCAGAGAGACAAGCACATTTTCCCTTGCAACATGCTAGCCAATCTCCAGCTCAATGGAGACAGGAATGGCACACAGGAGCGAACACAAGACTCTGCCACTTCAGCTCCTCTTGACACAATACAGTCTGCATACAGACTTGGAGGGAGGAGAAACACAATGAACTGGAGTTGATATATAGACTGTGCATATTAACAAGCAATTATCAGAATTATTGGTAAATAGATAACTTCTTCCTTTTAAAGAGTAAGGGGTAATTCTTCTAAAAACATGACTGAAAGTTACTATTATACTGAAGAGAGAAAGGCTTAGCAGCTTGAGCAGGAAGAAAGGAGCCTGAAAAGTTCTGGATGACTCATCAATGGCAAAACACCAAAAAACGTTTAAATGGCTCTCTAAATGCCTTCCCCTACTAAAATTTTTTCGTTTCAGTAGATGTCTGAAATGAAATTGTGGTGGTAGCACTATGCAAGAAAACAGCTCACCCCTAGCAGGTCTTCTGGCCAAACCAGACATATCACCTCTCTAGCTTCACACAGAGAAACATACAAGTAGAGCTAACCAGTCTATGTCAATAGCAAAGCCCCTGCAACCCCTAGCTGTGGGAAAAGATTAAAAGGATAAAGTCCTCCTAGTGTCAAAGGAATGATTTAAATAGATGTATCCACAGACACCCAAGACTTGCTGAGTAATATGAGAAGATTAATCTTTTGACTAAAATAGAACTCAAAAACACTCTAGGGAAAAAACTAGGGTAACTATAAAAAGAGCAGTACATGGTAGACCACTGAGGTAGGTCCTAAAGAGCATAGTTGTGAGAAATGCTCGTTTCCAAGGAGCTGATAGAAAGTTCTATAAAACTCCTGAAAGAAGAAATTATATCCCATCAAAGAACTAGCTCTTGAATGAAGACAGACATTCAAATCATCTGTAAAATGCAGTGTAAAAGTAGAAGGCAAAACACCTGTAAGAACTGGATGAACTTTCACAGGATAAAGGACAAATAAGCACCTTTCAGTTTCAAGCAGGCATCCCACGACAGTCAGAAGCCAAAGAACAAGCACAACACAGTGAAAATCTGGCTAACTGCAGTCTGCGTCTGATTTGTAGACACTTTTCTGAAACTAGTCTATACCAAAGAACTGAAAGCTGTATTGCAGAGAGTCATGTACCCTCTACACTCTTAGCACCTCCAAAATGCATCCACAACTCCCTCCCTGACTTTTTCAGTAAGACCTCTTACTGCCAGAACTCGTAAGCACAAGTCTGCTAGAATGGCCTCACTAATGAAAGAAGTCTCCCAGAACATAAGAAACAATCTCCTGCTTGTTAATTCAGGCTGCAGTCCTGCTGGCTTCATTCACAAAGTGATGAGAAGAGCTCCCCAAGACCCTCAAGTGCAAAAAAACCCTTCACCCGAACAACCAATCCTCCCTCCAAACTTTATGACACCATCTATCCATGGTTTAACACTTTGTAACAAAGCAGGAGACAACTAGGTTCTCCTTTACTAATTTACAAAGTGGGAAGTTGTTAGTAGTCAGTTTTATATGAGATTTTCAAAAGAACAGGGTATGGGGGGGTTGGAACTAAATGATCTTAAGGTCCTTTCCAACCCTAACCATTCCATGATCCTACAAGAACAACATACAAACTTTGTGGATCACTGCAAAATGCAGGTGTGGAGAAGAGACTGGTGATTACTGGTCCACAGGCACATAATTAAGAAGGCAACAATCACTGCATGAGGGAATGTAGAGGCATGCTAAAGAGGAAAAGTATCAATGGCCACAGAGGCTATTACCAGTCAACTTACTGGCATTCATACGAACAAAATGAAGTCAAACTGAAAATCCAAACATAAAGCATGTCACTATGGTGTTTCCACCACCAGACTACTCTGCTGTACAACAGGCTGCTGATGTCAGCATACACTGAATCCAGAGTCCCAGTGGAGCAAGTCTGTCCACAGAAAGCTGGTTTCTGCAGCTTAGGAGTCTGTCATGGCAGACATCATGCACAAACGAGAAAGCAGCCAACACTGCACTTGGAAACAATGCCCCATGACACAGCCACTGTGCTTCCAGACCCATGCAGCCTGTATTATGCAAGCACCCACAGAATGATTTGTGTCTAAGCAAAACAAATCTTGTGGTGCAAACTGTCAAATTAATACTCCTGAATCTAGACCTGGCATAGCATAAATGAAAAATTATCACTCTTAAAAGTCTTTCAGAAGGAAGGTCTGAAGTTGCTTGTAAGGGAAAAGTAGGTGCAGTCAGTGGCATAACGTAAGGGAAGGAAAGAGACTTGCCTACTAGTTTTAAATCGATGGTGGGATTAGATAGTTTCAAGAACAAAGATAGTATCTAGACTAACAAATTGCCAGGTGACAAAGCAAGCAATCTAAACATGTTTGGTCTTGGTTATCAACCTGAGATCATTTACCAACTGCAATATGCCGCAACTGCATACAAACACCCAACTCCACCTCACAGAGCTAACAGCTCAGGGCTGCCTACTCAGAATGTAAATTAAGCTACTTTTATTTAAAATACATACCACGTTAGGGACATCATAAGCAACGCCCTTGCCAAAAACTGGCGTGGTTAACCGAGAGTATACATCCTCTGCATTCAAATCTTCATTTTTACTGTTGAAGAGTAGAGCAGCAGCATCACTACCCAGTAAGTATGTGAATGTCTTGCCAACCATAGTGAAACTGAATACAGGTCCATACTAAGAGAGGAAAACAAACAAAGTTTATTTTAAACAAGAACATTACAAATCATTAAATCGGTGTCTCTATGTACAGGATTCCATAAATCACTTTCTCTGCTTAAAAGTATCCAGTGATTGAAAAAGATAGAAATGTTTTAAACCACATTTAAGTTCTGTTCTCAACATACTTACTAGTAATACCTAATGTTGTAACAAACACACAACATCTTGCACGTTTTAAAACCATTTGGCTTTAAAAAACTGTAAGTAAAATATCAGTTAAAGTACAAAAACCAGGAGGGATATTACAGCACACACAGCCTTCAGTAATCCACAAACACCGTTACAAAAAATCCTGAATTTGGAATTATGCATGGGAAATTAAGAGCAAGATTTTCAAGTGTAAAGACCATGTCCAGCAGATCTTCATATACTAAATTTGCCTCTCTAAGATAAGCAATCTAAGATTTAAGTTTATGACTCTAAAATGTTTTAGACAATGTGAAACAGATCAAGAAATCTTATTTCAATGGAATGAAGGGTCTACTGCCTTAGTCCAGTCCTTTTGGGCTGTCACAGTATAAAACCTATTAAAGTTTTATAGGCCAGCCTGTTTAACACTGGAGAGGCCTTAAAACTCATCAAATTGCGTACAGAGTTGGTCAGCTGCATTCCAGCCTGGTCACAGATTAGTTAAAGAGTGAAATTTAAAGCTCCCAGGTAAGGCAAGAAATAATGTCATGAAAATAGCTTTTTAGTTAACTTATGATTCAGCATTATCCAAACACAGAGACGTACTTTTTTTGAATGTGAATCATAAGAGGGATGTCAGAAAAAACTATTTTTCTAACAACAGTGTACATAAAAAGATCTGTAGAAACCGGAGCCTATGGTGCATTCATTGTGCAGCTTGTGCAACACATCTCTATTCCATATTCAAGGTGGTAAATGAGAATTAACTGATTTTAAACAGGCTCCTGATGGAACTGGACAGATAACAAAAACGTTTTAGCAGATACTTGGCTGGTCATGGGGAGAAATGTACCTTGTCATAAGCATTCTCCAAAAATTCAATGGGACTTTTCCCAAATGCAATTGCATGTCCAAGGAAAGGGATGCTTGATGAAATATACGGTGGGTATTTCTGAGGAAGACAAATAAAAATAATTATTGATTTTTCTTCAGAGAGCAATAAAATCGTGTCCCTTTACATAAAACCCAGCACAGAGGAGGCTTTAACCATGTTTTCTTTAAACACTTTTGTGAAAAGGCCAGCTTTGGGCAACTGATTATTTTTTGAAATAGAGTGGGCCACATTTAAAAGCAGTAGGGGTTAAAATAAAGCCAATACGATGGTTTTTCTTGCTAACCTGCCTCTGAAAGGCAAGCACACAGATGCTGCAATGGGACAGAAGGCAATCAGAAACAGAAGTGTTGACAATTTGTTAAACAGTCCCCAGAGGCACGAACTTCATCTGAGCGATGAGTTTCACACGCGCGTGGGAGCCTTCGTGCAAGCAGCTCTGACGAAAGAGTCCAGGGCACGGCCGCTGCCTCTTCCAGACACGAGCACCAGACCCACGCTCCGTGTGGTACCAACATGCCGGGCGGCAGGACACGCCAGCGCCACGCTCCCTCAGAACCCGCGCCTGAGGCGGCTGCTGCGAACGCACCCCCTCGGCAGAGCCCGCTCCGCACCCCCGATCCCACAGCCCGGCTCCCCCCGCTCTACAAGGGCTCTCCACAGGTGAGAACCGCTGCTTCCCCTTCCGTCTGTCCCTCGAGGTTCCCCCCGGCCCTCACTCTCTCCCCTGCGCTCGCCCCGCGGCGCACACCCCTCCGTGGGGTCCGGCCCCCCGCCTCTTCCCGGCCTGAGGCGCCTACCTTGTGCTCGGAGCCGACGTGCCGCCGGTAGCTCAGCTGGAACAGGTAGCCGAGGCTCAGCACGAAGGCGGAGGCGGCCAGCACCAGCGACAGGGCGCTGCCGACCGCCACCCGCTCCAGCAGGGACCCGCCGACCTCCATCAAGCTCAGCATCGCCTCAGCGGCCCGCACCCAGCACCGGGCTGCGGGCACCCGCGCGGCTGAACCTTCCCCACGCGCGCCGCGGGGCGGGGCGGTCCTGGCGGCAGCCACGCCCTCTCCGCGCTGGGCTGATCTCTGCCCATGTGACGATGCCCGGTGCCGGAGCCAACCGGCGGCCGCGCTCCGCGGGGTGACGGCATCTGCCGGGCAGCGAGGGTCGCCATTGGGCGGGCGGGGGGCGGGGAAGCGGGGTCGCGGGCGGTGGTTGGCGCCACGGAGTGACGCCGCGTGGGGGCTGCCGCGGGCGAGGCAGCACCGCCCCGGGACCGGCCACTGGGGCGCGGCCGCTGTGAGGGAGGGCAGGGCCGCGCCGCGCCCGCATGGCTGTGCTCCCGAGGGTGCGTGTCCACCGCGGCCCTTCGCGCTCCCAGCGAGCGGCTTGGCGCAGCTCCTGAGCTCCAGGCTCCCGGGTTGGCCGTGACCGCCTCGGTGGCTTCTGCCTCCTTCCTCTGCAGCACGTCTCACGCCTTCGGGGCTGCGGCAGCACGCTGGGGGGGGTGGACAGCGTGCGTGGGGGTGATCATCCCCCTGTACTGGGCACTAGTGAGGCCACATCTCCAATCGTGTGTTCAGTTTTGGTTTGCCACGACTAACGTTTGCCAGTTTTCTTGATGAATTCCTGAGCTGTTTCTGAGGTGCACAACGTTAATTGGTAGTCACCATGGGCCCCTTGCTATGATCCTCTCTTGCCCTCTTCCTACATACCTTGCAAAGGTAAGGCTGTTACAAATACTGCTCTTTCGTAGTAACACCTGCTTGGTAAGACATACTACTGGCTGCAGTAATGAACAACCACAAACATTACTTGGTACAAACAATTTATTAGGTAGCAATAAATAAGAAATTAGCAGAAAGGACTATACAGCAGTAAGGCATATTAATAGTATTGTTAAGTATGCAACTGATACATTTTAACATCTTTCCTCTAGTTTTCTAACAAAGTGCTATGTAGAGAAGTGTATTTCTGATGCCAGCGCCAAGTAATAGCCAGGATGGCTGCATTACAAAGGACCTGTTTTATTATTTTCCTTAAATATAATACTCCATGAAGAGTTACCGTTATTTATGCCAGTGAGATTTAAGTAAAAAAGTATAGCTAGGTAAGATTACAAAATGTCTCCTGTTAACTGCTTACTACTTTTATCTCTTAAACTGCACTTGCTGGTTGTAAGGTGTGAGTAAAGTTACTACACAAGAGCACAGCTTCTAACATTCATTTTTGCTTTTATTTGAAAACTTAGAGGCAAGTGCTAATTTTCATTGTTAAAAAAAAAAACTTTTTTACAAAATATTGCACACTGGTTTAGCATGCAGTTTACATGGAAGAAACAGTCAAGTGCACTTAAACCCCTGAAATACAACCAGAAATTTTGAAGTGTTATGGATACTATTTTAATGTACAAGGATATGTTTCAGATTGCATAGGGTCCCAGCTCATTGAGACCCAATCCTGACTCTGCATAGACCAGGCAGGTGCTTACCAACTGTGTCTGACTTCCTTGGAATATAAATCTTCATTTCTGCATCCTGCACTGCTTGTAGCCTCAAGAAACTTAAGTAATCAGTAGGAAAATTAGTTTTAACAGAAATAACTTAGTACCTCCTATCTGAGTTTTTATTTACTGCCTATGTGCTGCAATCCAGGGTAAGATTTATTAAACTTTCTGAAGTCCTCTGAGTAAGATTCATTTGTAAATCTGTACCTCCTTCTCCTCCATATACACATCTTATATTGCACAGCAAAAGTAAAAATCCATTATTTAAAAAACAAACCAACCCAAGCATGCTAAACATATAATATGGCTTCTGAGTGATTTAAAGTTACTTCCCTTTTGACATCCTCATGCAGGATTTTAGAATAAATATGAATATAAAGTATAAGAAAGTTAAGACTAAACCCAAGGCCAGCTGTAACGTTTTTCAGAAATCAAATGAAAAGCAAGTTTATCAAAAGTAGTTGCTCAAAGGTCTAACTGGTCACACTTACCAACAGTATCTTAAAGTGTGTCTACAAAATACTGTAACATATACAGCCTCCTTGATGTTCCACAGAACTACATGAAAGGTAAACAGGTTAACTGAGACTTGCTTAATGGCACTGGTTGTCCCATAGTCCTGTGGGAACAAAAGCCTTACTTGATTCATGCTCGTCCATCTTGGTCAACCATTTACATTTCATTAGCTTTATTGGTTAAACTAAAGCCCTACAATAGCTTATGTATGACCCACAAAAATATTTATAAAAATAATAGATACGTTGTATAGGATATTTTCTTTTAAATAAACCATGCAGCTTCTGTACAAAGTTAAAAAACTGTACAAACTGACTTCTGTATTGTGTAAAATTCATGTTCATGGAAGCCTTCTGTTACGAGGAGATACAAGTTGGTTTTTGCTTAGCCATCAGATGCAGTTTCGGAACTACTGTTCATTTCCATCATTCATTTCTTTCACTCGGCATTAACTGGCCATTTAATTTCATCAGAAGTTTCACGACGAGACCTGCCTGTATAAAGGTATAAAATTAAATTCTCTCAGCATTTTGGAACTGTGAAGGATCAAGTGTGTGGCAAATGCAACTAGATAAAAATAGCAAGTTAGAAGTTGCATCATTTTAGAAATAAAGAAAATAAACCCTAGATTTTCCTCAGCTATCAGAAAGTGCTTTTTAAAATACTCAATCACTTCCCCTGTAACCACCTTAATACATAGGAATCAAAAGCAACTACTGTGAAAGTATGCAAAATACTCAAAGGAGTCACAATACATGTTAACATGGCATATTACCACTCATGCAGACTACGGTAAAACAAGCATTTTCCTTCAGGCATCCTCAAACACTATCAAAAGTTGCTGGATTTACAGGGGTGCAGCTTAGGTTTCTTTTATCCTGTACAATGGTGGTCAGTCTCAAGAGGAGAGGCATGCATCTAGTTTAGGAAAAATAATTGAACAATGAAAAATGACAATGCTTACCTGTTTGGTATGCACAATAAAGCTCATTTTGTTTTCCAGACTGTGGATTTGAAAACATGTATCTCCATCTCCCAGCTGCCACATAAAGCAACCATACTTGAGGCTTAAGAGTAAAGCCTACAATGAAATATAAACAACCGTCATTCAAAACATTCACCATACTTACAAACAGAACTTTGTTTAGTTCACTTAGGACTCTGCTTTTGTATATTCCACAATCCAGTTGTAGCTTATAAAAGAGTAAAGTGGAAAAATACAGGGCTTTCTATTAGTAGTGCCTTATGAAAATCTTAAAATCTTGGAAATCTTCACAGTCAAGTTTAAACAGTTGGGTGTGAAATGACTATTAGCACAAAGAATGTAAGATAACAGAATTAAGCTTCACAGTTATTACTGGCAGTTCACTTAAGCTGACCTTTGTTTCCATGTTGAGGAGGTGCAGCCCTTTTACATTTACTCCTACGTATACTTTAATCACTTTATGGCTACTTGAACTTGCTTTGGTGAATATCTGTCCCGTGAAAAAAGCTGCTCCGTATGTAGGAATTTCCCAGCAATTCTGCAAGAACATGCGCTGAAGGTGGTGCATCTCTTTACTTACACCTTCGCTGGTGCTGAGATTCTAGAAAGAAAAGGATAGCAGCAATCAGTAAGTCTTCAAACAGCTGTGGTTATTTGAAGAACATCCACTATTTAGTGGAATTCCCACCAAACAAGTGTTCCCAAAACACTTCCCCAGCAACCATTTTCCTACATCTACACTAAACACGCACAGAAAGGCTGAAATGCCCAAAACAGTGGCCTAAGAGCAGAGGTCGAGAAAGCCATTATCATTCTTGCATAGTCTGATACAAGAAACAGTAGAAACTATTCCGCTATGTCCTCTGCTACACCATGGTCTTAGGAAGACCAATATAATCCACTCCTTCATCTGTATTAGAAAGAACAGGAATTATCCACTGGTTTCTGACAAAAAAAAAAAACAAAAAACAAAAAAAAAAACCCAGAACAAACAAACAAAAAAGGTGTATGCACCAAGAGAAAGTTTATGATTCTGTAACCTCATCTCAAAAGAGGGCCAAGGCCTGAAACATTCCCTGAGTGCCTCTGCAGTGTTCCCTGGCAGCTACCTTAAGCGACACATGTCGGCCAGTACCATTCTCAACTCTGACACACCCTGCTTTTCCCAAATTTTTTAATGATTTTTTTTCATTAATTTCATCTTCAGGTGCCCCTGGTCCCCGGTGGAATGCACAGCCCCCAGTTAGATGTCATTTGCAGAAGCAACCCACGTTTACAAATTTGGCTCAGTTAACTGCTCTAGTCAAAGGAGTTTGCGTGAGCACATGCACATTAGCAGCATTATCAGATCCCTACCATACCAGCTATACTGGCAAACAGGCTTTGTGGATCTATTGCTATAAGTCAGAGTAGATTTTTTTACATGTATGCCTGATTTGGCCTCAAACACTGAAGATAAATAGATGACAATCATATTTACTTCTAAAAGCCAGATCAACTGTAGCGGTGCAAGACAAACAGCATTCCAACAACCCATGCAAAAATTAAGAGCATACCCATTTCCAGCTTTATATACTAGTATTTTTGTTCGTTAACTGACAACCAACCAGTCAAAAAAAATCTTTATGACAGGATTTTCTACTATGTGATTACTTGTCTCACCTTGTATTCATGAAGTATCCTGTTTGTCCAGTGAGGAGCTTTACTTTTTAGTTTAGTGATTGGTACTATAGATTTAAGATTTTCTTCACTAAGAGAAAAACAAAGCAGAAACATAAAATTTTCTTCACTAAATAAAGGAGAAAGAACAATGTCTGCCAATTTGTATCTTTAAGTCTATTCAGCTAGACAGATAGCTCCTACTCTATCTTGCCTCATTAGGTGAAAAGCTAAGGCTTCCTAAGATACAGTGTAATTCTCAATTAATGGAAATCTAGCTTTGTGTTATGCACTTTGTGTGTACCCCAGACACAGCAAGGAGAGGAAATGCTGGCAGCAGAACAGGCAAGTCTGGTCTTGATTACAGACCAGTTTGATGAATTCCAATTTGGAAGCCAAAATTATATACAAACAGCCATTCACACCAGAAAAGATGGCACCTTATACTCTTCCCTCCCCTGCCATATCAGCACCAGTGGCTTCGCCCAATTAATTTACATATGAAAGTTGTGTATTACACAACATGAAAGTGAAGCTATTTATATGAAGTGCCTTTTTAAACACCAAAACGTAGGAAAAAAGAACACTAAAAGGAAAACTTTACTGGTTTGCTTTTACGCACAATGAAAATAGTCTCAGAAAACTAGTGATGCAACCTATTTGGTAATTTTTAAACCATATTTGGCAGTAACTGCACGTTACACCAAGCAAAACACCCATCAAAAGACAATACATCCAGATCTTTTTGGTCAAGGGTACTCTCATACACACAGCAACCTGGATATTTTGGAAATGGCAAGTCTTTTAATAAACATTTATGTTGATTACAAAAAAAAATTCAAAAAAAATCAGAATATCTTCATCTGAAGAAGAACAAGTCAAGGTATTTTCCAACATCTTGAATACAAATGGAAAGCATGCCCAAATGTCTATAAGGCTTATTATCTGGCTCAAACTACCTTTCCAAGTCATCCTGTCTATAGAGTCACAGATTTCCACTGAGCAGGATCAATGCAGAATCATACTGCTGATTTGCCTCCCTGCAGGTGCTGGGATTCAGCACGGGGTAGTTTCATATTAAGCCTGTCTGTGTTTAAATGCACATTCCTTCAGGGGGGCAGTCCCACTTAAACCCAGTTCTCTTCACACTCAATCTACCAACTGTGTAACTGAAGGACTCAGCAGCTGAATCTACTGAACACCCCACCCAAAAGTTTTCCAATCGGTGAGCTCATTCACCTGGCATACTCTGTAATGGTACAGTCTCTACACCTAACAGAAGGAAGACAAAGGAATAAACAAGTGCAGTCAATATAGCCAGCCCTTTCAGAGGCAGCCCACACTTACATCAGAGTAACTGTAGCAGAAAATGCACTCTGATTTACTGATGGTGGAGAGCACAACCGAAAAACAGCAAGCCAAGACAGCTCAGTTGATGCTGTGAATGACAGAAGTATAGTCGCATTCCAGAATACCACAGCTGCTGTTAGATGAATGAACTGCAGTGGAAATGGTGGGGAGTGAAAATGCACACATTAAGAGAACTGGAATCCTGATGTGCTCAGATACTGATGCAGAAATGTACATGGGAGGACAAAGCCATATCCCAGAACAGCAGCTTCTGTTGGGCTAGCAAGCAGAGAGCAAGGGAGAGAAAACCACCATCTGGCAGAGCCCTGCTAGTGCTATGTTTCTGACCAATTTAGTGTGGCAGTTCACACACAAATGACAGAACAGAAATAGTGTCTCTGCATGGCCTGTCCTCTTCAAAGAGGGAGGAAAGCCAATCCCAGAAGTTGGTCTAACTGGACATAGCAAGAGTTTTCTTCATCATTGTCCAAACTAACTCTCAGTCCTTGTCAAAACCCTTCAATCACTTGAATACTATTACTCACTTTTTGGCATTACTGTATCTAGGTATAGACTTACAGAATACAGAACTCTCCATCCCTCTGCCTGGGACTACAATAAGTAAGATTAAATGTTTTTCAGACCGCATGTCCAGCTTCTGTTAATGCTACAAGGGTTATGTGGTTACTATGAACTATTGCTCAGTGATGAAAAAATAATAAATGTATCATACCTAAAATTTGAGAGTTCCATAGTAAACACTATCTAAAAATACTTAATCTGAAACTGTAATTTTAAATTTTAAATTTTAAATATATATACTTACTTTAGAAAGCCCTGTTTATGTTTCTTGCTCTCATAATTTCCATAGACTATTTGTAGAAGCAGACTGGCCAGTGTGATCAGCTTGGCATCAGGTGATGTATAGAAACCTTTCAGTAAATTGTATCTGGCTTCATCAAAAAGGATAAGAATAGCCAATGGATCCTCAATCTGTTAAAAAGATTTAAATAATATAATCTGTTTGTAAAAGCACGTTATAAAAATATATATATAAGCTATAATTACAGCTCCCCACTGATCCAGAGACAGAAAACAAAGAACTGAACCTGCCTAAAATATACATTTTACTAATGCTTTGTAGTAGGAAAAAAAAAAGAACAGTTTCATTAACTTAATCCAACACTTCATTGATCTAACACACAAATTAGAGGTGACTGACATACCATGCCCAATCCAAAGGTTCACAGAAATACTGTCATCTGCAGTTTTTTTTCCTCTCATGAATGTATTTTGAATAATACGTTGGAGTAATTTCATTGAAATTGACCAAATAAATATCTGAAAAATCACTTCACAGGAAGAAAAATGGGGCAGGTTGGTCTTAGCCATACAACAGACAGAGACTGAGAGATACACTTATGATAAACCGAACAGTTGGGAAGGTGAGAGAGAAGGTGGGAAGGCAAGAAGGTGGGAAGAACCTGAAGACTCTGTTACAGAAATGAGAGGTCAGGTTTAAGTAAGTTTGGAAATTCCTATGGTCATTAAACACATAGTGTGTTGATCACCAGAGTGGCCTGACTCTGATCATGATTTCATGCTACCACTTCCAAGTGCAGACCTTTTTTTCTATTTCCAGTGGGAGTCTCACATCTCTTCTCAGGAAAAGCTGTGAAGTTTCCCTATGAGGATCCAAGTTTGTCAGTTCAGTGAATATTTCAGGCCAGTCTCGAATATGCTGCAAAGGCTTGTGATATGGCTTTAGTTGGAGGCCTGAAAAATAACAGGGTTTTTTTTTAAAGAAAACAAACAGAATAACCCAGCACACACACACACACATACATATACATGATTATTAAATGCTGCATTAAAACCAGAGTATTTGAAACAGAGGGCTCATTAACATTTCACTCTGTATTTTCTAAACTGTTTTATATAAAGGTTTTGAAGATATGGATTTATTGACAAAAGTCTCAGCATCAATTCACTAAATGCACTAGTGATGAACCTTCGTTATTTTCAGCTTCTCAAGAGTGAAGTGGTATTTAAAATTTAATGGAATACCAAGATGGAACTTAATAACAAACCACTAGAGACTGTTCTCTCTTTATTGTGGGAGAAATACAAAGTCCAGTAATCTTATTTTGGGCAGAAAAATACAGGTACAGCTTTTCTGATCAGCATATTATCTATTTTGGGGTATATATAAACCATAAACTTCTCAGAACATGCTTTTTTTTTTAACCTGTAAAACATCTTGATTCTTTAAAGGCTACAGTCATCCAGTATTTCATGTTCTCCTGCATATGTAAGAGCTGAGAAATCAATACAGAGCTTTCGGCTACAGTCCTACTAGATTGGACTGTCATTGTGATTATTGTGTGGCTGTTTTCTAGTCATGAGGAACTAGAAGGTTGTATCTGCCTCATCCTCACTGCTCTCTGACTTTTACATTGTGACATTTCAAATTACATGAAAACCTTCAAATGACATGTTATAGTGCAACATCTTTTTACTGAGAATAATCAGTTCACTCAATTCATCCACCTTACATTCAAACACAGAAAAAAAATTATCTGTCCTGCAAAGAAGAAATCTATGGTCTTTACAGTGGTACACAAACTGCAAGAAATACATTTTATAATGAAACTTGTCCATTAGTAGTTTGAAGCCATAAATCAGAAGCCAACTCATTTTCAAACTTATGCTAAATATCGAAGGAATTACTTGGAATAACACAAATAATGTATCCCCACAATTGCAAAGGTAACACTTCAATGATTTGAGTAAAATATGACATCCTATTTAGAAAAGGCACAAGCAGCAAGACTTAAACACTCAAACACTTCCTTTTCTTCCAGATATTAACATCTAAGTTTAACTGGAGGCTACAGTAGTCATGTGACATACAGGGAGAAAAAGATTTAAAAAGCATGAAGAAAAGATTTCCTGCAATATTTACAGATTAAAAAAGCAAAGTAACGTGAACAATGCCACTGTAGGGGAAGTTTTACAACAGTAAATAAAATTCTGAATGCAAGGCTTTTGTATTAATGGTACTGTCACAGCATTCTGCCAGACGTGAATTGTGCTTTGTAAATGCACTATAACGTGTCCCACAGCTATGCTGCTGTAGTACTGTTTATCACATTTTTTGCCAAAACACAAATCAGAATCATTGAGTCTTCTGTGGTTTGATTTATTTTCTGCTACATATCTCAAACTACAACTATCACCTTTTTATTTAAATTAGAAATAAAAATTAATACATTAAATGTAGTAATGATGTTTTGCATGAGAATTCCCTCCTGCCTATTATAAGGATGCTGGGGAAGGACTCTTCATTAGGGACTGCAGTGCTAGGACAGGGGACAATGGGTTAAAACTTAAACAGGGGAAGTTTAGACTGGATATAAGGAAGAAGTTCTTTACTGTAAGGGTGGTGAGGCACTGGAATGGGTTGCCCAAGGAAGTTGTGACTGCTCCATCCCTGGCAGTGTTCAAGACCAGGTTGGACAGAGCCTTGGGTTATATGGTTTAGTGTGAGGTGTCCCTGCCCATGGCAGGGGGGCGGAACTAGATGATCTTAAGGTCCTTTCCAGCCCAACTATTCAATGATTCTATGATTCTGTACCTGAAAACTCATTTACCAAAATCATTTTGGTGCAAAACGCACAAAAAATCATATGATTAAAGGAGCTAATGAAGGAAAAAAAAAAAAAACCAACCAAAAAAACCCCAGACGCTATCAGAACTTGCTACCCTGGATTTGGAGAAGGGTGAGGTTCTAAATGACTTCTTTGCTTCAGTCTTCACTGGCAAATGCTCTGACCACACCACCCAGGTATTAGAAGGCAGATGCAGGGACTGTGAGAATGAAGACCTTGGGCCCACTATAGGAGAGGATGTGGTTCGAGACCATCTTAAAAATCTGAACGTGCACAAGTCCATGGGTCCTGATGAAATCCATCCGCGGGTCCCGAAGGAGATGGCAAATGAAGTTGCTAAGCCGCTGTCCATCATATTTGAAAAATCATGGCAGTCAGATAAAGTTCCCGAGGATTGGAAAAAGGGAAATATAACCCCCATTTTCAAGAAGGGGAAAATGGATGACCCGGGGAACTACAGACCAGTCAGTCTCACCTCTGTGCCTGGCAAAATCTTGGAGCAGATTCTCCTGGAAGGCATGCAAAGGCACATGAAAAATAAGGAAGAAGTTCTTTACTGTAAGAGTGGTGAGGCACTGGAATAGGTTGCCCAAGGAAGTTGTGAGTGTTCCATCCCTGGCAGCGTTCAAGGCCGGGTTGGACAGAACTCTGGGTGCCATGAATTTAGCATGAAGTGTCCCTGCCCGTGGCACGGGGGTTGGAACTTGATGATTTTAGGGTCCTTTCCAACCCTAACTATTCTATGATTCTAACAAACCAACCAATAATCATCTTGACTTTAACCTACTAGTTTCAAACAGGCTAAACATTGGTAAAAACAACTACATGCATCCAATTTCAGAAACTCTGGGAAGAAAAATACCACTAAAATAAGGGTAACTTAGCAGTAAGGAGTGTGACAGAAAAAGTGAATGGCAATGTGTTTCTGACAGCAAAACAAAAAGGCAGTCTGGACCTGCTTCACCTCCCCAAATGAAATATATTCCAGATCCCACAGTGATGTGGGGTCAGACCTATTAGGGGTACCCAAAATGGTGGCTAAAATGAAGCAGCTTTCTATAGCTCTGAAAGCACAGTTGGGAGACACTAAGCTGTAAAGGCTGGCAGTTGATCTACTGGAGGAAAGCTTAAGCAGATGGAATAGAAAAATTTGTTTCACTGACCATGTAAAAGATACAAAGAATGAGATGTAGGTGTATTAAGAGTCTAGATACATATTTACTCCTAAAGGATGGCTTTTAAAAGCAGAAAGAGGTTAATAGCGAACAATCAAAGAGCATGCTTCCCATTTTCCTTAGAAAATACTATTTTTTCTAAAGGCAAGAAGTAAAAAACCTATGATAAACTCTCAAGTATAATGATATTCCTTGTTACTTACTGAGGTTTTCAGAACAGATCCAGATAGTGAAGTATTGCTGAGTTTCTTGAGACAAACGCATCCCCTCCATTATCTGCTGTACAGTAGTATTGTTTCCATGTTTCAACTCAACGGAACGATAAGACCCATCCATACGATAAATACGTGCCTTTTCATACTACATAAAAATTAAAACATTATTAAATACCTTGTTAAAATCCTTTCTGTTGGTGCTTCTGGAAAGAAAAGCAATTTTACCATACTGCCGAGAATAAGAACATAGCACAACTCCTGCATATTTACTGTTTATCAAAACTGCTTGTTTCATGTCCTACACAAGTCCTTATACTGTGCTTTTTACACCAAGAAAGACCTTACTGATATTCTGAGGACTTCATTTCTGTTGAACTTAAAGGCAAGCAGGCATTTAAAGTTCCCTGACAGATTTGGGCTCAACTGCCTATGCATAGCCTGAAATGTCCACTTCATTATTATTGACAAGTTACTGATTATTCCTTTTCATTAGACTATACTAAAAGACTTCTTAAAGGGAAACACCAGCCTTTATACAGACCCCAGTATAATAATAATACACTCTCAATGAGTGAATTTGCAGTTCTGTAACAGAACTCCAATAGCTTTCACTGAATTGCGTGTGGGCTCATAGTATGCCTCCTGAAAGACGTACTTAAACAAAAATCACATGCTGAAAGCATATACACATAAGTCATAAATCTATGCAACTTCTTGTTTTCATCTCTCTAAAAGGTTAATGTTTCAGCTGCTTGATGACTGAGTAGATTTGAAGAAGGGAAATAACAGATTCCTCCAACTTTTTGATATTTCCTTTCTTCAAATCTACTCAGTCATCAAGAACCGCTTCCTAAAAACTTCTGGAAAGATTAATGCCTTGGAAAATGACAGCTTATTGAAAATAAAACTGGATGGAAAACATCAGTCTGTTTTTGCTGCAGTAGTCACTGTGACTTCTGTTTAAGTGGGGCTTTTTAACATTTTAATTCAATAGTAATAAGTGACAACATAGTATCACCTATTATGCTGTGAAATCTACTTAAAATACGTGTATTAGTCTTTTAGAGTCATTAGACACACATCTGCCATTCCATTAACTGCATAAGAAGATCCCTTAAATACAGGATGTGAATTCCTTCATTAACTGTTTTGGAAGACTCATTCATAGACAGTGAAATTCAGATAATTTGAAACATCTTGAAAAATGCACAGGTTTACTGCCACCTACCTACAGAGATACAAATTACATCTGAAGTCAAAAAAAAAACCAAAAAAACACCAAGAGGTTTTACCTCGTTTGGCTAATTTTAAATCTACTTCAGGATGAAAGGAATCACATCATAAATTTTGCTTACTATCTGGCTAGATCTTCACTGACTGCCAAGGAAGCTTACACCGACTAAGTGATGTAAAGCTTGTTCTGCTGAAGCCTACATTTAGCCAGCTCCTGTTTAACTTGTAAGATGACAATGCAAAGAAAGCTGATGGTTGTATGATCAAAAGTAGACATAAAATCAGTAGCTGATGTGATGCTCCTACAAATAAAATATCATGTTTAAAATCTTAAATCCATTTCTTGAGCAATAAACACAGATGCATTTAAGGACACAAAATGATTTACACTAACAAGTTCAGTACACCGCATGTTTCCAATAACAGCTACACGTGAGCCTCTCCTTCTACACGTTTAGGTGTAAATTAAATACAAACTTTAAACAGTTTAGAAAATAAGCTCATACAGGCTTATTTATGGCTTCCTTCAGCAGTTTTGCAGCTTCTTCCCACTCATTTTGTTTGTTCTCTTCACAGACATTCAGTGGAGATCTTCCTTGTTGATCAGTAATGTGCTATAAACAGAAACACCAATAATAGTTTTCACTGGAGATAGGTAAACACGTACACATTTTTTGAGATAATCAAAATCCCTGATCTTGGGGCTCAAACACTGAACTGACAGAAAATGGGAAAAGTAGCAGTAATAAAAAAATAGTTAACCATTATTTTGTAATTTCTCAACAGGATCAGTGTGCTTACACACTGTGATCTGGTCAAAACATTTCACATACACACCTTAGCAGCTCTTGCTAAACTTGCGATTTCCACACACAAACAGAACTTACTCTGTCAATTTCTGGATGATTTAGTAGAATTTGTACTATTTCAGCATGCCCACCTCCAGCAGCAAAATGAAGAGGAGAACTGAGCTGGCCATTCAAAAGATTGGGATTGCACTTCCCTTTCTCCAACAGCATTCGAGTGGCTTCAACTTTTCCATACCTGAAGACAGGTTTAAATCAGAACAGACACAGCAAACATAAGATCTTTTTTCAGATAGTTGTAAATACAGAAAGTGTATTTCCATGCTCAAAAGTTTTCAGCTTTGAAATGACACCAAAGACAATGGAACTTTGGTGAGTTTGTAGAAATTAGTATCAGTTCTGCACTTCTTTGATAACCATTGGTCTAGTAACCATTCATTGGATTAATTACAGGCAAACCAAACCTTGCTTTAAACTAGCTAAATTTGGGTAGTTGCAGCATTTAAGAAATAGCAAAACAGAGTTCAGCCTGGCCTGAAAAAAATCCCAAAACATAATCATGTGAGAATCACAGTAAAGCTTCTGATTGTCATGCAGATGGATCCTAAGGACTCTTAAGCCTCACACTGGTAAATGTTGCATATACTATCTATGCAAACTTTCTGATAAACACTAAAAATCAAATAAGTTGGGTTGTGGTTTTTTTAATAACCAAGTTTGATTTTCATGTTATTCATATAATCAGACTGTACAATAAACACAAAGACTAACTTGAATAAAGATAAGAGCTTTTTTACAACCGAGGAAAGTTCTCAAGCACTTAGATTAAATCATCACAGAGTTATAGTCAGAAAAGTTGACCTCTGTACACCACCTAGTCCAACTTCCCACTCAGAGCTTGACTGTAACCAAAACACGCTGTACTGTAAAACTGCTCACAGACTTTAACCAACAAAGACTGTAAAGGTTACCACACTAAACTAGACCTAGTATCTGCAACAAGAATTAGAACAGGTGCTTCAGGACAGATACAGAAGGCAAGAAGTGTTTGATGATACAATCTCCACACCTGGTCTCCTCTGAAACCATTCAGATTGCAATTACCTCAAAACCTGAAGCAATCTTTCTCATCAGAAAGTTGACACTAACATAAATTAGAGTCGAAGTGTAAAAAGTCTAGAGAGATTTTGATTTCTTGTTTTTGACTCTGTATCATAGAATCATAGAATAGTTAGGGTTGGAAAGGACCTTAAGATCATCAAGTTCCAACCCCCTTGCCATGGGCAGGGACACCTCGCTATAAATCATATCACCCAAGGCCTCGTCCAACCTGGCCTTGAACACTGCCAGGGATGGAGCATTCACAACCTCCTTGGGCAATTAACACTAAAGAATCATGATAGCAAGAGTATATTTGATTGGCAAAACATCTGACTCACCAGCATGCATAATGGATAGGTGCCCAGTGGTCACTATCTAACTGATTAACAGAAAACTTTTTATCCAGAAGGTGGCTTAGTAAATCAGAGTCGCCTTCACAAGCACTGCGGTGGAGAGGGAAATCATCTACCCACTGGTGTTCCCTATGAATTTAAACAGTAAACATGAGGAAAACACAGTTCAGAAATATTTCAATAGTTGAGAACATTGACTTTTTTTAAAATTAGTAATATAGCACTAACTGCAGATCTACATGAAGAATAAAAATGAAGCTCATGCAGTTAAATTGTGCCAGTATTCATACAACTAGTTTGTCATGCAGTAGTCAAGCCACAGCTGCATTCATTATGCTAAGAAATGCTTCTCTAACATTTATAATTTAAACCTTTCTTGATCTGTCCTTTAATTGTTGTTTCAGTATGTAGAGACTTCAAACAAAATATTTTTTAAATATGTATTTATACAGTAAGGTCCCACAGTAACAGGAATCTCATTCTGATCAAGCCTACCAAGTACTACTGTCACAAACAAAATTATCCACAAATAAAAAGTAATGTAACATAATACTTGTCCTCCGCGACACTGCTCATGCTACGTTGCCACTTTTCTCTTTTAGGAATCTGAATCTTTGAATAGTCTGGAGCTCCAAGACCAAAGTATGGATTTATTACCACTTTGTCAACCTGCAAAGACATAATTTAAACACAACTGAAAAAATATCTTCCATAGATTTGGCTGAACAATCCCCCATCCAGGCTGAGTATTCTCTTGAAACCAAATTTCAATAGTAGTATTTTAAAATTAAAGAGAATTATGTTCAAATGTAAGGATTTGAAAATCATTTAGCAGTCAGTGTGCAATAAAGAATTCTGACTATATTAAACATAAAGCATACATTTGTATCAAGTAAATGAACTGTAAAACTAAAATGTATGTTTCATGAATATAAAATGAAAATATAACTCTTACCCTATTAGTATACTGAAGGTCAGAGCCAAACAAAGGATTATAGATACACATATCTGCTTTCTCCAGTGCCAGCATTTTACTCTTTATTTCCAGGGCAGTATAACCCATGTGCAATGAGCTCTCTGTCTGGCCAGGTTCTGTAGCGTAGGCAGGGTTTATTACATTCGTTTTGATTCTCTCAAGAGGAGATGGTCTGAATAAAGCTGGGATGGAGTGAGACTGGGTATGCCGCTCATCCAACCACCTGCAGGACAGAATGGGCAAGTAATTAATTTTCAGGTAGAAGAGGACTGTTATGGTCACGCCTGTCCATTATTCTGTTTAATTAAGGGCTGCACTTACAATAATCAGACATTTCAATAACAACAATTATTATTTTAATATGTACAGCCAAATTTATAGGACTAAATTAATCCTCAAATGTGATATTTTTTTTTTTAACCAAATGTAGTTAAGCAAATATATTTGCTCAAACACATTTCCTGAAGACTCTCAAAGAAAATTAAATTATAAGCTAAGGTAAGAGTATAACACTGATTATAGTCAAAACACTGAACCACACTAACGTCACCATTTTGCTTACTTTCAGTTTATCAGTATTACTACCCTCAACATACAAATTTTGAAATATAAAGCAGTTTTTTAAAGGATGAGTTGAAGTTTCAATATCTGTGCTTCTAATTCACGTGTTTCACTAGAGAGAGACAGGAAAAGGCAAAAAATCAGAAGGCCTCTTTCACATTTGCCTTTTCACAAAGCTGTGTGAAGGTTATTCTCTTTTAAGTATACTCCTACTAACAGTACAGAAGGGCTTTAGAGCCCCCTTACTCTGAGCTAGTGTGGTCAGCACGGCATACCTCCTGCATTTTTCCTGCCACGTATGCAATATAACACAGGGCTCAGGACAACTGATTCATCTCATCTTTTGGATAAATGTATTTTCACCAAATTGCTAGATTATTTTACTTAGAAAGTGCCCAGTTCAACATTACACTAAGGACCAGGTTTGTATTTAGGTTTTTACATATTCTCACAAGCTTGAGTACAGAGCATGTACTCTGCTAGAATACAATAAATTCCATTCGGTGATTTAGCCTGGAAACACAGAAATACATGCCCTGGAAAGATAGATCCACTGACAGACCACTTGGATCCACTGACAGGCCACTGCCCCAGAACCACAGGTAAGCACGGCAGAGCATGGCCTGTAGTTCAGTGCATGTGCTTAGGCCTGGATTTTTAAGTCCCAGATCCAAGCCATCATGTGCTGCAAAATCTGTATCCCCTTCATTTACGGTCCTGCTAGGAAGGACGACTGTAAAATTGTGGTCATTGCACTATCAACATCCTCTTGTCCCTCTGAAGTATTTTCAGGCATCTTCTCTACATAGTTGGTAAATAGGTTAGTTATGGCACTTTGAATCTTTGGGAAGTGCATTTCAGACTACACACATAGAGAATAATCAATATAAAAGATTTTCTATTATATTTCCTAGGCTTCTCTCACAACTGTAAGGCTCAAAACACATTTTAAGTGGAACTGAGTCTGAAGGCATTTGGTAAGCAGCAAACAAATATAATTGGCATGATGGTATACATGGAAATAGCACAACTCTACTATTAAACTGTAAAAATCCTTCAGTTTTAGGTAGTAGCCTCTAACTTAGAATTTTTCATTAGTCTGGAGTTTCAGCTAACTTCATTAATGCAAGTAAGTTCATACATTAAGTATGTCTGGTATTTCTTTGTTAAGGGTACCTAAGAAAGACTAACAGCTGCTTACATACTCAATTTTCAAACTACTATAAACCTGGCTAAACAACTAATCACCTTTCTGAAAGTTAATTTCCTACTGCAAATACATTTGTATGGCTGGGAAAGATACACTCCCTTTCTATAAGGAAGTTTAATTTAAATGCAAATCTTAATGGTATACAATTAAGAGGGTATTTTTAATACACTCTGGCAAATACTCTTAAATATGACAATTATGTCATTTACAGAAGATTCAACATTATTATTTTATATGGTTTTACAAAACATTCACTGTAAGAAGGAACCTCCCAAAAGACACTTGATTTAGATAAGCACACCACTCGAGTTTGCAAAAAAGATTTTCAGAAAGATTTTGAAATTTGATGTCAAGGTTTCAGCTTCTGATTAACATGAAGAAAATAACATGGTATCACAATGACTTCCTTCTTAATCACAAGAATGCTATAAAAACTGTATGCTACATCTACAAATTATCTTGTTTAATTTCTATTTTAATATATGTTTATGGATAGCATTTCTTACTTATCCAAGGCAATTAACATTTTCGCAGTAAGCGTAGCAAAATGGGTGCTGGATTCGCTGCAGACTCTCATGATGTCTTGTAAACAATAGAACACAGGGCATCCAGGGCTGTAAGCGTATTTTGTATTATCTAAAAAGGAAACATTCTTAAGACACATCAAAGAGAAGAAAAATTGTATTTTCCCTTCTGTAACTTTGTAGTTACACATTCACAGCTGACTGAGAGCACATTCTAACTTTAGACTAACTTATTTTTTTCCAAATGGTAATCGATGGAAATTACATACAATCCTTAGGTAACAATTCACAACTCAACAGAGTAGCCTTAAAAACTGTTAAGTGTTCAGTTACTTTTCCATCAGTGTGATCAGATTCATCTGGGGAACTAATATTAAAATGTATAGTGTTGTCAGAAAAAAGTAGGACTCGGGACTAGAAGAGGTATTTATATATTGGCAGTTATACAATGGTATTTATTTGATAGCTTTTATCCGTAAGGCCTATCATTAATGCAAAAATGAAGGTTTCCCCAAAATCACACATGCATTTTCTTGAGGCTTTTTTTTTTGTCCTGACAAGCAATTTACTTTGCTTTCTACAGATTTAATTTACCATTCCTTATTCAAACCTGTTTACAGACTTCAATAAGCATTCTTCCCCAAGTAAAGAACAGTGAACTGCATAGGATGTCTTTCTCACACTTGCATTCAGTAAATTCTAATGCATGTTTTGAAACAACCAACCGAACAAACACAGCTTAAAACGGAATTGTGCTATCATTACAGAAACAAAGGCAATGCATCAAAAACAAGGGTTTTTTTCCTTAACTTTAAGTAACTTTTTCAAGTTTTCAAGTATACAGAGAGAGATTTCCACCTAAATGCAACTTTTAATGTTTAACATACAGAAAACGTCATCTATCGTATTCATAAAAATTCTTAATAAACCTTGAACTAAACTTCTGCTAAAATGGATGCAACTTCAGAAATTACGCTCAATATTACCTTTCACAACAGTCGGAACAATGTAAAGTGATGCCTCCTGACCTGCCTTCTCTCCATCAAGAGGAAACTTCTTCATTAACACTACACGCTTTCCTAGCACAGTATTAAAAAAAAAATCAAAATCATTAACCAACGAAACAAATGGTGCAGAGTTGGCTCTCTGAAAGCTCACCAAACCCAATCTTCCTAACTTCTAAGAAGAAAAAAGAAATTGTAAGATATAAACTGAAACAAGCTAAGAAAATCTAAGTACATATGAAAAAATAACACATACATACCCACTAACATGAAAAATTACATGACTGCACCCCTTCTTTCATAGCAACCTTTATAGACCCCTGATTTTCTGCAGCTTTCACTCTCCAAACCACCTACCTTGAAGTTAAACAAGGTTCCTTCTGAAATGTGAAAGCACAGCTGCATCTCTGTTGCGAATGCTTTTTTCACACAGTGGTATGACAGCATATTCCATGTTATACTCCCTTTCACCCTTACAGAATCCAGCATTTTATTTGTTTTTCTGACCTCAACTACATTTTTTAGCAGTGGCCACACTACGCTGTGCATATTAATGCTTGGGGCCTCCGTGCAAGTCAATTTAAAACTCTCTAAACTGTGTAAGAAACAGGTTTTGCTTTTACATGGTATTCCTCAATGTGTATTAAGGCTGTTATTTCATGTTTGCTGCTCAACTAGCTTTGTTAGGTCCATCCAACTCTAGTCATTGCCACGCACAGCATTTATGCAGCGAGGTGTTCCTTTTAGCACTGCACTGTCTTGTCTGTGCTGACAACCTTCCCAGTATAACCTTGCTTACAAAGCAGAGATCAGGTACACACACACAAAAAAAGCACTTTAGTCTGTATGGTTTATACCAATCTGGAAATGAAATGTGCTGGGTAAAACAATTTTTGTCAGTACAAGCATGAGGTTCATTGCCAGAACAGCTATGCAAAAACAATGAAAAAGAAAATGTACTAATCAAATTACATCTGTAATACAGTTATGTCAGGAATATTTTCATGTAAATACTGTCCACTGAATAATGCTGGCTTTAGAACAGACTTTAGAGGTGATCAGTTCACTAGTTCATATTTAGGATAAAATTAAGGATTAAAAAGCTACTACAATCTGGTTTACCAAAGTTCAGCTGTAAATCTCAAATTGAGGTGAAGAAGTAGTGAAGACAAGCAAAGTTTCACTTCATAAAGCATTTATAGAGCTGGAAGTAAAGGGAAACAAAGGTTTTGCTGTATAGTTGTAATTTTTTTCCCATGAGCCTCAAAACATAAAAAAATTTCACACTTTTGCATAACCTTTCCACACCCATTTAAGAATATTTTTACAAAGCCATCAACAACAGATGAGATTAAAATGTTTTTACCTTTAATACCCTGATTGGCTGGTGAAATTGGTTTGGTGGCTTCTAACACATAATCCAAGATGCTCTGGGTTATCTCAGTGCCTCCCTGCAGTTTAGTTTCCAGCAAAACTTTCTTTCTTTTCTTCTTTTGGCCTTCGATGGGAACTTCAAGCAACAATATCTTTCAAACAATAATGAAATCAAAGGAGTTTAAGTACAACTGAAACAAGCACAGAGGTTTGTTTTGTTTTGTTTTTGGGGAGGGGGGAAGAAGGGGAGAGGAATTACTGTACCACTATAAAAGCAGTAACAAAATTCAGGAAGTACTGAATGTGGAAGAGCAGGATGGTGAAGTAGAATGACCTTCTTAACAGTAAGGTTAAAGACAGAAAGACAAAGCTGCACCCTTGTGCTGAGCAGCCCACAGGGCAAAATGCCCTGAAAAGAAATGAAACACAAAGATATTACAAGACTGCAAACTGTTCAAATACCATAAAGATGGGGCAATGCATAGTAGGTATATGACGTACATAGACATTATTTAAGTGTTCTTATTGTCAAATTTAATTTTCTGCTACAATATATTTACTGTAATTTATTATTTTTAAAAGTTAATAAATAAAAAAATATAGTTTTACTTCATAGGATTTAGCTCGATATTCCCGAGAATTCAGGCTAGCAGTATTTTTTGGACGAATCACAGCAACATACGCATCTCCAGTGCTTTCTGGGTTTCCCATCTCTCCTTCTTTTACCACTGGAAAGAATGAATAAACAGGAAGTAAAGGGCCAGTTGATAAAAATTAAAAGAAAGATAATCCAACAGCACACTGAACTTCAGGATGCAGTAATCCTGCCCACCAATTGTTTCCATTATTCATTTATTTTTCTTTAGCTGGGGAAATACCAGTGGTTGCTATAATTCTGCTTCTTTTTAATGAAAGGGGGAAATCCTACATCACACAGATTTAATACAAATAATCCCGTTCTCTAACCCACTTTTAAAATAAAAATAATGGTTGGAAATTTTTTTTTCCAGTTTGTAACTATTTTTCCCCAGTTTGCAAACCAGACAAAAGGCCAAAGAAATTCAGCACTCTTAAAAAAATGTATGAAATTTTAAAAAGAAAACCATTCTAAAGTGACAAGCACTGTAGTTTATAAAAGTGCTGTAAAAAAGGACTGCATTTCTGAGTGCCACAGGGATTTCAAGAAGTACCTGATTTTCCAATCCCTCCCCCAAACTAGAACACAATCTCTACAGCCCTAGTAACTAAACTGACAAAAATACCCTGCAATATGAATTCATTTACTTTGTTTTACTTCAGTGGGACTGCAAACTGGTGCACAATTCATTCAAACAGAGTTTTTGAAGGAATATATCTTCAGGTTTTGCAAAAAAAGGGCAGAGGTTTTTAGATTTAAGGTGAAAGTTCGCTTACCTTTCTGTTTAACCCAAAGTGACAATGCCTACAATTATAAAACTTTATGAAAATGGAAAAGGGAAAACCTCCTACAGCTAAATCACTTCACCTACCAAATTTGAGAAAAAAGGTCTTATCTGGGCATTAACACCTTCCAGGTAATCATTGTCCTCATCTGCAAATGAACCTCCTTTCATTCCACATCATCAAACAAGCACATACTTTCTTCAGATTAATCCCACCACAAAGATATTTAACGTTACTGTTTCTAGCTTCTTCACCTCTTCTAGGAGAAACAGGTCTTCAGATCCCCATGCCCCTAGTCCATCCAGTATTTTTGCTGGGATCAGACTACCTGAAAACATATGAAAAAAAACCCCACAAAAAAACATCAAAAAAAACCCAAGAACCAAGCATAAATAACAGCATGCACATTTTCACTTTCGGTTTAGATAAATACGTTAGTTAGATGACTTAATGATAGTATGTAAACAGTAATATCTAAATAGAAGCATCTATTGATTTACATTACAGTAGCATCTAGAAACATAGAATCAGCTGTGTCCCGAGCTGTGAGAGATCATACTTTGGGATATTAAAAGTTTTGAAAGGAATAAGAAACAACCATTCCTTAGAGGCAGCTGGGAAAAGCATGCTTCCTTGGTTTCCTTAGGATATATAGGTTTGGGTCACAGGCTTGTGTGGAGAAAAACTGCACAGGCAGGGCTGTAGGTTACGTTGGTGAGCAGCGGTGAATGAGCAGCGGGTGAACTCCCTCTGCTAGTGCCATGCCCTAAACCCAGAGTGGGGTGAGGATGTCTGGGAAAGGCAGCCCAGAGAACTGCGATCTAACTCCAGAAAACAAAAACAGAGAGCGAACAAGGGTGGAGTTGCAAGGATGTGACAATAAAGATGCCCAGCTTCAGAAGGCACCAAACCCAGATGCCAAAAATGCGTCCCCGTCCCAGCGGACACAAGTCCGAAGAATATGCCTCAGCCGCCGCCAGCCCTCCCCACTTCCCACGCCGCCGCCGCTGGCCCCCTCGGCAACCAGAGACGCGATCACACCACCCGGCAAGGAAGACCATCCCGCCCCGCAGCGCGCAGGCCCCACCACCAAGGAGGGGACCGGCTTCTCCCCGAGAAGCACAACGGCCGGGAAGCGACCCCGCACTGCCAGTACCTCCCGCTCCCGCTTCCGCTGCCACCGCCACCCCGCGGCTTCGCGCCTCACGACCGAGAAGCGCCCCCTGAACTTTCCTGATCCCGCCCTGGAGCCGGCCGTGCACCGGGACCTCTGGGGCGGTGCTCGCACCGCAGCCCTACGGAGTGGGAAACCCTGCCGCGTCCGCGGGACCGCCCCTCCGGGGTGACGGGCACCGTCCTGACCCTCCCGCTCGCTCGCTCGCTGCCTCTCACTCTCCCTTGCCTTCCTCCGTGGTGCCAGCCGTCGTCTCCCCCGGCGCATCCTCCCGCCTCACACGACGCCCAGGCCCCGCGCCCGCGACGCGTCCCGTCTTGTCCTGCTCCGCCCCATCCCCGCCCCGCTCCCTCCCCCGGCGCGGCGGATCCGCTTCCCGTCAGAGCCCCGCGGCCCTCGGCTGCCGATGAGTTTCCGGGTCGGCGGCCTGAACTTGTGCTGCTGCTGCCGCCGCCGCCAGTTGTTGACCGCGGGCGGATAAAGAAAGAGAGAGAGAGAAAGAGACGTGGGCTGTGGGTCGGGAGCATGAGGCTCTGTTGGCGGGCGGGGAGGCGCTAAAGTGAGGTGGCTGCCCGGGCTCGGGGAGTGCCGCCGGCAGCTGTCAGCGCCGCCACGCCGCCAGGAGCCGCCGGTGAACAAAGGGGTAGCGAGACGGTGGCAGCCGCAGCGCCCTGCCTGCGCTGGGGAAGCCTCACCACCGGGCGGGCGGATACTGCTCACCGCTGCAGCCGCTGAGTGACTGCCCGGCTGCCCGCCGACTGGAGACCCGGTGGAGCGGGCACTCCAGAGGGCGCCGCATCCGGAGAGGAGCGAGGGACAGAGAAGGGGCCGTTGAGCAAATGGAGGTGCTGAGTGGCGGGCGCGGAGGCGCCGGGAAGAGCCGGGGAGAGCCCCTGTGAGGAGCCGGTGAGTGCCCCGCGGCGCTGGCCGCGATCCCGGCGCCGCCTGTGGAGGCTTGGGTGGGATGCGCGGGCCTGCGAGCGGGCGAGATGAGGCGAGTACGGCAGCGGGTACAGCCGGGAGACTTCGCACATCTGGGCGGTGACAGCCCGTCGCATCGAGGGTGGGGCGGGACAGGAGCATCTTGGCTCCGTCGGCAGGCGAGGGGAGCGGAGCGGAGGAGGTGAGAGCAAAGGGTAACTCCGGCGTGCGGAGGTAAACAGCGGGTTACCGAGGCTGGCCGTCCGCAGGGGCGGCGGCGATACTGGTGTTAGGACGCGCCCCGGTGTTCAGGGGTCTGTAGGGAAGCGTAATGGCGGTGGGCCTTGGGCTGGGTGGTTTATGGGGTGAGAGACCGCCTCTGGTCCAGGTTCCCACAGCCGCCGCGCCCTGCGGTGACGGGGGTCTCTGCCCGAAACCGTCTGGGTTGGGGGCTCCCTCGGCTGGGACCGTGGGGAAGTTCGGAGTTGCCCGATGGCCTGGCTTCGTCCAGCTCCCGCTGTTGAGCCCATGCCCTCCTTGTTCGTAGCTTGGAAATTCTGCCTTGAAGGCAAAAGGGAAGAACTGCGAGTTGGCAGAGCGGCAGCATGAGCTGCTGGGCGAGCTGTGGCAGCGTAACCTTCCTTCAGGCTGGGTAACGCCGTCCTGAGCCGTCTGTCGTGAGTGAAATTGAACGCTCACGGTGTCGAAGAGGAAACTGAGTCTTGGTGCTGTGACGGTTTTATGTAAGTAGCAGTACCAGTCTCCTAGGCAGGTCTAAACACATACTGGAAATTGAGCGACTTTGGAAAAGGAAGAACAACCTTGATAATTCACGACTGCTCACCCTCTTTTATTTACGGTTTTCAGATAGTGTGAAGAGCGAATGTGGAGTTACAAAAACATGCTCTGTAGAGTAAGGCACGAATACCACAGCTTAAATTGTTTGCATGCGCCCCTTTATCGTTAATAACCATTGTTGATTGTGCTTTCTTCCTTCAGTGCTTTTCTGTGCTTACGAGTTCCAGAAATGGAGTTTTAGTTGTAGACATAACATCAGTAGGTGTGCTGTAAATAAGCACTTCCCCTAAAGAGAGAGACCACTTCTGAAAGAATTATAAGCTATGGAGTTTAGCAGTGAGAAAAGACTGTGTCTTCCTTCCACGTATGAGTGTTTTATCCTTACTTTCATCTCATTTTCAGTATGAAGTGTGGTGGTTTAATTTCTCTTTAATCTCGCTTAGGTGTATGAAAAAAATACTCTCCCTTGAAGAAAAAAAAAGAAAAAAGGCTTTGGTCATAAGGAAAGCAGCAGCATTTTTCAGCTTCTGAGAACATGTGGCTTATTTAGTTGGGGTGTCTACACAGAAGTGAAATGGTAGAATTTGTAGCATTTTTTCCCCTCTCTCCCCTGGACATGGAAAGAATAAATGCTGGCCTTACAAATAGGAGGCCAAATTACAGAAGAGGCTTCTGGAAACTTTAATTCCAAGACCTTCTGTGGTCCTGCACTCAGGCAATTCCAACTTCAACAAATTTGAGTTTAGTCCTTAAAATAATATTTCGGTAATACAATATATTATTCCTGAATACAAATACTAGAAATCTACTAAAAAGTTAACCAATGTTGGTGGTGCCCTTTTATATATATATATATATGCATCTGCAAAGTATTATGAATTAAAATTAATTGGAAAAAATAATAAAAAAGAACACTGGCACTGTCGTATCAGTAGGCAAAAGGCAATTTAAGCAAGAAAGCTTTGTGCAATCCCCCCAATTTTTACTTGTGCCATGCACATCTATATAGGACTAGGTAGTACATATCTAAGTACATGACTAGGTTTATTGTAAAAACATGGACTTTCCTAGACATAGTTATATAGTCTATGTAAGTTTACATGCATCTGTTCATATATGTTCCTATCAGGTGTACAAACTCCAGAAAATTAAAGGAAACTAAGCATATAAATTCAAAAGGGAATGACTTCTCCAGCTGTCAGCTTTGGTTCAGTGGAACAACTACAAAAAAAACCCCCAAATCATGGGGTTAGAAAATGTCATTATGCCTTTGTTCACTGTATAAAAATCTTGTTAACGCTACTGCTGATTTAATCTCTCCTGAGCAGTTTCTCACCTGCTGCTCTGTGGCACCTCTGCTGTGATTGATTAACATGACATTGCTTTTTGTTTCAGTAAGAGGGTTTTGTTTATTAGCTGTTAACTGGTTTCCCTAGCAGGGTTTGTGGTGAGATTTTGTTGGGGGTTTTTTGTTGTTGGTTTTTTTTTGTGGGATTGGGGTTTTTTAGGCGTTTTTTTTTGGGGGGGAGGGGGGTTAAAGTCTTTTTCTTGTTTTCTGTATGTGTGGCTGTGCCTTGGGGTTTCCTGTGTGTGTTTGGGGTTTTAAAATTATTATTTATTTTAGCTTTACTGTTTAGATGTCATGTAGTTATCAGTTTACTTGACTAGTAACTTGTACCTTGGAATCTGAAAACTTGAAGTTGCTCTTTGCAGTTGTAACTATTGAAGTTTTTCACCTATGCTAAGGTAAGAAAGAAAATTGAAAATCTGGATGTTATGAATATATGTGCTGAACGAGTTATGTTTCTAATCACATTATTGTGTTTGTATGATTGATAATGATACATAGCAAAAATCTGTTTTGCTTGAAGAGCTGCCCTGTGGAAATTCTGCAGGGTTAAATATGACACAGAAAGTTGTGTTTTCAACATCATTATAATCAAACAATACTTTTACCTGTTTCCCTCCCTTCTCCCAAAATACGTGCCACATACTTTTCCATGGAGTGTTATTAAAATCACACATATGCTTACATTTTAGGGGCAGATGATATTTCATGCAAGGTTACATACATTACATTAAAAGTTCAAGATGGAAAAGTCTATGTAAAGTTTAAAATCTGCTAGTTTTCTTTGGAACCACTAAATCTTTCAGATTTTAAGTGGAAACAGAAAAAATAGTCTTTACCATTGTGGAAGGCCAAGTGCAAGGTCCTCCACCTGGGCTGCAGCAACCCCCAGTGTCAATATTGACTGGGGGATGAAGAGACTGAGAGCAGTCTAGCAGAGGATTGTGGATACCAGTGGATGAAAAATTGGACATGAGCTGGCAATGTGCTTTTGCAGCCCCAAAAGCTAATAGTATCCTGGGCTGCATGAAAGAAGTGTGGCAAGAAAGAAGGTCAACAGAGGTAATTCTCTGCCTCTACTCAGCTCTCATGAGAGCAACCCTTTCTGGAGTATTGTGTGCAGTTCTGGGACCAGCATAAGGGCATGGAGCTGTTGACTGGGCCTAGAGGAGGGCTACAAAAACGGCCAGAGGGCTGGAACACCTCTCCTATAAAGAAAGGCTGAGAGAGTTGGAGTTACTCAGCCTAGAGAAGAGAAGGCTCAGGGGAGACCTTATAGCAGCCTTCCAGTGTGTAAAGGGTGCTTACAAGAAAGAGAAGAGAGAATTATTACCAGGGCCTGTAATGACAGGACAAGGAACAATGGTTTAGAACAGAAAGAGGGTAGATTCAGGTTGGGAATAAGACATTGTTTTTCACTTTGAGGGTGGTGAGGCAGGTTGTCCAGGGTAGCTGTGCATGTTCCATGATTAGAAATGTTCAAGGTCAGGTTGTATGGAGCACTGAGCAACCTGATCTACTGAAAGATGTCCCTGCCCATGGTAGGAGGGTTGGATGTGATGACCTTTAAAGTCTCCTTCCAACCCAAACCATTCTGTGACTTTTTTTTTTCCTGAGGAATATTAGTTTGTCTTCTCTAGTATCAGTAAAATATTATGGTTTGCATTCCAGATTGCCTTAGTTTATATTTCATATGCATGTGTTCATCTCTTCATCTGTCTTATCTCAAAAAATACTTGGAGTGTTGTACAAATAAGCGTAGTAGTAACAGAATAGCTTCAGTTTATTAGTCCAAGAATCATTTTGGAAAAAGATATTAGTCAGTTGCTTTGCTGTCTTTTTTTTTAAACATGTTCTCTGAATTTCCTTTACTGTCTGTGCTTTGTTAAGAGTACAGTTCTTACTCTCTGCTTGTTTTTAAGCTGACATACCTTAAATTGTACTATGAAAATAAAAAAAATAAGTGTCCATGTAAAATCAACCAGCGTTTTCTTTTTGGTATGCAGAGGTAGCCTGAGGGAGTAGTTGTTATTGCTCCAATCCTTTTCCTGTATTCCTGATTTTGACAATTGAAAGTAATTTTCAGAAGTTGCAAACATCTGATATATGGATTAACATTTGAAATTCACATTTGCGTGTATCCTTGATTCTGTTGTTTTCCAAACAAGAGAATCGCCATAATTTTAGATGAAACACTTCTTTTGATCTAAAGCTAATTTGT